AGCAGCATCAACAACTGCATCTCCAACTACACCTGGACCAACACCAGCAGCATCAACAAAACCTGGACCAACACCAGCAGCAACAACAACTGCAGCCCAAACTACACCTGGACCAACACCAGCAGCAACAACAACTACTGCCCTAACTACACCTGGACCAACACCAGCAGCATCAACAACTGCAGCCCCAACTACACCTGGACCAACACCAGCAACAACAACTGCAGCCCTAACCACACCTGGACCAACACCAGCAGCATCAACAACTGCAGCCCCAACTACACCTGGACCAACACCAGCAGCATCAACAACTGCAGCCCCAACTACACCTGGACCAACACCAGCAGCATCAACAACTGCAGCCCCAACTACACCTGGACCAACACCAGCAGCAACAACAACTGCAGCCCCAACTACACCTGGACCAACACCAGCAGCATCAACAACTGCAGCCCCAACTACACCTGGTCCAACACCAGCAGCATCAACAACTGCAGCCCCAACTACACCTGGACCAACACCAGCAGCATCAACAACTGCAGCCCCAACTACACCTGGACCAACAACAGCAGCATCAACAACTGCAGCCCCAACTACACCTGGACCAACACCAGCAGCATCAACAACTGCAGCCCCAACTACACCTGGACCAACACCAGCAGCAACAACAACTGCAGCCCCAACTACACCTGGACCAACACCAGCAGCATCAACAACTGCAGCCCCAACTACACCTGGTCCAACACCAGCAGCATCAACAACTGCAGCCCCAACTACACCTGGACCAACACCAGCAGCATCAACAACTGCAGCCCCAACTACACCTGGACCAACAACAGCAGCATCAACAACTGCAGCCCCAACTACACCTGGACCAACACCAGCAGCATCAACAACTGCAGCCCCAACTACACCTGGACCAACACCAGCAGCAACAACAACTGCAGCTCCAACTACACCTGGACCAACACCAGCAGCAACAACAACTGCAGCCCCAACTACACCTGGACCAACACCAGCAGCATCAACAACACCTGGACCAACACCAGCAGCAACAACAACTGCAGCCCCAACTACACCTGGACCAACACCAGCAGCAACAACAACTGCAGCCCCAACTACACCTGGACCAACACCAGCAGCATCAACAACTGCAGCCCCAACTACACCTGGACCAACACCTGCATCATCAACAACTACAGCCCCAACCACACCTGGACCAACAACAGCAGCAACAACAACTGCAGCCCCAACTACACCTGGACCAACACCAACAGCAACAACAACTGCAGCCCCAACTACACCTGGACCAACACCAGCAGCAACAACAACTGCAGCCCCAACTACACCTGGACCAACACCAGCAGCATCAACAACTGCAGCCCCAACCACACCTGGACCAACACCAGCAGCAACAACAACTACTGCCCTAACCACACCTGGACCAACACCAGCAGCATCAACAACTGCAGCCCCAACTACACCTGGACCAACACCAGCAACAACAACAACTACTGCCCTAACTACACCTGGACTAACACCAGCAGCAACAACAACTGCAGCCCCAACTACACCTAGACCAACACCAGCAGCATCAACAACTGCAGCCCCAACCACACCTGGACCAACACCAGCAGCAACAACATCTACTGCCCTAACTACATCTGGACCAACACCAGCAGCAACAACAACTGCAGCCCTAACCACACCTGGACCAACACCAGCAGCAACAACAACTGCAGCCCCAACTACACCTGGACCAACACCAGCAGCAACAACAACTGCAGCCCCAACCACACCTGGACCAACACCAGCAGCATCAACAACTGCAGCCCCAACCACACCTGGACCAACACCAGCAGCAACAACAACTACTGCCCTAACTACACCTGGACCAACACCAGCAGCAACAACAACTGCAGCCCTAACCACACCTGGACCAACACCAGCAGCAACAACAACTGCAGCCCCAACTACACCTGGACCAACACCAGCAGCAACAACAACTACGGCCCTAACCACACCTGGACCAACACCAGCAGCAACAACAACTGCAGCCCTAACCACACCTGGACCAACACCAGCAGCAACAACAACTGCAGCCCCAACTTCACCTGGACCAACACCAGCAGCAACAACAACTACTGCCCTAACTCCACCTGGACCAACACCAGCAGCAACAACAACTGCAGCCCCAACTACACCTGGACCAACACCAGCAGCATCAACAACTGCAGCCCCAACCACACCTGGACCAACACCAGCAGCAACAACAACTACTGCCCTAACTACACCTGGACCAACACCAGCAGCATCAACAACTGCAGCCCCAACTACACCTGGACCAACACCAGCAGCAACAACAACTGCAGCCCTAACCACACCTGGACCAACACCAGCATCATCAACAACTGCAGCCCCAACTACACCTGGACCAACACCAGCAGCAACAACAACTGCAGCCACAACCACACCTGGACCAACACCAACAGCATCAACAACTGCAGCCCCAACCACACCTGGACCAACACCAGCAGCATCAACAACTGCAGCCCCAACTACACCTGGACCAACACCAGCAGCAACAACAACTGCAGCCCCAACTACACCTGGACCAACACCAGCAGCAACAACAACACCTGGACCAACACCAGCAGCATCAACAACTGCAGCCCCAACTACACCTAGACCAACACCAGCAGCAACAACAACTACAGCCCCAACTACACCTGGACCAACACCAGTAGCAACAACAACTGCAGCCCCAACTACACCTGGACCAACACCAGCAGCATCAACAACACCTGGACCAACACCAGCAGCATCAACAACTGCAGCCCCAACTACACCTGGACCAACACCAGCAGCAACAACAACTGCAGCCCCAACTACACCTGGACCAACACCAGCAGCAACAACAACTACTGCCCTAACTACACCTGGACCAACACCAGCAGCATCAACAACTGCAGCCCCAACTACACCTGGACCAACACCAGCAGCAACAACAACTGCAGCCCTAACCACACCTGGACCAACACCAGCAGCATCAACAACTGCAGCCCCAACTACACCTGGACCAACACCAGCAGCAACAACAACTGCAGCCCCAACCACACCTGGACCAACACCAACAGCATCAACAACTGCAGCCCCAACCACACCTGGACCAACACCAGCAGCATCAACAACTGCAGCCCCAACTACACCTGGACCAACACCAGCAGCAACAACAACTGCAGCCCCAACTACACCTGGACCAACACTAGCAGCATCAACAACTGCAGCCCCAACTACACCTGGACCAACACCAGCAGCAACAACAACTGCAGCCCCAACTACACCTGGACCAACACCAGCAGCAACAACAACTGCAGCCCCAACTACACCTGGACCAACACCAGCAGCATCAACAACACCTGGACCAACACCAGCAGCAACAACAACTGCAGCCCCAACTACACCTGGACCAACACCAGCAGCAACAACAACTGCAGCCCCAACTACACCTGGAACAACACCAGCAGCAACAACAACTGCAGCCCCAACTACACCTGGACCATCACCAACAGCACCAACAACTACTGCCCCAACTACACCTGGACCAACACCAGCAGCATCAACAACTGCAGCCCCAACTACACCTGGACCAACACCAGCAGCATCAACAACTGCAGCCCCAACTACACCTGGACCAACACCAGCAGCAACAACAACTGCAGCTCCAACTACACCTGGACCAACACCAGCAGCAACAACAACTGCAGCCCCAACTACACCTGGACCAACACCAGCAGCATCAACAACTGCAGCCCCAACTACACCTGGACCAACACCAGCAGCAACAACAACTGCAGCCCCAACTACACCTGGACCAACACCAGCAGCAACAACAACTGCAGCCCCAACTACACCTGGACCAACACCAGCAGCAACAACAACTGCAGCCCCAACTACACCTGGACCAACACCAGCAGCATCAACAACACCTGGACCAACACCAGCAGCAACAACAACTGCAGCCCCAACTACACCTGGACCAACACCAGCAGCAACAACAACTGCAGCCCCAAATACACCTGGACCAACACCAGCAGCATCAACAACACCTGGACCAACACCAGCAGCAACAACAACTGCAGCCCCAACTACACCTGGACCAACACCAGCAGCAACAACAACTGCAGCCCCAACTACACCTGGACCAACACCAACAGCACCAACAACTACTGCCCTAACTACACCTGGACCAACACCAGCAGCAACAACAACTGCAGCCCCAACTACACCTGGACCAACACCAGCAGCAACAACAACTGCAGCCCCAACCACACCTGGACCAACACCAACAGCACCAACAACTACTGCCCTAACTACACCTGGACCAACAACAACAGCATCAACAACTGCAGCCCCAACCACACCTGGACCAACACCAACAACACCAACAACTACTGCCCTAACTACACCTGGACCAACACCAGCAGCATCAACAACACCTGGACCAACCACACCTGGACCAACACCAACAGCACCAACAACTACCGCCCCAACTACACCTGGACCAACACCAGCAGCATCAACAACACCTGTACCAACAACGACAGTACCAACAACTGCAGCACCAATTACATCTGGACCAACACCAACAGCATCAACAACTGCAGCCCCAACCACACCTGGACCAACACCTGCAGCATCAACAACTGCAGCCCCAACTACACCTGGACCAACAACAACAGCATCAACAACTGCAGCCCCAACTACACCTGGACCAACACCAGCAGCATCAACAACTGCAGCCCCAACTACACCTGGACCAACACCAGCAGCAACAACAACTGCAGCCCCAACTACACCTGGACCGACACCAACAACATCAACCACACCTGGACCAACAACAGCAGGACCGATAACTGTACTCCCATCCACAGCTGGACCAACAACTGCAGCACCAACAACTGCAGCTCCTACCATACTTGAACCAACAATAACTCCAGCCCCAACGATACGTGAACCAACAACTACCGCAGTTCCAACCACACATGGTTTAACAACAACTGCAGCTCCAACAACACCTGGACTAACAACTGCAGCACCAACTACACATGGTTTAACAACAACTGCAGCTCCAACAACACCTGGACTAACAACTGCCGCACCGATAACTGTACTCCCAACCACACCAGCTCCAACAACACTTGGACCAACAACAGCAGCACCAACAACTGCAGCTCCTACCATACCTGAACCAACAACAACTCCAGCCCCAACGATACCTGAACCAACAACTACCGCAGCTCCAACCACACATGGTTTAACAACAACTGCAGCTCCAACCACACATGGTTTAACAACAACTGCGGCTCCAACAACTGCAGCTCCTACCATACTTGAACCAACAACAACTCCAGCCCCAACGATACCTGAACCAACAACTACCGCAGCTCCAACCACACATGGTTTAACAACAACTGCAGCTCCAACCACACATGGTTTAACAACAACTGCAGCTCCAACCACACATGGTTTAACAACAACTGCAGCTCCAACAACTGCAGCTCCTACCATACTTGAACCAACAACAACTCCAGCCCCAACGATACCTGAACCAACAACTACCGCAGCTCCAACCACACATGGTTTAACAACAACTGCAGCTCCAACCACACATGGTTTAACAACAACTGCAGCACCAACTACACATGGTTTAACAACAACTGCAGCTCCAACAACACCTGGACTAACAACAGCAGCACCAACAACTGCAGCTCCTACCATACTTGAACCAACAACAACTCCAGCCCCAACGATACCTGAACAAACAACTACCGCAGCTCCAACCACACATGGTTTAACAACAACTGCATTCCCCCCCAGATCAACTCCATCGCCATTAACAGCAGCATCCACATCAACAGCAGCACTAATCACAGCATCAAGCCCACCTCCAACAACATCAACAGATATAACCACAATCTCCAACATCTCTTCAATCACACAACCAATTAGCTCTTCTATTACGATCCAAACAAACAGAACCACAATTTCCCCCCTTAACACTACTTGTGGTGGTTGTCCGACAACACCCCCTCTGACTACTACCACTACACCGACTAACACAACTACTACTCCACTACCTGTTGTAATTACCAATACTGCAACAACACCTAACACTACTAATTCAACAACCCCTCCTACTATTACTTCAACAACACCTACTACTATTACCACAACAACACCTACTACTATTACCACAACAACACCTACTACTATTACTACAACAACACCTACTACTAATACTACAACAACACCTACTACTAATACTTCAACAACACCTACTACTAATACTTCAACAACACCTACTACTATTACTACAACAACACCTACTACTAATACTACAACACCTACTACTAATACTTCAACAACACCTACTACTATTACTACAACAACACCTACTACTAATACAACAACACCTACTACTAATACTACAACAACACCTACTACTATTACTACAACAACACCTACTACTAATACTACAACAACACCTACTACTAATACTACAACAACACCTACTACTATTGCTACAACAACACCTACTACTAATACTACAACAACACCTACTACTATTACTTCAACAACACATACTACTAATACTACAACAACACCTACTACTAATACTTCAACTACTACAACGACAAAATCGCTGTCAACCACAACTAAAGTCGTGGTTCAAGGTATGAAACGGTCCATACAAATGCATCCCATTAGAGTATGTGTAGTTCCCATTGGCCATATCGACAATTGATCATTCTGTAAAAAGCAACACCAAATCATTGGCATGGCCTTGCTGTGTGTTTGCAGCTCATGTGCTTGCATCGTCATTAGAAATTCACAAACTACAATTCTGACTATAATTCTAATTATTTTGGCAAGAATCAATTTGAGTTGTTTGTTACCAACAATACTGGCATTTTCCTCCAATATACACGAAGTTAACCAGGAGAGCCTCCCTGAGCCTCAGCACTGTTTCAGGAGAGCCCCTGCAAGTTCGCGGTCAGGGGCGATGTTGCTGCTGTGTGTAATCCCAATTGAGTAATTTTTCAGCATCTGAATGTTTGGCCAAATACCAATTGTTGTGTTGCTGAATTTACTTCCACAACGTTTGCCCACAGTGGAGAACGAACTGCTTTCCTATGCAAATGACACAAAACTTACTGTGTCCGCGTCCCCGACGTTTAACGTGCTCTACGGCTTTCCGCTGGGACCAACATTCTACAACAACGTCTACGTGAGTGTTCCCCTAGTCCTGTCATGGATTCTATCACCACCAACAAAATGGTTGTGCATTTTTAGTTTCAGGAAAGTCTGTTTTATTAAGAATGCAACAAGAGCTTATAGGAATACAGTTGTATCGAGAGATTCGTAGAGATCATTACAACAGTGTATTGCTCGTCGAAAAATATCATACAAAACAACCGCAAAAATCTACATTACAAGATACTTAATTGGGCCATCCTTGAGTCAGTCTTTCATTCATAGAACTCGCGTAATGTTCATCATAGGGTCAATTTAGGACTTAATCTGTCTAGGACAAGATTACGATGGATAAGCTTTAACTCTAATCTTCACAATCTGTACCAGTTGTATACTCTCCGAACCTCGTGGGTTTACATGCCTTCATAATCTACCGTCACATAGCTGCAATATTTAAGTTGACAGTTTGGGACAGTTACATCAAATGAAGAAAAATCCAAGTAACTTGACCTGTGGTTTTGTCCGAATGGTCCTACTGTATATGGATATATTAGTCACTTGACAGTTTTTAAATGAAAGACATGGAGAAGTGCTTTGTTAAATGTAGTCACACACACTATGCATGAAACTTGACAACCTCGGTACTGATTAGCTTATGAGTGATTTTCATATAGTAAAACCTGGGACCACTTAGGCAACATCTAGTAATGCATCAGAATATATGAATATCTTCAATCTAAGTTTTACCCACAATGTGATAGTTAAAATTAAGTATTTCTATTACTATGTTTCTGCAAAGTCTAAATGAATATTCCTTGGTGTGGTTGTTCTCTTTTTGACCCCCTTGTTTCGGCAGTTCACCAAGAATGGAGTGTTCGTGTTTTCTACTAATCAGTACGCGCCAAAGTTTCCATTTCCTTACCCGCCATCCATTGGCTTCCAAAGTGGCAGTGCCAATGCAATTGTGGCAACGTTTTGGGACGACGTAGACATCTCCGCAGGAATTGGAAACATTTACTTCAAGGTGCGGCAGACATATATAAACGATAGCATCACATACACCATCCCAGCAGTCCAAACAAGATCCATGTACAGTACATGACCTTCAATTAATTATCATCAGCTATCTTGAATCCACTGTTGAATTAAGTCTTCCCGAAGCCGTCGAAATCTATCACAGTCTCATGATGCAATAATCCATCTGTCACTTGCACGTGAACTGAATTAATTCCTCCATCAGCTGTCACTCCATCACTATTCTCAACCACCTGCCATTATCGACGTCCTGTTTAATTGACAGGAATTGCATGTATTATCTGAGCAATACAAGCCACATTATGTGCAATCATTACCTCTACCAATGGAATTAATAGTGTTTCCATCTTATTTAAATATATTTCTTCTATTTTTCACTTGTCATTGTGTATTGTTTTCTCAGGAATACATTGATGGAATTGATGCGGATATTAAGACAAAAACCAAAAATCTCATTAAAAAGGTATACGCTAACATGGGAAACTTTGAGCCTTCGTGGATGTTGAAAGTCACTTGGGAGGGAGTCCCTGCTTCGTTTGAAAACAACAATAGAGATCACGTGAGTAATAATCTTAACATGCAAAGGTGTGCATTAAATGAACCTTACGACGGTACCCCGGGGTCCCATAGTACCCCGGCTCTCGCATAATGTCCGTGATGCAGTCATTTTTAGTCTGTTGATGGTCGTCGATGCGGCAATCGACTCATCTCAACGAACTGTACACAATGCACGATTCAAAGTTGAATTTTTCGATAACGGATTTTTTATGCTGATGTTTGGCGTTTCGACATCGCGGACGCGGAGTAGCACTGATTTCGGATTGATTGGTACCCCAGTCGCGGAGTTAAGTACACCCCTGGAAAAATGTGTCCCAGAAACTAAATATTTAATTGTCTCGGCCATTTAGTATTATTTAGTACCCTGGGGTACCGCCATAAAATGTGCAAAAGCACATTTACCCTGTCCACCAGCTCAAAAGAGCTGAATGTGTGGCCATTACTGGCTTTTAGAACCACCAACTGAACATGAAGCAGTGAAACAAAGACACAACTGTAGAGCAGTTCCTTCCTCGTTAGGACTCATCAGTATAATGCAGTCATCAATGTTTGCTGCTGCCATACGCCTCTGGGAACTCTATATACCGAGATAACTCTGTAACCTTTATGCTATGGGGACCCCATTAGCACTTGCCTAACGCCAAACTAAATTCAAATCTATAAATGACAATAAATAGGATATAAACAGTACACTACCATATACTACACACACTGTATATGTTTTAAGAATCTTGGAAATACATTAGTTTAGCCAACCTGAATCGCTTCAGTTAATTATCAACGTTCTCCCCTCGTCCCACCTTGGAGAACGTGTTCATCTTTCCACATTTACCAAGATTCAAAGTGTGACAATGTGATCTATAAATGTCAACAAGATAAAATTCAGAGCCAATAAAAATCATTCTCCTCTATTGTTAGATCAGCACCGGCAAATTAATTCCCATTCATGAGATAGCTAAATCCAATGCGAATCAAAAAGGGCATTCTGGCTTGAGTGATGTCTACCGTGATAACTTATGCTATTTATTTCACTGCATCCACCTGCTGCTAAGTCAAATTAATACAGCTTTAACATGTATAGCACTCTAATAGAGAATATTTGTGGAAAAATCTGCAACATGGCAGGGTGGCGTTAAAGGGCCAGAGTTTGATTCCTGACTTAGGTGCCTCTCTGTGTGGAATCTATAATTATGTTTTTCCCCTGTTCTTGATAAGTTTCCTTCGGGTTGCCCGGTTTGCTCATATATCTTCTAAAACATCATACAATATAACTGCTATTGGACAAAAATCCCAATAGTTACAAAAATACCAGCAAATTACTCATTTTGGATTGCACATAGTAACATCGCCTGCTACTGCAAAACCATGGAAGGACCCTCCTAAAACAGTCTTGGACCAAGGCTTCCCTGGGTAAACAAGCAACATTAACACTCTCCTGCCATCTTGTTGAGAATGTAAACACTTGAAAGCAACGTCCGTAACATTGGCCGCGTCGTGAATGAATGTGTGCTCGCCCCACCCTCGACAGACGAACACGTTCCAGGGCATCCTGGTCACGGATGGGGTGTTCTCGTTCTGCATCAGCATTTTCCAGAGGATGAACTGGCAAATATCCCGGAGGGCCAAAAACGCAAACAACGCCCTCATGGGATACCACACGTGAGCACTCAGCACTAACTATACGGGCTATTAGTAGCAGGTAGAGGGAGGCGGTCCTTTATGTCACATAAAAAAACCGTTGAAACCACCACTCGTTTTTAAGGGAGAACCTTTGTTGTATACATTTAACCCAACATTGTATCTAGTCTCGATGATAAATGTTTTTTTTTATTAGATCGCGTACATATAAATGTGTCGTCTTGTGTCAAACCATGACCCATAATCCTTCATGGAGGGTGCTTGCTTCTAAACATCTGGCAGTTCACCACCACCATTGGTTTAAGCAACCCTGACCGCTGCTGAGAAACTGATTGTTTGAAGCCAGTCCAGAGTTTGCTTGTGTTGAACTAATACTCCGAGAAGAGCTTGTGGCTGACGAGAAGTGGAAACTACTAAATTTGTATGTGGAGAGACATGCATGGGAAGGATTCGTCGTATCTACTGCGATGGTGGGGGAGACTCAAAACCACGTGCTGTCACAGGAAACACCGTGAGCCACAATTTCCGACAACGTTGCCATAACGTTGCCCCACGGGATTATGGCGTTGAGGGAAGGGCTGCCACATTACAATGTGCCCCGGTTGGGCCTACCACACATTTGGTAGCCTTATATTTTCTTTTAAATACTCTGTGTATTTACAATGTTTTACTCTGGAAAATACACAAACGATGCAACAGCTCGTTTTCAAGGGTGTCTGGGGTACAACCACCTGTTTGGTGATGGGGTTGTTTGACCATGCTTCACCACGCTTGTCCGTTTGGTGAATGAGGTGGCCTAAGGCCTAGTTGAGATATCACTGGTGGCTAACATTGATCGCAGGCACGAATTGATTGGTTCATAGCGCAATCGGCTAACCACTGCGAAATTACACCAAACAGAATAGACGATGCCCATAACAGCCTCGTGAATGCCAAATAATCAATGGTGATGAGGAAACCAAACAATGCAACGTACAGATCACCTTGGAGGACGCGGTGTGCTGTTTTGTAACTGCTTCATCTGCTCAAACCACAGAGGAGTTTTCGGCGTCTTCTACAATAACGAGATTCGGAATCAGCCCGCTGAAGTGCGATACAAGCCCGACAACGTCACAGGAAACACAGGTCTGTCCACTCACGTGTGCCATTCATTATCATGATTCGGGGTCGCAATTCAAGAAGAGGTTTTTTTTACTATGATGCTGAATCTAGAACCTGCACTGACTGAATGGTTAATATGAACTAATGATACATAGTTTATATGAACTAATTATATACAACGTATAAAATTCTAAAATTATGTATTACATGCTCAGTTTGATGCCTGTTACAAGTCTTCAAAATAAGATAGATGGTATGCCGTGCCCTACATAACAGTATCACGCAAAATAACCATTCACATCGTTGTGGATAATATAAGTAACAAAATAAACAAGTAGACAATTCACCGACTTAACGAAGACAATAATTGTACACGTCCATGTAAAATAGTTTGTATGATGAGAGACCACGCGGCAGCTCGTCCCAGTTGAGTGCTGCTCTGCACGGTATCTGCTGTAGCAGTGGTTCGTGAGATTTGATGTGGCTTCAGTGGTGTTTGTTTACATGTTTTACTTGCAGTACATACTGTACATTTTGTGCAATATGATCATTATAATTGTTTGTAATTACCAATCGCAACATCGCCCCCTACTGACAGACTAAGCCCACTTGCAGGATGGTGTTGCGTCACCTGCTGCCGCATAGGGACAGCTTTCATCAGGAGGTCACCCCGACATCGAGGAACAATCCAGATTAGCATCAGAATGATTTTATGAGATGTCAAGGCACTTTGAGATTCTGGGACATTTAAGCCCTCGATAAATGGAAATGCTTCAATACACTGAACAGTATAAAACATTAAAAGGTAGAAGTCGGCTACGTTCGGTTTCGCGAGGCACACCCTACCCACAGATGAGGCCACGTGGCATCGTGAGAGTGAGAATCTATTCCACATCAATGCATCTGTGCATCTTTGCATGCGACCTGGTGTGTTCTCAAGTATTGCATAACAACATACAATTGGCTCGGTGGTGAGCACACTGCACCGTGAACCCGGCCACCTAAGTTCGAGTCCTTGCCATGGCTATGTGATCAGTGGCGAGTGATTATCTGCACCCGTCCGTGCCCCCACCGCCACCGCCCTTCAACAAGCAGCTGGCAAGTGGCGTGGGGAAGCCTTCCAGAAGTGGATTGACAAATGTCTGTAACCTAACGTTTATTGCGTCTTGAAAATGCTGTCTTTATGTGGGCCAGGTGTAAAAGGCATCTGGGTGTATAGACTGGAGAACAACACCCTGGTAACCGTGAACAGCAAGAAGAGCTGCCTCAACTGGGTCAATCACGAAACGATGCATTTCTGGGGTTCGACACCGTGCCCGTGCTCCTACTGGCAAGGAATGATGGACATGGAGTTCATAGACGAATACGTTATCCAGTACTACGGATACCAAGTCAAGCCTTTCCCAGGTAAGCAATGCGGCGGAGTGTACCACCTCGCGCCGTGGGCAGCAGAGGGCGGTGCAGCAAAAGCCATTGTTGTATGCCTCTGCTGTGCTCCCACAAGCGCGGATGCTCCCCACCTTTTCCAAATGTTGGCCGTGAGTTTGCCGAACTTGTGGAACTGCCTTCAACTAAACATGCGCACGCGTATCGTATTTGACTTGGGTTTGTTTTGCTGCCACAGGCGCGGCGTACACGCTGCAGAGCGTGTGGCAGAACCCCGACAGATCGGGCGTGCGCTGTTACTACGATTGGCGAGGCTCCCTCATCACGGGGCAGCACGAGCGCGAGCTGCCAACGCCCTGGGACCCGCCCATCAACCCCTGGTGGTTCTTCCGGAATGAGTACTGGTTCTACCAAATCTACTTCCAGATATACATTCCATGGTTGCGAACGGATGCCAACAATTACTACAGTAAGTTCCTGTTGTGTTTAATTCATTCTTTCATCATCAGCATTTCTGAAGAACTGCTTGTTTATATTTAGTTAGTTGTCCTTACCCCGCACCTCCAATTCGCACGGTTGGCTACGTACGGTGCGAAAGAAGTTCAACATGCATACGTACAGTATGCATAGCAATCAGGAAAGCCTCACTGAGTTTCAAGAATATTTTTAGGCGGATCCTGACAAGTTTTCATAGTAGGGGGCCCATGTTGCTGTGTGTAATCCCATTGAGTAATTTGTAGTTACATTTAAAAATTGGCAAATTTGAACCAAATCGCCACCACGCAATGGATGACTGTACTCCTTTCAAAAGACGTCACAGAATTGTTAACATCCACTTTGAAAGAGATGGCACATGTTCATGGTTAGTGTAACACGATTTTTTCACAAATCTGGCTGTCCGCCTGATGATGCTAGTTGTAATCACTCGCGAAACGTCGTACTCGGATTGTAAATGTTGTGGATTTGCTCTCCAGCACACCGGTGTGCTGTACTAGTAACGAATTGGCACGTTCTGTTTACGTGACAACCTTTACTAGTTGGCTGTGTCGGGTAGTAGCGGGTTTAACGACATTAATATTTACGCGATCTAACCCAAAAAAACGATATTGACCACAAGTATTGTGGTTAATGCAGACATGATTCCTCGTAAAAGGTTTCAGTTTGGTTGTTTTAACATGTTAACACTTGTTTTGTTTGCCAGAAAAAAAGGGGAAAACCTATTCTCAATGTTATAGACGTTTTAATTTTAAAACTCCATGCTGTTAATTTACACCATGCTGTCTGCTTCTCTGTGTGCTTCTGAACACTGCAGCCAACGAGGTGAAGCCGTACAAGGACTGTTGCCTGAACTCAGGAGACAACTACTTCTGCTCTTTGTACCAAACAAAGCGTCCCGCGGTATCCTGCTGGAATTACAGTCCCCCCTGGTTTGGTAAGTGGAGACAAAATTTCAACACACCCCAAGTTATGCACATCAAACCAGTTTCATGCGAGTATATCGATACTGCCGTGTTGTAATAATCATCACTTTGCTCCCCCGGCGTGGCAATTGAAACAATGTTCAAGTTTCTTAAATCCCCCGCCTCTCGCCACCCAGCAGTATAAATGGATACACCACAGTCGATCGGCACGTTGGCTGTGGTGTGTAAATTGTCGGTGCTCGCACCTCTTCCGAGAAGTGTGGCCAGCGTGGATGAGTAGGCCAAATACCCTATAGAGGGGCTCTTTCGAGCTTCCTCTCGGGGAGGCCCTTCCACCACCAGTGACGGAAAAAAGCAATTGCAGGGCTGCACCTCCACCTTTTGATATTGATGAAACCGCCTTTAAATAATTATTCCTATTTCGTGCCCTGTTTTGGATGTCATTTTGGATTGATGGCTTTTTTGTGGAGCATGGGCCCATTCTGAAATTAAGAATTCAGCAGAGGCTGATTTTACCATTAGAGGCACCCTTCTCGCTAGGGGATTGTATTGACTGCACTGCAAGCACCATCACAGCAAAACTAATGATTTACCTCCACTTGTGTGTTGTGTCTTCTTTGAAAAGGCTGGATGTTTGGCGAGCCACACATCGCCACACTGGACGGAGTGGACTACACGTTCAACGGCCTGGGCGAGTACGATCTGCTCATCGCTAACGATGGAAACGTGACCAAGTTCGTTGTACAGGGGCGCACGCAGCGCGCAGGGGAAAACCACACGTCCATGGCTACGAGCTTCGTGGCGCTGGTGGTGATGCAGACAGGATGCCCAAGGGTAAGGAACGGGCCTTTAAAAATACTGCAAATTACTTAATGCTCCAACCCATCAATAATGATGATTGTGATTTGTTATTGAGACACACTTTATGCCAGTGTCTCACAGTGCGTTATTTGCGATAAGTGACTTACATCACATTTCATATCAAACGGTTGAAAGGGCACCCCCAGTGGCAGCTGCACCTCGCCTGCAATCAGGCAATAGTCTGCCTATAGGGGGCGATGCTTGCTGTGATGTCCAATCCAAAATGAGGAATTTGCAGGTAATGATTCGATTTTGGCAAATGGCACACCATACGTATTTTTATTTAAATGGAATTAGGGAATCTTCAACGGCCATTATGAAGCAGACTGAACGTATTTAATGGTTAATACAGACACAGTAATTATCAGGGCGACCTGCTTGGTTCGAACCGCAAACCTCTGCAGTAAATGATGAACATGCCACCATTGAGCTATGCCATCCAATAAAACTATAAACCCATCAATAAAGGTGTCGATTTTTCTCACTCATTTTACAGAAACGATGCTAACCTAGGGGTTTTATTTACAGATTTCCCCAGCCATAGCTATAATCCTGTAAACAACATTAGAGCTTCAATCAATTTACATTGTGTTTTAACATTTCATATTGTCAAGGAAACAACTCTTTGCTTACCACTTGCAGCGCAATGGAATACTAATGGCGCAGGTCACAGATTTGTAACATACCCATGTTTTTACTCAACAGGTGGAGTTGAAACTGGATCAGGAGAACACAACCTTGCTTTTCATTGAAGGATATCAATTCAATGTTTCAGGTAAATTCCATAATGCATCAGCTGAATTAACGGCCTCGATCGACACAAGACGTACTAATGTTTGCCACTCTTCAATTAAGTACAATGATGGAAATGATGAGATATACAACTTCTTAACGTTGTGTTTCAAACAGTGGTCAACCTTTATCCAGGCCTAGTGCACCGCTGCAAGCTGATGAGATTCTCTGAATGTGGCCTCCTACACTTCATACCTTGTCCCTGGCTTAGGCATCCATTTACCAGTTATTTTAGCTGCTTAGTACATAATGAATAAAATTATAATTCACTGCCCACTTTTGGGTGAATGCCTCCCCACGCCACGTCGGTAATGGCCGTTGTTTGGCCACACTTCACCACGCTGGTTAGTGCGGGTTGGAGAAAGAGGGCCCAGGACCATTACAGATATCACTCATCACTGATGTTAGCCATGGCTGGGAATCAAACATAGGGCATCATGAATAGGTCAACATAATTGTGCCAAGCACTCCATATTTAATATGTTTAAACTAACATAATATTCATACCACAACAGTATTGCTCTAAATGCTCACCATTGTACAATCGAAACACCGGAATTGTTTTTAACCCCTGCAGAAAATGCCACCACAATAAATGGGACCACGGTGATGTTGAACAACGGGAGCACTGTGGCATCGTTTAAGTCGGGCGCGTCCGTGACGGTGACGGCCATAATGGGGGCCCTGCAGTTCCTCATCTCCCTGCCAGAGAAGATGCGCAACAACACCCAGGGGCTGCTCGGTGAGCTAACTTACCCGATATCCGGCAGACTCTGTCACAACCCACTCACATCCAAAAGATCCTCATCGCGAGTGGTCATGTCCAATCAGATGGTAAGGTTTTCTGTAAGTCAGCCTTATTCTTTATTGTCTCCTAAAGTGTAGCCAGACTTTGGCTTCCCAAAATAAAGCATCTCAACCAGACAATACAGACGATATGCTTATAACATCAAATGTATGTACACACAGCTATAAAGATTGAGTGAAATGTAACAAATTATTGCATGTCTCCACTCCCATTGTCAGGATTTTGCCATCAGTGATTGTTAATTCTGCACAAGGCAACCATTAATGGCATTAGCAGCAAAGGCCGGAATAGCCATGTTAATAAGTCAGAGGTGGTGATCCGATCGTGTGTTTGCTACTATTTGCAGAGGTTCTGGGTTTGAACCAGACAGGCAACCCTGGATATTACTTTAGGGGTATTAACTATAAAAATACGACACATCAGCTTTAGGGTGAATGTTAAAGATCCCGTGACATAACTTGAAATGAGGCCATTATGTGCTAGTGCCATGGTTCAAATTTGCAAAGTAAAAAAATTACCTTTAAATTATTAAATTGGCATCACACATAGCAACATCGCACCCCCTACTGTGAAACTACTACAACCCTTGTCTGTAAAACACTGCGCCTCTGTGATAGCCTTGCACTGTAAGAAAGGCACACATTTCAAATGTATTTAATTATTATTATAGCTATTAAGAATCCTGACATGACGCAGTGACACATTCGTGTCACAGGCAGGTAGGCCAGCCACTGACAACGTGTGATGAGGGTTACTGACTGAAGAAGAAAACGTGCTCACTTGCTTTTGCCTCTGGTGATTTACATCTGAGAGTACTGTCCTCGTTTTTCAGGCTTCTTAATTTGTTTTCGTATCTGTTTTTCATGACATTTATAGGAGTATTCAATGGAAACAAAACAGATGACTTTACAGCAAGAAATGGCACCATTTTGCCATTCAATGGAGACAAACCTCCGAAGGATGACAGAATATTTTTTGAATTTGGACAATCCTGTAAGTAAAAAAATATGTATGCTAATTCACAAATCATTTATTACAGTAATAACACATTTCTTACCGTATTTGAGTGTTATGCTTCAATGAGGATATGCAAGGCTCTAATTAAAAAGACATGTAAAGGTAGAAAATATGCACATATAATAAGGGCTTAATTTTAGCCAGAGCTTTCCAGTGTTGGGCTCTGGAAAACATTTTCCTGCCCTCCTTGTTGGGGGAGATGGTAGGAATTGGGGGGTTAAGAATTGAGGTGCCTTCGAAATTAATCCATGAGAAATAAAACACATCTAACACATTGCACATGTTACATGCCTAACTTATCGCAGTTGTACAATGTCCGTTTCATTGAGCAAAATATCTTCTCACATGTTCCCCAGGGAAAATAACAAACGAGAGTTCACTGTTCAGCTACAATGGCAGTGAGAGCTGGTTAATATTCAACAACAACACCTTTGTGCCAAGATTCTTTGATGATCTTTTACAAGAAAATGCAACCAAAACAAAGGAAATCACAGCTCTCTGCAATGGCAGTGATGCTTGCATATTCGATGCCCTGAGCACAGGAGACATACTCTTCGCCCTTGAATCCAAGAAGGCCAACTCAACGTTCGAGAGGATTAACACAGTTGTCCGTAAGAATCCCAGCTTTGTGCACTTTAAGTTCTGTTACAAAAAACAGGGTGACTGCTTGAAACATGACCTGCTCTTCTTGATTTACCTTCCCTCTGGCTGCGCACACAGCTAACTCTGTTGCTTATTTAAAGTCCAGGCTGTAGAACATCATATTCTCCTCTGCCTATAATTGACAGTCTCCTCTGCATCTGATATCAATGTCTTTCGCCAGTTTCCCCCCCCCCCTCCTCGTCTACTTGACCTTTTAACAACAAAAATTCTCCTGCTTTTCCCATATTCATACATTGGTACATCATATGTATTGACAAGCATCTTTCTAGTATTTAATTAATCTGTTTTTTTTTAATTATGATGAACAGGTAACTCGCTACCCAATATTACCGGCAGTTCTGTGCTTGAGACGCGCGTGAAGGAGGCCAAGACAATCAAGTTCAACATCACGGATCTAGACGGAGACAGGATCACCCTCTCCATCTCCTCAACATCTCCAGATATAAATATCACAGGTATCCAAGGGACTGAACGTAGCCCTGTGTTATGCCATAGTCTCGGCTCCAGCTCCTCTCGGATGTACGAGGCGGCCGCCATGGCAGTCATCTTTCCTTAGCGGTATATTATACCGCTAAAGAACGTGGTCTTGGGGGGCCAAATGGACATTTGGTCGTGCTCGTCCCACCCCAGAGCTGCCCGAGTGTCAGCCATGGTCTACTGGATGTTCCATTGAGGATACGCTCACGGACATACAACCTTAAATGCTTGATATTTCAGGAGAGTTCACACATTATTGGATCAGATTCAGATCGTGACAAAACTGTCAAAACACTTCACCATGGTGATTTACCCCAATTTTCGTGATGGACACATCGGCACGCTTTCGCCAAAACTCGGATTAAATGGAAACTGGCAATGTGTGAATCCTGCCTCAAGAGTTCCCATGAGAGAGAGACCGCTTCTGCAGTGGGCGCTCTCCTGGTTTTATCTTTAATGGAACATTTTAATTACAATGACGTACAGTAAATGCATGTCACCAACCTTGAAGATTAAATATAATGCATCAAATAAATACGATTAGTACCAACCGCAGTATGTTTTAATGTCCTAATAAGTTGAAATAAAACCCTAACTATTCCTCAATCCAAATCATGTTTCAGCATTCTGTATTTATGTTCCACAGTGGCTAGCTTTACATATATATGGTTCTTAAAATTCCTCATAAATCAGGGCACTTTCCATTTCTAGGACAAATTATAAATACCATCATGGTATGATTTAATTAACAAAACTTAACTTATTTTGGCCAAACATCCGCAAGCTAAAAAATGTCCTGCATATTACTTAATTGGGATTACACACAGCAGTAACATTGCCCCAGACTGCAAAACTTGCCAGGATCCTCTTGAAACCGAGTCTTGAGACTCAAGTGAGGCTTTCCAAGTAAACAGCGAAATAATAACAATACATTGTAATCCCCCTAAATTCACTGCCGAAGCGCAGGTCCAGGGCTCAGGCTCCCTCTTCCCCATCCCACCACAACCCCCCTCCTTGCCTTGCAACACCACATCCGTACTAGGGATCTTGAACCATAACGTGAGAGAGGAGTGGGTGTCTCTGACCATAGTTCAACATGCTGGGCAGAGCAGGTTGGACCAGTCCAGATGTCACTCTCCACTGCCGGGAATTGAAGTTAGGTCGCCTGGTTTACAGCGCAATGCGCAAACAACCGTGCCAACTCTCCACCCAGATGTCAATTCATGGAACGTCCCTCCACCCAGCTATCAGTCAATGCAACCTACAGGTTGGAGAAGACGTTTCAGCCGCTGCGGTGTATCGCGTTAACATGGCCGTCTCTCCGCAGCGGACGGCGTGGTGGTGTGGCTGCCCACCTCTTCGCAAGCGGTGTTCGCTTCTGTCGTGGCTTCGGACGGCGTAAGGGCCCCAGACGGCACCCTGACCCCGACGCTAATGCCACTCAACCTCGCGCTGTGCAACTGCAGCGCCAACAGCACCTGCCTGTTCTCGGAGCCAATGTACAGCGAGCAACAGAACCAGTCCACCTTCCAAGTGAGAACTTGTACTTTTTTAAACAAACCTCTCCTGTTTTACAGCAGTCGGCGCGGTCTGATTGAGTTATGACAAGCGGTGACTTGTTAGTTTCTTAAATGGCCGCTGTTGAAACTACGGCAAAACCTCTCTTATCCGGCACTTTACCATCCAGAATGCTCTATTAACCAGCATCTCTCACAGACGAAAATATCAATCTTCCTTCAGGCAACCATAGAAATTCCCGACAGCCATCCGGCATCTTGGCGTGCGCTTCTCAGAGATGCGCTGTTGCTCACGGGAGCTTCGCGACGCTACTAAATGACGGCTCTCGCGACTGTCTATTCATACAGAACTGTACAGACTGTACCACTGTGTACTGTACCACTGTACGTTGTGTTATTGTACTCTAAAGGGCCCCACTACTTCTCCACAGTCAACTTGTCAACTTAGAATGTGCCACAACTGGCCGGTGGGTACATCTGTAAGAGAGTTTATTATTTATTTTGCCATTGTTAGAATGTAAGTTTAGTTTATTTCTTGAAAAGTTGTATTTACTCAGAAACATGTGGTGAATCATAAGTATAACTCTCAGATTATAACCGGCGTGTTTGATTAACCCACGGATGCCGGCTAACAGAGCTCTTGCTCTACTTAGGTCGATGCTTGAGTACAGTATTCTACAATTACAGTACTTTGGCATTTTCCGTCACAGAGAAACACAAATAGCATACAGTGTATCAGTCTTAATATAATAAGCAGTGTGTGTGTATCAACTGTGTGTGTGTGGAGGTGCACACAGTCCCGTTACTCATGCCACGCTTGCTTCTTCATGTCCACGTGTCAGGTTGCCAGCTGCAACTGCTCGGCCGGCTACACTGGGCAGTTCTGCGACGAAAACTTGAATGCCTGTGTGATCAACCCCTGCTACCCGGGCATCAACTGCACAGACCTGCCCCCTCCGTCTTTGGGCTACAAATGTGGTCCCTGCCCTGCGGGCTACACTGGCGATGGGGAGAATTGTCTTGGTAAGTCCGCAGAGAAGTCCCTTGGGGCCTGGCCTCTGATATCCATGAATGTGCAGGAGTGGTGTTGGATCTTTAAGTGACCGAATGTGACCCCGGGTCTTTTCTCTCTGTATTTCGCCAGACATTGATGAGTGCAACGTCACGTCCCCTTGCGGTGGTCATGGAAGCTGCACCAACAGCCCAGGATTCTTCAACTGCAGCTGCTTCCCCGGCTACAGAGACCCTCCCACCTGCCGGGACATCGACGAGTGTGCGGAGAACACGTCCATCTGCAACAACGCCACCGAAAACTGTCGCAACAATGAAGGGAATTACAGCTGCTTCCCCAGGCCAGGCCTCCCAGGTACGGCTGCAGTACTCGCAACTGACAGGGAATCCTGCAGCACAACGTGAGCATGAGGGCAGCTTTCGATGAAAACAGCGCAATCCATCAGCGGCCTTGTGATCTGATCGCAGCGATTTGTTTTTGATGGAGCACCCTTCACACCGCAGCGTCTCAGAGCACCTTACACGCCATAAGTGGCTTGCATCTCATCTCCAATTTTTGTAAGGGCACCCCCAAGTGGCAGCTGCTCCTGTGGGCAGAAGATCACTGACCACCTGATCTACAAACCGGCGTTGGTCTGCCAGTAGGGTGGAGATGATTGCTATTTGTAATCCCATTTTAGTCATTTGGTAAATTTGAACCATGACGCCGGCACATAATGGTTGATTGACATCCGGAGATCTTAAACATTCACTGTGCAGCAGACAACTTGCCTTTTATGGTTTATGCCACCGCATTAATAACCAGGGTGGCCTGTTGGATTCGAACCGTGAACCTCTGCAACAAGCAGTGAACGCGCTACCACTGAGCGACGTCATTGTCCCATGATATTTACATTAAACGTGCACGTAATTACAAACATTTGTACTGATAAGCATTTTACTGCACGTATTTATATAGTCCATTCTTGAGACAACACTCTCACTGTCAAACGTTCAAACCCAATAAAATGTTGCACTAAAGTAAAAATGTATTGTCTAACACATCAGACATGCATTGTATGTCATGTCTTTCTCCCCATAAAAATACTGCTCTTCATCACGCTCCATCCTCTACTAAACAGGCAACAAGCCGCCAACTATCAACGGAAGTACCGAGGTTCAAGCGCGGTTGAATGAGTCGACGATTCTACAGATCACGGTGGTGGATCCCGAGTCAGACCCCATCACCCTGACGATCACTCCGAACTCTTCAGACTTCACAATTTACGGTAAATATATCATTGTCATAAAACGTTTATCCACCGTGTGTTAGACAAACCTTCGTGGCAGGAAGAGTCGGAACTGTACTCTGGGTAACTGCTTCCCAGCCATGATGCATGTCTTCTTTTGTGTAATCACCATTGCCTGTTACCGGCTATGACATATGAATCATAAAGATGAAAACTGACTAAGAAAATGAAACAAAAAGCTGATAGTTGCATAAATACGTGCGGAGGGGTGTATGCTCAGGATAACACTAAGACACAGGAAGTGGAACAAACAGATCAGGGGCCAAATACAAATTAAATACATCATATTTAATGTTCAGAAAAATAAGTGGGTTGAGCAGGACCCACCATGGCTAGGAGGGACGATGGCCAAGAGATAAGACTGGTGATGGATGTGAGAAAGAGACCACCACGGAGATGGAGCAATGAGATCAGTGCAAGCGCAGTAGTGAGTGGGATTGTGGCATTGCAGAGCTGTGTGAGGTGGCAATGGCAGGTGAAGGCCTTCATCCGGCAATGGAATGGCCGTGGTTAATGAAATTACTTGTTGATGTAGATGTCTTCTTTGCAAATGCGACAGTCGTTAAATTAAACCGACATATTTATCAGTGTCTATACATTGTGTAAATATAAGATGTTCATATATTAATTTAAAGGAAGCCCTACGTGGGCACAATTGCCAGTGCATGCGTACTGCAATCAGATCTCTGCCGCTGCCGTGCGTGAGGGACAGACAGCAGCTAAACGATCGCCCTGACCACTCTCACCCTCCACGTGCGGTCGCTCTCCCCCAGCCAACGGCTCGGTGGGGTGGCGGCCCAGCTCCACGCGGGAGGCGTTGGTGTGGCTGGTGGCCTCGGACGGAGGGAGTTCATCGCGGGTGGCGCTCTCGCTCACCGTGTGCAACTGCAGCCGGAACGCCGCTTGCAACTTCTCGCAGCCGCTGCTCAGCAGCTCCAACGGCTCGGCATCGTTTCAGGTGCCACAGGACCTCGAGGATGGGTGTTGATATTCTCACGCCTGTTAGATTTAGAATAAGTGTGTGTACTCGCGTTATTACTCGTGTGCTGTGTATGGGACAATCAACACCCGGGGATCGCCTTGCGAATGAGATGTTCGACCCCAAGTGATGATTACCCAGGTGAAATATTTTCATGAATAGAAACAAATACAATTACATAAAAATGAGAAACCACATTCACGTTTCCGAGAGGAGGCAGACAGACAACTGAAACAATTGGAAAAAAATATTCTCTCATTTACAACCCGCCCTTGCACGTCGGTGCTATATCAACATGTTCCCAATGGATGTGGCCTCTCTGTGCGCCCGTGGGTGTAGGTCGCGAGCTGCCTGTGCTCGAGCGGCTACGTTGGAACCTACTGTGACCAGGACTACGACGCCTGCTGGAATAGCCCGTGTTTCTCCAGGGTGACCTGCACGGACCTGCCCGCGCCATCGCTGAACTTCACGTGCGGACCTTGTCCTGTCGGGTACAGCGGCAACGGGAGGTCCTGTCTGGGTAAGCAACATCACGTCGGCCTTGTGACGCGTCCCAGCGGGAGCGCATTCACCGCTTGTTGCAGAGGTTTGCGGCTCGAGCCCCGCGGCCGCCCTGGTTAATACTGCGGTGTGCTTATTAACTATAAAATGCTACATATACCATCTGCTTCACAGTGGATGTTAAAGTTCCCCTGACATAATTCGAAATGAGTATGACATCGTGTGCCAACGTCATGGTCCAAATTTGGCAATTAAAAAAATTACCTGCAAATGACTCAATTTGGATTACACGTAGCAAACGTGGCACCCTACTGGCAGCCAAATGCCTGTTTGCAGGCCAGGTGCTCAGTCACCTTATGCCCACATTGACCGCTACCACTGGGGGTGCCCTTTTGAATGTATGAGATGAGATGTGCTGTGACCCGCTCTGGGTTACCATATCGGCTGAAGTTCTTGGCAAAATAAATGATCTTATTCTCGCTGATGCTGATATAGATTTGCAGATATATCAGATTCATAATAAATTGACACTGACGGTAATAAATAGGTGCAGCATTTTATTTTTAAGGACATCTTCACGTACGAATCATGAAACACTTACACTATGGGGACCTCATTTGCCAGTAAAAATATGATAATTGGTTCTTTACCCTTCTATCTGGCAACAAAACTGACACCTTTTTACAAGGAGTCATGTTTGCATAGACCACAATACCTGCAGTCATAAATACAAACAAAAGACATAACTCTGATAATGTGCACTGTCCTTGAAGTTGATTGGTCCACACCCGAGACAGCTTTCCTTCGAGCCTAGTCTCACTAGGGTTGGACCAGAAGACGCCAAAAGGCGCCTTCTGGTCCAACCCATGTGAGACTAGGCTCGAAGGAAAGCTGTCTCGGGTGTGGACCAATCAACTTCAAGGACAGTGCACATTATCAGAGTTATGTCTTTTGTTTGTATTTATGACTGCAGGTATTGTGGTCTATGCAAACATGACTCCTTGTAAAAAGGTGTCAGTTTTGTTGCCAGATAGAAGGGTAAAGAACCAATTATCATGAAACACTTGTTATGGGGTTGACTTTAAAATCAATGATCGTTGATCTCAATTACGAGTCCAGCAGTTCACGTGCCTTGTGGCCTGGCCTCTGATATCCATGAATGTGCAGGAGTGGTGTTGGATCTTTAAGTGACCGAATGTGACCCCGGGTCTTTTCTCTATGTATTTCGCCAGACATTGATGAGTGCAACGTCACGTCCCCTTGCGGTGGTCATGGAAGCTGCACCAACAGCCCAGGATCCTTCAACTGCATCTGCTTCCCCGGCTACAGAAACCCTCCCACCTGCTTGGACATCGACGAGTGTGCCGAGCAGCCAAACATCTGCAGCAGCAGCCAGCTCTGCGTGAATACACTCGGCAGTTTCAAGTGCAACTGTAAGCTGGGCGTGTCAGGTGAGGCCCTTCGGTGTATTCCAGCGCACGGTACACACTGGCACATCGGACTCCAGCCGTATTCACTCACCCAGCAGATGAGTTTGGTTGAGTTGAATAAATAATAATGGTACACCTCACAAGATATGCTCACATGCTCATAAGAGTGAGGGCATACGCATATGCTTTGTACGTATGTATGTTGAACTTCTTTCGCGCCGTACACAACCAACCATGCTAGTCGGAGATGCTTTAATTCCATCAATCACGACAACCCGCTGATGATTTATGCACCGTTACTGACCATGTGCAGGCCTGTGCCCACAAATGGTTTGATGTGGATCGCACTCCATTGGTACGATGGATATGAAATGAATGAACCAAATGTACTCAGAATTATTTGGTTTGATGTGTTAAAATCACAACCAGGCAGTAACAGACGCAGCTGTTCACTGTGCTGTGACATCACTGTCAGTCACCACTGACTTCAAACCAATCCTTGAGTCGGGTTGACAAGAACCTGGTCACTTTCAACTGAAGTAAAAGCTAGTCACTACCTGCAGTAATGGTTATCCGAACACATCTGTCAGTGTTACTTTTCTCCATATTGGAGTCGTGATTATACCTCGTACGATCACTGTATATGACATTGTGGAACAGGTACGGTACATATTAGGCTCCGGAAGCACTGATGAAGCTCAAAAGCCTGGTTCATCTCTCGTCAGCCGCTACTGTACAAATCGCAGATCTGGCCAAGGTGGAATACTGTTGTCACGTTTGTGATGGAACTCCCTAGTTCCTACCTGACTGTGCTCAATGGAATCCAACATTAATCATCTGGGCAAACCAATGAAGCTGCGCTCATTGATCAACTCCAGCCACTCTCTCACCGCCATTCAGTTGGTTGTCACCCTTTTGTTGCCACGACCACAATCGTTGTTCCCATGAGCGTCACGAATTCATACCTCCTACCCATGTCAAAGGTGCATTCTACCAGTTAGTTTCCTCTCATCCATACTCTATCGTAAATGTTGCATCCTATAGCATTGTAGGACACAACATGTCTTTTCCTCACTTTGCTCGACTTTGGAACTCCCTCCCCATCCTCTTTCCCCCCCTCATGTTCCGAAACCCTTGCTCAATCACAGAAATGTGTTTGTTGTACGTATGTAGATTGGACTTCTTTCGCACCGTGCGTAGCGAACCGTGATTTCTCAACTACTTCTCTGTCATGCAAAACATTAAGACATTGGCCAAATATCCCTATGCAGCACCCACCAAGAAAACAATATTGAGTGGATGTGAGGCGTTCCTGATTACATAGAGCGTTATTTACATTTCATTAAGAAACTTGGCAATACGTGTTTACTGTAATGCAGTGACCCTCGTGTTTATAACAACCGTAATTTTATCTGGAACAGATGGCAGCTGCAGTCTAGTTTGCCCCGACTCGAACTGCCCCGAGAGCTACTGCAATAAACACGGCACGTGCAGCCTCAACACGACCACGTGCAAGCAGCAGTGCGCTTGTGGAGACAGCTACAGGGGAGACAACTGCCAGAACGGCAAGGAGATCTTTCAGGCGAAGTTAAAAGTCACAGGTGAGTCCACAATCTACATCTCCACGGGACACAGACGCCACCGTGACAGCAGCAGCAGCACAGAGCCACGTTTTCTCTTCACTACTAGGCCTGGCAGTCATGCTATTGGTGATTTGGATGATGCTTGAGCTCTTGGAGGCTGTTGCTCCCCCAGTGTGAGTAGTGAGTGAGTATGTATGTTAAACTCCCCCGATGTGAGTGGGTGAGTGAGTCGCTCCCTCGATGTGAGTTGAGTCGCTCCCCATTGTGAGTGAGTCGCTCTTTGCTCCCCCAGTGTGAGTAGTGGGTGAGTATGTATGTTAAACTCTCCCGATGTGAGTGGGTGAGTGAGTCGCTCCCTCGATGTGAGTTGAGTCGCTCCCCATTGTGAGTGAGTGAGTCGCTCTTTGGTATGAATGGGTGAGTCGCTCCCCCAGTGTGAGTGAGTTCGTCCCGCACTTCCGATTTGCACAGTTGGCTACGTACGGTGCAAAAGAAGATTAACATACATACGTGTCACTCCTCTATTGTGCATGGGGTGATGCGTGGGGATGTTTTGTATTTTTTGTGATTTGTGTGTTAGGCGATTTGAGGTGCCACGGTATTTAAGCATCTAATTCATTAATTTCCTTATCGTGAATGGCAATTGATTGAGCAGTTGTATCGGCGGCATCCCTTTGATCTTTAACTGACACTGCCTTGTACACCGCTGTGCGCTGAGCCAAGTGCTGCGGTCAGCAGTAACGAGGGTATTGTGGATGAGCAGTGGATCCGTGCTTGAGTGGTTGTGCTTCTTTGCGTGCAGGATTAAATGCAATCTACCGGCTGAACCTCACCTTTCAGGGCGAGACGTACGACAGCTATTTAACGGACAGCGCCAATCCGGAATACGTGGCGCGCAGAGATAGCTACATCACAACTGTAAGTGGTGGGTCACCAACGTGAGGACGGCCTTCTCTGGAGCTCTCGGACGTGGGGGACTTGTTGGGGCTCGTATGTGGGGGACTTGTTGGGGCTCGTATGTGGGGGACTTGTTGGGGCTCGTATGTGGGGGACTTGTTGGGGCTCGTATGTGGGGGACTTGTTGGGGCTCGTATGTGGGGGACTAGTTGGGGCTCGTATGTGGGGGACTTGTTTGGGCTCGTATGTGGGGGACTTGTTGGGGCTCGTATGTGGGGGACTTGTCGGGGCTCGTATGTGGGGGACTTGTTGGGGCTCGTATGTGGGAGACTTGTTGAGGCTCGTATGTGGGGGACTTGTTGGGCTCGTATGTGGGGGACTTGTTTGGGCTCGTACGTGGGGGACTTGTTGGGGCTCGTATGTGGGGGACTTGTTGGGCTCGTATGTGGGGGACTTGTTGGGGCTCGTATGTGGGGGACTTGTTGGGCTCGTATGTGGGGGACTTGTTTGGGCTCGTACGTGGGGGACTTGTTGGGGCTCGTATGTGGGGGACTTGTTGGGCTCGTATGTGGGGGACTTGTTGGGGCTCGTATGTGGGGGACTTGTTGGGCTCGTATGTGGGGGACTTGTTGGGGCTCGTATGTGGGGGACTTGTTGGGGCTCGTATGCGGGGGACTTGTTGGGGCTCGTATGCGGGGGACTTGTTGGGGCTCGTATGCGGGGGACTTGTTGGGGCTCGTATGTGGGGGACTTGTTGGGGCTCGTATGTGGGGGACTTGTTGGGGCTCGTATGTGGGGGACTTGTTGGGGCTCGTATGTGGGGGACTTGTTGGGGCTCGTATGTGGGGGACTTGTTGGGGCTCGTATGTGGGGGACTTGTTGGGGCTCGTATGCGGGGGACTTGTTGGGGCTCGTATGCGGGGGACTTGTTGGGGCTCGTATGCGGGGGACTTGTTGGGGCTCGTATGCGGGGGACTTGTTGGGGCTCGTATGTGGGGGACTTGTTGGGGCTCGTATGTGGGGGACTTGTTGGGCTCGTATGTGGGGGACTTGTTGGGGCTCGTATGTGGGAGACTTGTTGGGCTCGTATGTGGGGGACTTGTTGGGGCTCGTATGCGGGGGACTTGTTGGGGCTCGTATGCGGGCGACTTGTTGGGGCTCGTATGTGGGGGACTTGTTGGGGCTCGTATGTGGGGGACTTGTCGGGGCTCGTATGTGGGGGACTTGTCGGGGCTCGTATGCGGGGGACTTGTTGGGGCTCGTATGAGGGGGACTTCATGATCGTTTATTCAATGGATAAACTAGTTCTGCATTGGGAAGTTGGAGTTGTCCACGAACGATCTTCTCTTTCTTCTTTCGTGTGGATTAATAACATCGGATTAAAAATGTAATCTTAGATTTGTTATCACTATTGTCAGCGTGACTTCTACTTGACCGTTTGCTGCTGGAATGTGTTGCTAGACTGGAATGTACTACATCCTAAAACAGGCATTTGTTGAGTTAATATATATTTATACGTATATACAATTTAAACAATTTTCTATGTATTTAGCCTATTTCACAGTGTCCCCTTGCTCAAATGAGCTTTAGGGCTTCACTAATTTTAATGTTTATGGAACTAAGGGGTGAAAATGACACATTCCTATGTTATCAGTCTCTCCATACAGTGACTGCTGTAGACTTCGATAAGGTGCTATTTTGTCAGGGTATGTAATTTAACACTTATGGTAATGGTTCACGTGTTGGTCATCTAAGTCATCATGAGGTAAACTGCGTGTTTGTATTGTTCATGTATGCATAAAAATATGCATTTAACACCACAATTGATGCCTCTCTCAACAGGTTAAAGGCAGGCTGTCAAGCGTTTATTTATTCTATGATATCAGCTTGAAAAGATTTCTGTAAGTGACTCGTTACACAAATTTATTTGACAAAATCTGAATACCTGTACTCAAATTAGCATTAAGCAGTGCTCATATGTATTTATAGTCCTGATGGGCGCCACGGTGATGAGATATTGGCTTCCTCGCCTGGTATGCGGGGTCTTGAGTTCGACCCGATCCTGACGCCTGCTCTATATTTGGAGTCTGCACATTCTCTCCGTGGACGCGTGGATCTCCGGGTCCTCCGTTTTTTCCTCCACATTTACAAAACAAGCGTTTCGAGTATTTGGCTGCTATGAATTTCCACGTGATAAACCACTTCGTTGAGCTATGATTTGTGGCCAGGTCGCTTCTGACAAAGATCTACACAGCTCAGTAGAGTTGTAAGGCTCACTGTTGGGGACCAGTGTTGCCCTAAGCCGACACAGCCACTCTTGACCTCCCATTGGATGGGATGGTGGACCTTCATTTTACACGTCCGAATCTTGTGATCTCAAATTCGGGATGTGCTGCACTACCAACAGTATCGTTACTTGGCAAGAGAGGTTGTGTATATACTTGAGCATGATCACACTGTAAGAGTTACTAGTGGCTGGCAGAATGGCTCTTGTGTTGTTGTTGTAGAACCCACAGGAATAAATGTAGTTCAGTACACGGTGTCATCACTACCCCACCAGCTGGCTCACCGGGAGGGCGAGCGACTCACAATCTAAAGATTGCGAGTTCAAATCCTGGTTAGAAGTTAACTTAGACCATCATCCTTCCGGGGTCGATACAATTAGTACCACTTTGTGGGGAAGTCAACAGTGATTATCCGATGGATATACTCGTCGCTGTCATAGGAATGTGAAATATCTACCACGGGCAGAGGACTGTAAACTGCAGTTGAGTACTGCCTTAATGCTTGTTTGAGCATGAACTCACTTTGATTTGTATTTGAGTGGCAACCACATGCTGGAGGTGCATATTCATTTGATGCTATTTCTACATTTAAATACTAAAGCTTTTAACAAGCTAAAGGTTTATACCACAATTGCTATGTGAATCTCTGTATAATACAACGCCTGTAAAGGGATTGTGTGTATTATTCATATCTGCAGTGACCAAGGCAACAAGGTGTTGTTAACAGAGATGACAGCCAAGTACAACTACACCTCCACCAAGGATGTCATAATGTTCTACGACGGCTCGCTCACGCAAACAATAACAAACAGTTTCAACAAAAGAAAGCGATCAACTGACGTCATCTACCTTGATAATCTGGTGGAAGACTTAGTGGGTGAGTTTCATTGGGTGACATCACTTCAGAAGTGTATGTTACTAGAGAGTGAAGTTATTTTATCATTGACCACAACATGAAATTCTGTATTTTTAAGATGTCCAATTTTACTTTTTAAAACCTTTACAATCATGTTCTATCTGAAGCCCTACTCATCATGAGTGCAGCCAACACGTCCCCCTGTATTAACCTGTCCCTCCCTCCTCTACGTTGCCACAGTTCCCAAAGACGTACTCCTCAACTACTACAGCTGCGACACAGAATTGAATGGCTATGTCGTCGTCTTCGACAGCGCACAGGGGGTCATCTGCAAGTCCCCGTGCAACAACACCAACTACTGCAAAAACGGTGGCACCTGCCAGCACCTGGCAGCTGGTGTCCAGTGCACGTGAGTTATGGAATTCAGCATCATCAGCCATAATCAATCCACTGCTGGATGGAGACCTCCCCATTTCTTTGCTGCAATGCAATGATCCATCTGCCCACAAACCGATCTCATCGCTCCATATCCTCGGTAGACGTCTTCTCAGACGCGCGTCCATTCGGATTAGAATTTGCGATGGAATTGTGCACATTTTAAGTAAATACGTTGTTGAATGCTGGGCTGAAGGTTCATAATGCAAAGTATCCAGCAAAATCGAGCACAATAGATGGTAATGCAGATGCATTTCTGGCACTTATTGAATTGAGCTAGATAATAGGGATCCATAATAGAGGTTTGGGGGTTAGATCATGTAAATATATAAATGTGTCGTTAAACTCGCCACCACCCGACACAGCCAATTAGTAAGATTTGTCACGTAAACAGAACATGCCAAATCGTTACTAGTAAAGCACACGTGTGTGTTGGTGAGCAAAGCCACAACATTTATAATCTGAGGACGATGTTTTGCCAGTAATTACAACTAGCTTCATCATGCGCCAGCTAGATTTGTAGAGAAATCCTCCTGTTTCGTTCCTTAAAAAGAGGGGTAGATGTGATGACAACACTTATGAGCAGCTTCTTGCGCGAATTGGGGGGAGGGATCAATGAATGCATATACATGACTATCGGTATCCAATGCCAATAAGGTAATTTGTATGGGAATCAACGTAAATTATGCATGCGCATTACGCAAATCCATTGCTCTTGTACTTCCTGTCAATTGTGTGCACTATTGTTCAATGATAATCCCTATTGAAGTATGGTGACCTGTTTAGGCATGCATTTAAACAATGTACTACTTGATGATTCGCTTCCAAGCAGCACCAAGCCTGTAGCTATCTGAACGGTTAAAATTATTTTTATTTCTCTCAATTTCGATAGATTCTCTAATTAGCCATGGCCAGTAGTAACTAGTTTTGCACAGAACTTCAACATTATCAAAATCAATTGAACGTCCTTGTTGGCACGCGTGTTCTGCCTCTGCCGATAGTTGTATTTGGGAGTATTTAATATTTATTTGGTGTTCTTTTAGTCTCGTGCTGATCATTCGTTCTGACTGCCCAACATAGCATTGCCACACGTGCAATGAATCCAGTACACACCTCCTGTTGATAGCTTTGGTAATACATCTTTTTACCAGATATTATTTTCTGTATTTTGTGTACGGTGCCAAATCTGACTCGGATGTTTTGTTTTTCCAAACATCTGGCTAGTTTATCAGTTACTCCCGCAATGTACAGTATTTTAATATATATAGATATTGGTCGCGAAATCCTACGTATTAAATTAAGCAACACCGTTGATTTGTTGTTGTGTTCCTTTGACAGATGTCCTGCAAACTTCAACGGGCAGTTTTGTGAGAATGATGTGACTGGAGTGAGCCGTGGAGTGTTCTTTGGCGTGCTGTTTGGGGTCCTGGGAGGATTGCTGCTGCTGCTGCTGGGGCTGCTGGCCTTCTGTCTCTACAAGAAGAAGAATAGCTCACCCTTTGATGACAAGTAAGAACCCACACACATTTTCCACTGAATATGCACCGTCTTTATCAAGTCTACAGGGTACATGGGCATATACACTCATCCACGAGCATAGTTTTACTGTCAGATTTAATGATGGAAATACGAATGCATGTTACACAGATTATTTTCTGATGAAATCGGTGGCATTCGTTCCTAAGATATGCATTAAATAGTTAAATTTGCTTGAAAAATAGGTGCAGTTGAAATTTCAAATGATGTGATTATTTTGCTTTTTATCTTCATTCCAGACACAGCATCCTGCGATCTTCGTCAAGAGGAAGCTATATACCCTGTAAGTATTACTCTAATTCACAACACATGTAGCTCACATGTTTTCCTGATTTCTACTCCGTGTGTTGCAATTACATTTCGCGTCATTATCATGTTGTGCACTGGTCATTTAAAACTACTCCTTAAGTTTAATTTGGAAAAATCCTTTCTAGGGCTGTCATCAATGAACGAATCAACTCTGCAAGAAAATGTACCGGGCATTACTCTTAAAGGCTTGAAAACCAAACTCGATAACATCGATATAAGCTCCAAGGTAAGGCACATTCACACACAGACAAAAGAATCTGCAGGAGGATTACTTGTTCAATGCAGATGTGGATGTTGAAATGTAGGGTCCAATAAAAGGCTTTCTGTTGAAGGCCTCCAGTCAACCTTTGCTCAGTGGAAAGTCTCCTCTGCTGCCCCATAGTCTGGATCTCCCTTCGCCCCCAGACGTCCTTGCTGTTGACTTCCTGCCCTTGTTCAAGTCCGGGCTCAAAACCTCTCTGTCTATAAACGAGTGCCTCTTTCACTCTTAAAATAAATGCATATTTATTCTTGCTGTGCAGTCTTGTAATACAGTTGCATTTAGGTTTTGTATGAATCTAAATTAAATTGTAACTGTGTTGTATTTCACATCACTGTGTGATATATCGTTAGCAATATTTGTGTCCAGGTATAAGCACACAAAACAAAATATTAATGTTGCCACTTGGTCTTCACATACAGCCTAAGTCAAACCTCTTGGCCACTATGTCTTGTTATCATTTTATGGTTTCCTCACACTGCAATGTGGTCTGAAAGTAGCATCTTGCCATTACAAAAGTATAGGCAGACAGCACTTTGCTCGACCCTGTGGAACGCCTATTCGTTATAGCACACTTTATCCTGGAGAACATTTTGACTCACAAAAATAAAATGAAATAATCTCAAAAGCTCTTATGAGTGAGAACGAGAAAATATGCCCCTCCCCCCCTCTTATACGCTCAGCCAATGAGAGCGACTTGCGCTCTGATGCAATCAGACCCCAGCCCCCGTGATTCGATTATAACGATTCGTATTCACAAGATCACATTGAAAAAAACTATTTTGTCTGGTCAGGTGAGAACTGACAAGACTGGGATAGTCTCTGGCTCCACCTAAAAGCAGCTCCCCCACCACTGCCTTGTAGGACAAGTAAAGTAGAGTGCACATGCCTCAATTAAGTCCTCATATATTGCTCATACGAAAGAAATAACACCGTTGGGAATGCATCGCGAAATATATGCAATTATATGACTTCTGTTAGTGCTGATTCCATGAGCGTTTCTTGAATGCTAAGCGAGATCATGCCTGTAAGATGTTTGTACATTTTCCTTGTCCAGTTAAACCAAGAACTCATTAACTAGCAAACAGTTGTGTCTTCAATATTATGTTATGTTATTATTATGTTTGTTTACCCAGGAAATCCTCACTGAGCCTCAACACTCTTTTTCGGGAGGGTACTGCTAAGTTTGCGCAGTCGGGGGCGATGTCGCTGCTGTGTGTAATCCCAATTAAGTAACAACGGTATTGGGGATTTTCTTTTAATCTGTCCAATGCGCTATCTAATATCTGGTTTGTATGTGGAGCAGTTTCAAGTTTGCACGTGAAAAACTACGCTTTGTTCATTGAAGATGCAAAAATAACAGAAATTGATCTCACTAATTGCTCTGCCCTGTGCATATTTTTCCATGACCAGATTTTTACCAAGCGCCCGACCATTGTGCACCCCAAGCCAATGGACCAGGATTCAATGAGCAGTCAATGAGGAGACGGTTTCCCCGTGGTGACGGCGGATGACAATGACTCTCAAGCCAAATCAAGACTGTGACATAATCCCTGAAACGTGACGACGCACGGCGAGGTCCCCGAGGGCCCGCCCAACTTGAGCAACGCCGTCACATTCCCATCGTCCCATAAACACCGCGAATACAGTTCTACAAATATTTTAAATAGAAAAATACATTCTTCAAAACTGGAAAAATTCCTTATAAACCGATGCAAGTGAATGTAAACTTTCATTTTTACTATAAACTAAATTTCTTTCATGGTTATATCGCATATATCTATAACATTGATATTATAAGCCAATAATATATTTTAGATACATATATTTCTGTATTGGAGTGCATAGATGACGAAGTGAGAGTTTACCTGGCTTTGGTGGTTTAAACTCCGATTGCGGCAACATTTTTGATAGTGCTGAAGGGAATCTGTAAAAGTACTGCTTTTGCTGACACCCTGAATGTTAAAGTGGTCTGGGACATTATTTTCCAGATTTTGTCACTGTTACGGCCAAAACTAAAAACTTGAATTTTTCAGATTTTTCTTGTAAAATTAGTCACTTTGTTGGGTTTTTATCATTTAGGGCACTTCCATTGTGATATAGAAGCGTCCTCCAGTTTACCACACTGCCACAACGCTGACGTTTACTTTAGTTTTTAATTATCAGGGGAATCTCGTGGGTATCTGTAATTTTTTGAACTTTGTAAGAGATATTTTATTGACAGGCAATAGGCTGCACCCAAAACATTAATTATATGGAATCTATGCCATCGCTGAAGGGAGTAATGTAAATGTTCACGTGAACAACACTGAGTAGCAACAAAATACTATTTGCACATTATTTTCCAAGCTAAAACTTTTATCCATTGCACAATGTTTACACACACCAAATCAAATATTTCTTTAATATATTGAAATAAAATATATAAAAAAATGTAATGTATGTTAAATTAAGCACAAGTTACAAATAAAATTAATATAAAATAAACTGTTGTGGTGGATCGTATTGACAATACAATATGGGTATTGATGGCACATCAAAGACCGTTGCCAATGCTTTGAGAATTAATCACAGCATGTACAAGCAGAAGTGTATTTCCATACATGTGTAGTGACACAGCGCCGATTGCTGTCCAGCAGCGGCAACTGCGGTGACCTCATAGGGAGGCCCCTGGGACCCTCTGGTGGGTTCGAGAAGGGAGGCGCGGCTAGGGCAGAGCCAAGCGGCGCCGAGGGGAATAAAAGCAGCGGAGTGCGAGAGCTCCGGGCTGCCGGTTCCCGGGAGTGGACTCGTCTCGTCTCGTCGCCGCTTTCGTAGCTGCCGCCTTCGCCCGATCATTGCACAGCCGGACAGTGGTTGGCTGTCTCGGTCGACGCCGTCGGTGCAACGCGGTTAGGGTCGTGTCTAGGCCTGGCTGTACGGCAGCGTGGTCGAGAGAGAGGAGGCTGGAGTTGGTGTGGACGGTGCCTCCTGCAACTACCTCGTCTGAGTGTGTGCACCAGACACCACATGCACACACATGCCGGGAGGAAGGAGGACACTACACGTGCCACATTGACTCGATGCGTACATTCTTAGTGTACTGGATGTCCATAAAGGTCCTACCCATGAAAGTACTACAGGGATCTGTGAGCTCAATCGGTGTTCATATTCCTTCTCTGCAGTGTGAACATTTTCTCGTTTGTTAAGCCTCTACAGTCTACACCCCACGTGTTTGCCAATGCATTGGCGACACGTATCGAGATGTGAGAGTCCCAGGTGTTCCCAGCATCGCAGGTGTTTACAATGCCTCTGCAGTTTGAGATCACGCAAGCTATTTGTTATCCTTTTTTTGCAAACACGTTTTCTTTCACTGAGCCCCCCACTCACACACACACACGTGTCGTCGTGCGCCGAGTTGCGGTGTTCTCACTCTAGGCTGCAGGTGGCGCTAATAGCACAGCGCAGAGCTACCACAGTGGCATTACGGTACAGGCTGATCCACATGTCTTGTGACCACCATTAAATTATCTAAAACGTAATACTGTATATTTAAAGTAATGTTTATTTAAAACAAATGAATATGCGAAGGAAAACAGGGGTCAATTCATTGGGGGTCACAAGACATTTGCACCACAATGGACTTGCAATCCAGAGGACGCCGGTTCGATTCCTTCTCCCGGCGTGGCAGTCAAAATGATGGGGATAGTTTCTCAAATCTCTCTGCTGCTGCCTCTTCTACGGTGGCCACACGCCGTGGCCACCGTAGAAGAGGAGGCCAAATCCCCTCGAAAATTTGCTCGAGCGGAGGCCTGGCCGTGGTGTGAGCAATCATTTGCAGCTCTGCACCTTTGCCCGGTTTTGGCAATGCGTCCACATTGTACCCTGAGCTCGCGGGGAACTGGCCTTGAATGGCGTGCCACAATGCATGCTTTTAGTTTAGTATTCCTTGTATAGGAGTGGTGGGAGGGAGGGAGTGGAGGAGCATCGGTTAGCGTATTGCACTATAAGCCCAACAACCTGAATGATTCCCGGCCACGGCAAACTAACATCAGTGCACAATGATATCAGAACCCATCTTCACTAACCCGAACTGACCAGCTTGATGAAATGTGGTCAAACAATTGCCATGACCGGCGTCTGTATTCGTTCAGCAGGAGTTGACCTGTCCCGAGATGTGGCACCGATGTTGCTGTGTAGGACCAGTTCAGGAGACTGCGCGGTTTTCATAACAGGCTCAGGTGCTCACCGATAAATGTCCGGCTCTGGTTCTGAGTTACTCAGAATCCGAATATTTAGACTGCAAGAGGAATCCGATTACATATGAAGCTCTTTTTCACAGATGTCGAGTACAGGGGGGGGTCAGTCTAACCCTAACCCCATATTGTATTATCTCCCTTCTACCCCCCGTCCACTCCGCTGCTCCCTTCTGTTCAAGGCCCCCATTCCATCCTCTGCCCATAACGCACACACAGAGGATGTCAGGCAGTCCAACATCAACACGTGACCCGATGGCAAACACTTGATTTGTAGACCACTGCCATGCGTAGGTGATTCATCTTTGACCAAAATACCTCGCCAACCAGTGATCCTGTGTCATTACTTTTGGTTACTGAACCAGGCATTTCATGCGCAATTTGAAAAATATCGAGACGTCACGGCACATTGAGAACATTGTCAAGAGCTGCCCGCCTCTAAAACACAGCGCTGGCATCATTCCACTTGCAGCGCACACCCGAGTCCCCTGGTGAGTGGTGGGTTCCACCCACCGGGGACTCCTTGGTTGTTGTAGTTGTTGTAATTGTTGTTGCAGTTGTTGTTGTAATTGTTTTCATTTGTATTATTGTTGCGCCCCGCGCTGTGCCTCAGTGTTGTTTTGTCGGCTCTAACCAACCTCCTTTGGTTGCCACCTGTCCAGGTTTGACCCGGATAGTTCGTAAATGGACGCGTGTGTTCGGGTGATAAGAGCTGATTGTACCGAAGTCGGGTACCCCCGTCGCGTTGCGCGCGAATATTCCATAGGCGAGCACAGATGACTGATTGAGGTCTATGGTGGACAATCTGGCGACCCTAGCCCCCCCCCCCATCACTCTGCCCCCCACCCCTCTATGCGGATAGCTCTACGATTGTAAAGGATCATCTTGAGATACGATTGCAGATCGTCTCTCGATGCCACGTTGACTTCCGCAGGGCTCTCTAAATGGACGGCGGCTTATCGTCAGGCAGGCCAGACGTAATGGTTATGTATTGTCACTTGCTCCACTCATCACCTAATCTGGACGCATACCTGAGTATTTTGTAACGTCGATAGGAAGAATGCACGGCATTGCATGGCCCGTGAGTGAGGGTGTGACGACATGCGGGGCGACAAAGCTAACCCCGGGACGACACCTCCCCTCTCTCCAGACCGCATTTAACTCAGAGCCAAGCAACACCTTAAATTAACACATTTAAATCCATTACGCGCAAAGATCGTAAACCACACCATGTCTAAGCTGAACTTCACAAGCAAGAATATTACAAGATGTGTTGTCTTCATTGTGACGCTGTGGCTTATTCTGCTATGCAGCGGTGAGTAGCAATCAAGAGTAATTATACACGGACAATTGAGACTAGTTGTAAATGGTTTGACAAGACAAAGGCTTTCTATATAATATCCATTTTGGTGAGATGTTATTTGTGTATTACCGTGATATATATACAAAATAAGGTACTTTAAATATTGTTTGAGTCCTACTCAGTATTTAGAAAATATTCCTTGTATCTTGTCACTTGTTAATTTGTAAAGAAAATAAGGAAAATATGTATAGTTTCAGATGATAAAATGCGAGCTCTCCAACAAGAGGAACAGAATGATCTCGAGACACAGGGCGCGTGTGTGATTAATGTGTTAGATGTTGGTTAATGTGTTAGATGTTGGTTAATGTGTTAGATGTTGGTGTATCTGTTAGATGTTGGTTAATGTGTTAGATGTTGGTGTATCTGTTAGATGTTGGTTAATGTGTTAGATGTTGGTGTATCTGCTAGATGTTGGTTAATGTGTTAGATGTTGGTGTATCTGTTAGATGTTGGTTAATGTGTTAGATGTTGGTGTATCTGCTAGATGTTGGTTAATGTGTTAGATGTTGGTGTATCTGTTAGATGTTGGTTAATGTGTTAGATGTTGGTGTATCTGCTAGATGTTGGTTAATGTGTTAGATGTTGGTGTATCTGTTAGATGTTGGTTAATGTGTTAGATGTTGGTGTATCTGCTAGATGTTGGTTAATGTGTTAGATGTTGGTTTATATGTTATATGTTGGTTAATGTGTTAGATGTTGGTGTATCTGTTAGATGTTGGTTAATGTGTTAGATGTTGGTGTATCTGTTAGATGTTGGTTAATGTGTTAGATGTTGGTGTATCTGTTAGATGTTGGTTAATGTGTTAGATGTTGGTGTATCTGCTAGATGTTGGTTAATGTGTTAGATGTTGGTGTATCTGTTAGATGTTGGTTAATGTGTTAGATGTTGGTGTATCTGCTAGATGTTGGTTAATGTGTTAGATGTTGGTGTATCTGTTGGATGTTGGTTAATGTGTTAGATGTTGGTGTATCTGCTAGATGTTGGTTAATGTGTTAGATGTTGGTGTATCTGTTAGATGTTGGTTAATGTGTTAGATGTTGGTTTATATGTTATATGTTGGTTAATGTGTTAGATGTTGGTGTATCTGTTAGATGTTGGTTAATGTGTTAGATGTTGGTGTATCTGCTAGATGTTGGTTAATGTGTTAGATGTTGGTTTATATGTTATATGTTGGTTAATGTGTTAGATGTTGGTGTATCTGTTATATGTTGAGTGTGTTGGGTGTGGTTAATGTGTTATATGTTGAGTGTGTTGGGTGTTGGTGTATCTGTTTATGTTGAGTGTGTTGGGTGTTGGTTTATCTGTTATATGTTGAGTGTGTTAGATGTTGAGTATGTTGGGTGTTGGTTAACCCGAACCATGCACCACACCGGGCACTTTGTGGCTATTGTCCGAGAGCTAACACCAAGTCCTACTTCACTCGTGGGCTCCACGCGAGGTGGTTCTGATTTCCCTCGTGTGGCCGATGAGAGTGCGTTGTGAGATGACCGCTTGATTGCGTGGGGCTACAGAGTACTTCACTTTTATTGAGCATACGAATAACTGATGAGGACGAAGGTTCTGCTCCCAATGTCTGCTCGGGGTCACGGTCTAAAGCTCACAGTTAAGTTTGCCAGCTCGCCTCAAACAGGAAAGACTTATTACTTAAACAAACTATATTTGGTGTTAACCATTTGACCTTGGTGCACAAGGATAACATAAATTCCACACATTTGTGAATACATTCCTCTGAAAGGAAAACAACTCTATAGTAGCAACATTTCTTCATGGCACATGAAGAGCTATTGCCCGAAACGTCATCCATTTAATAGTTTAGTTTTTCCTTTTAAGAGTTATGGACGAGTGTTTGTTCCTCCCGCTAATAAGGACCGGCGAGTTACTCTCTCACTCTGAAGGAACATTTGCCCATATCAGGTGACCATGGATATTTCACTGTATCAGGATCATTACTGCAGTATTTGTATCACCGGGAATCTTTGCGTTTAAAGCAAGCGAAGGAATGTAGAGAGATATGTTCGCAGACAGCTCGCCAGCCTGACCCTGCTGATGAGACACTGCATGTCAAAACCCGCTCCAGCGTTGTCTTCATTTATAAACCAAGGGTGCCAAAATTATGCACTTCCATAAAATTATAAGGCTGAAGGGATGTGTAAATATACTGCTATTTATTTAATGGAGCGACAGATATGAGAAGCAGATGTCGCCTGTTTAGTTACTTTGTAACTTATACAGGTAGTCCCCGAGTTACGATGCTCCGACTTCCGATATTTCGATCTTACGATGGCGATAGCGATACGACAAAATTGCCATCAACAACTTAACATCGTTCAAGTGTGCAGACGACGGACGTAATCTTGGTGAGTCCAGTACAATATGATATGTGACGATACGTTCAATGCATGTATAATACGTAGCTTTAGCGATTTCATTTGAAGGTTAACACGATACGATAGGCTCAATGCATGTTAAACGTTTTTATAGCAGATAGGATTGTTTCCTGAAAAAACTTTCTATTAAATTGCAGTTCATATAGGTAGGCTAAGAATGTACCTTTTTTTACTTTACATTTTACTGTGCAATACAGTATTGTAATTAATAAATACATACAGTATCTAGTTTATACAGTACGGCACTGTAAATTGCTCTGTTTCGCTAAATCATCACCATTTAAGACTCCTGGGTAGGCGAGGCCATCTTCGACTTACGATATTTTCGACTTACGATGGGGTCGTCGTAACGCATCTCCATCGTAAGTAGAGGACTACCTGTATTCGCCACAACAACCCGAATGCTGATTGTGCAATCGTAAGACGGCAATGCTCTTCTCTGTCACAGCAGACGCAAGCTCAACATCTGGCACGGAAGAGACATACACACCGTCTGCGGATGAATTCACGTTAGCGGGAACAGGTAGGCACTCTTCCCTTCTCACGCACGGCAATTTGTTTGGGAGCTCAGTGCCAAAGTCTGGGTCTGCTCGGCACTGCTGCTGCTGCTGATGCTGCTGCTGCTGCTGATGCTGCTGCTGCTGATGCTGCTGCTGCTGATGCTGCGTGTGGGCGCGACGTGCGAGGAGCGTTCGGCAGCACAGTGGGGAGCACAGCTGGTGTGCACCTGCCGGCCATCTCGATCAGTCAACCCAGAGCACATGGATCTGTTCATCCTGCCAGTGAGCCTTTGATACTTCACGTGGCCTCAAGGTGCACCTCGTCTGGCACAAGCGCCATGGTGACATCATCGTCACTTAGCGGCTGCTGCTGTTGTTGCTGCTGTTGTTGTTGCTGTTGTTGTTGTGCCTGTGACCGCCGCTCCTCTTCTCTGCAGACGCTACCGAGACGCCGCCAGCCGTGAACTCCACAGAGGAATCAACAGACGACCCGGGTGAGTAACCTGCACGACCCACGCGCCGGAAGGTCTCCATCTAGCAGCAGTACATTTACAGAGTTGCTCATCATTTTTTAACCCTAATGAGTCCCATGAATATAAAAAATAACAACCGACTGGTAATGACTCATTGTGCTTATAGACAGACGCACACTCATATCTAAACCGTAGGAGTTGCTGCAATGTTTGCTAACGTCACTTTAACCCAAGAAATATATATTGTACATGTTTATCTCATAGCTACATTATAATCATTAGCATCAACCATGATGTAGCCACTGCTGGAAGATGTTCTGCCCAAAGCCATCGCCACCCTCGTAGTGTCATGATGCATCAGTCCATGTGGCTGATTGTATCGCTCCATATCCACAGTGAATGTCCACTCGGACGTGTTCACGACTTTGGCCACCGCTCCGTAGTCAGTTTTGACCACGAGTCAATAATCCATGAGAAAATTGTTGTTTGGGGGTTATTGAATCACAGTGTTTATTTCCGCTTTCAAAAAGCGATCCAACCCACTTTTGTTGGCCTCTTTATTCCATCACGCATTTAACTCTCCGAGTATTGCATTGAATATTAAATTGTACCCAATACACGGGGTTAATAATGTCTACAACAGAACAGACACACACGCACACACTGCACCATTGCGAGTTACATTGCTGCCACCCACTGAGATATTTTACCATCACTGGGTGCCATGTTCATGTCTTCAGCATCTTCAGTTTAACAAATAACTGTTATCCATTAATATAATGATACTTTTTTTCTGAACCCACAGAAACAGATTTAACACAAGCAGTGACGGCAGAAGCAGGCGTCTCGGATACAACAAATGATGACGATGTCACTGTAACACCAGGTCAGCATTTTGAATGCATAATCGTGTTATCTGTATGCTTGGTCAGAAGCATCAAACAAATCCCACTGATCTTGCTCGCTCACATCATTTGACCTCACCACGTGTAATCGCACGTCTTCACCACTATACATTTTACAAACTTAATTGCGATATGATTAAATAGTAATAAAATCCGGTTGTTTAAAGCGTTTTTCAAATTGGTAATCTCAAAGCGCTGCACATGAAAGATAAAAGTAAAAAATAAAAATGACATAGATTTGAAGCTTTACGTAGGTAAAGAAAATAAAATAAATGAAAACAACTAAATTGAAAACAACTAAATTGAGTTGTTTCCATTTATTTTATTTTTTACCTACGTGACTTTACCGAAAAAAACCAAGAGTATAAATGATATAACTGTTATCCATTAATATGATGATTATCAACCTGCATGGACAGATTTTACAGAAGCAGTGACTGGAGAAACAGACGTTCCCGATTCAACAAATGATGACGACATCACTTCAACACCAGGTCTGCATTGTGAATGCATAATAATTATTGTTATTATTTTGTGTATGTTTGGTTAAAACCCACATGTTGCTGTATAATCTACAGAACCCACAGGCACAGGGCTTCCCTCCACCTTCTTTTCGCGTGCACGCTGTTGTAACTATACAACAATACTACTCTCTACTCCACAAAGACTATACACTTTAATTAATACGACTCCACTGGACTAATCCTATACGACACACTATACCACCCAATGATCGACTCCGCCACACTAATACTACACGATACACTACACAATAATGCGACTCTGAGACACTAAGAGAGCGACTGTTGGCCCCGCCTGTGTAAGCGAACAATGGACAGCGCCTCGTCCACTCTCAATGTGTGGCGGCAACATCACTCGGTACATTTGCCGTGTGCTCGATTCGAACCCACTGTCAGTCCTCACTCAAGGCCCTTCTGCAGCTCACTCAGACAATCTCACATCGCCAAGTGTACTCGGCACGTCTTCCACATGGGTAATTGATGAATTACACTCGTTGCTATTTCCATTCTTGCGATCCCAACGTCGAGGTCTGCTGCTGCTGCTGAGCACGACGCGAGGGCTTCAGCAGAGAGACAGAGAGAGAGACAGAGAGAGACAGAGAGAGACAGAGAGAGACAGAGAGAGATAGAGAGAGAGAGTTCGTTGCGTGTCGCTCTTCCTCCTCCTCTGCTGAAGGAGCGCAGACAGTGGTGCTGAACTGTGTGGGCCAGAGTTTGGGTTGCGATGGTAATCGAACTAATTGCTGCCTGCTCAACGTACATTTATTTTATTTTTCTGGACCCCCACTGACACAGATTTTACAGAAGCAATGACGGAACAAACGGAAGTCCCCGATTCAACAAATTACGACAGCACTTCGACACAAGGTCTGCAGCACAAAACAACTGATACTCCATACACGCCCATATTTACGGCCATGAGTGTTCTCAGTCGCGTAAAAAGGTGCGGGCTTCGCGGGTTGGGACGAGTGTTGAGAATTCTGCTGAATATTCAAGAGTTGTTTATATGTGGTGACATTCAGCATTCCACTATTTCATTCTTTAAATATACCCAACGAACACACAGACTTCCACCTCTTCCACAGTGAAGAACCCACCACACTCGTTTCTCCTGAATATATATGTAGCCTCATCGCCGGTGGGTACACGCGTTGTTAGGAAGGCAGCTGCCGCTATAACGGCCAGGGATACATTGCATCGATGTGTAGCTCCATCCAAGGACCTTCGCGTGTTTTCAGAACTACACAACCTCAACACCAAATCTACCACGGCGCTTACAAATCCCATCGCCCACACGTTTTTTGTGTGCAAAATTGAAAATTACATATTTGTAACGAGTGTTGCCTTGGTATTTGGCATGTCAGGGCAATTGGTGAGCGTGTGTTTGTACGCTCGCAAATTGAATTGGACATTGCCCACTCCTCACCCAGACGCGCGAACGAGACCAACCTCCCCTTAAAGCTCCGATCCCTCCACTGGCTCCAAAGAGAGTCTCAGATCAATATGAAGATCGCCCCCACTATCTTCAAAACCATCCAGGGAATTAGCCTTTCCCACCACTCCCATCCATCTTCTCCCCTCCATGCCCTCTCCACTCCATCAATCAAGGCTTTATGTCAAAACCCAAGTTAAGATTCACTCGGTTGGGAGGTTGCCAATTCTCCTCTGCTATGACCGCAGTCTGGAACTCCCTCCCCCCGGCCATCCGTTCTACCGATTCCCCTTGCCCATGTGCAAGTGGAGGGCCCAATGACTGAATGTCTGAATCCAAATTGTGCGTACTGTGTCGTGCGGTTGTGCGCACGCACCTCGGGATGCTCCCACACGAGCAATGGCAAAGACTGCCTGGTCTGCTACCACGTGTAGGTGGTTCGTGTTTGTACACAAGACTCGGCCGGCCAACGTGTTCCATGACGAGTATTATCACCTTTAGTTAGTGAACAAGCATATCGTGCTTGCTTTTTCATGTGTATGTGACTAAAACTAGTGTGATGAAATCTCACGAATGGACTTGTAAATGCATGTCTGGAAACATACGAAAATATTCTGCTTACAGCACTACCACTAAAATCTGATGCAAAAAAGCAACTTAAATTTATTATTTATTTTTGTTCGTATTTTTCCCCTACACATTTATTACAAATGTTCTATCCGCTTCGTGAGATGCAGAATCCATTCGTAAATCTCACCAAGCAGTGCAGATCCCCGTGTATCAGAGAATGAACGCAGCAAGTTATTTTGCAAATAAATTTTCCTGAAAAATCCCTCAAGCGATATTTTTTTATTGTATTCGGCAGGGGGCGCATAACAGTCAAATTGATATTGTCTCAAAGCTGGAAATTGAGCCAAATTAAGAAACAATTCAAACTTTAAGCAGTTGTTTTGTGCAGTCATTGGTGATTTGGCAGAGCATATCAACTGACTACACTTAAGAGCCCGGTTGAATCGTGATTATTCGCCTGGATTTGAACCCAGGATCTCAGCGAAACTGGCTCAGTGCTCTGAAAACCAATTCTCTGGGCCACCGATTTTTTTCGTTTTTGTGGACTAACATTTAGTTAATAGGTAGCGACTTGACCATGCATTGCTCTCTGGAACCAACAGACACAAAACTGGCACCTTTCCTTTTGAAGGCATGACTTGAAGATGTACAGGAATATCTCTAAAACCCAGACTCATTGCGGAGAGACCCTTTCTAGTTGTGAACGATGTCAACGATATGACAAACTAAGTAATTGAAACACATTCAATGTTAATTAATAGATTAATAATTAAAACCTTGTATATCTAATTCACACTTAATAAACGTATTAATTTCCTGAAATCAACGGGAAAGTTCGTAGTTCAAGCACTTCAGTATGCGGAATTGGGGTGGGGAAGGTTGACAAGTCACTGGTGCTTGTTTGAGTAACTTGAAACAAATTGTGAGTTAGCGGTTGTTTATCCCAGTTTTAAAAATTAAACACTGACAAGACCATGACAACGTATAAGAAGATAGTGTTTGACGAGCAGGAATCCGCGGAACTTCCGTGAGGCTTTTCTGATGAGGAGCAGAGTGCTACTTATCAGTAAACTCTTTAACACGCACACACAAAGACAAGTCCCCCGTAGAGCCGTTAACAGACTGTTGGGGCAAGTGCTGTTAGCGAGTACCGATGAAGGACGGCACGGCACACGAGGAGGTGGGTGGCCAACACCACGCCCGGCCGCCTCTGTCTCCCTAGTGGCGATGCTTACACACCGCACCAGGTACTCATTTGAGGCGGAATCGACCTACGGGAGGCCCATGCCCGATTCAGCTATCATCACTGGTGTTGGCCGTGCGGGAATCGAATGTTCGTAGCGTAGCGCTAACCGCTACACTACCGCTCCCCACACAGACACACATCCGCGTACACACACTCTCAACACACACTCCTAGCGTTGACGTTAGGACTTATTACAGCCGGCTGAGGATGGCTCCGCCAAACCAAATAGTTCGACGGTTCGATTCGCCAGTGCGAGTAGGCGTATTATTATATAAGAAGATAAGATTATAATGATATTATAAAGATAAGAGAGATGTTTCCTCAGAGCCAACAAACACAGACTTCTCAACATTACAAACAGTTGGTCCTAGCCCTACAGAAGATATAACTACATCACCAGCTATGATTATATTGTATTTTGAATAAATTTGACCAACTATCCGAACATATACGATGAAAAATAATTTTCAATATTTCCCTAGAACCAACAGACACAGATGTCCCAACATTACCTACTGATGAACCTGGTCCGACTCCCACAGACGATTTAATATCATCACCAGGTATGAGCATCATGTTATTCATAACACATTTGATGAACTATCTGAACGCATAAAATATTTTAATAATTTTGAAATGTTTCCCCAGAACCAACAAATACAGACTTCACAATATTACCTACAGATGAACCTAGCCCTACGCCTATGGAAGATATAACATCACCAGGTATGATTATCACGTTGCTTTCATCCATAAATTTGACCAATTACCTGAAACTATAAAGTATTAAAACTATTTTCAATGTTTCCCTAGAAACAACAAATACAGACTTCACAACATTACCTACAGATGAACCTAGTTCTACCCCCACGGAAGATATAATATCACCAGGTATGATTATCATGTAGTTTATATCCATGAATTTGACCAATTATCTGAAACTATAAAGTATTCAAACTATTTTCAATGTTTCCCTAGAAACAACAAATACAGACTTCCCAACATCACCTACAGATGAACCTGAATCTACTCCTACAGAAGATGTAACATCACCAGGTATGATTATAAAGTTGTTTTCATCCATACATTTGACATTATCTGAACGTATAAGATGTAAAATAATGGTAAATGTTTCCTCAGAACCGACAATCACAGAATTCCCAACATCACCTACAGATGAACCTGAATCTACTCCTACAGAAGATATAATATCATCAACAGGTATGATTATCATGTTACTTTTATCCATGAATTTGACCAATTATCTGAAACTATAAAGTATTAAAAAAATTTAATTTTTCCCTAGAACCATCAGACACAGACTTCACAACATTACCTACAGATGAACCTAGTCCTACTCCTACAGAAGAATTAACATCATCACCAGGTAGGATTATCAAATTTTTATTCTTAATACATTTGAGAAACTATCCGAACATATAAGATATTTCAATAATTTTCACTGTTTCCCTAGAACCATCAGACACAGACTTCCCAACATCACCTACAGATGAACCTGAATCTACTCCTACAGAAGATGTAACATCAACAGGTATGATTATGAAGTTGTTTTCATCCATACATTTGACATTATCTGAACGTATAAGATGTAAAATAATGGTAAATGTTTCCTCAGAACCGACAATCACAGAGTTCCCAACATCACCTACAGATGAACCTGAATCTACTCCTACAGAAGATATGATATCATCAACAGGTATGATTATCATATTACTTTTATCCATGAATTTGACCAATTATCTGAATCTATGAAGTATTCAAACAATTTTCAATGTTTCCTTAGAACCAACAAATACAGACTTCACAACATTACCTACAGATGAACCTAGTCCTACCCCTACAGAAGAATTAACATCATCACCAGGTAGGATTATCATATTTTTATTCTTGATACGTTTGTATTGAGTCAAACTGAGTCGCAGACGTTGTTCATTTTATAGGCATCACATTTATTATAACACCGTAACACAAAGCGATAACAGCTTCTTTTCCCGATACAGCCTAGGGTTGTGACCACCCAGCTAACTACGCCATACAGAGGGGTTACTGCTAGGAAGGGTCGGACCCTCACTCGGGTCTCCGACCACGTGGTTGCCTCGTAAGACGAAGAGCTTCAGCATGAGACGTAGAGCTTCCCGCTTGTAGGTATTGAGCTTCATGCTTGTCGAATGCAGCGACCCCGGTCCCTCTCAGGGACCCGCCTTATATCCCCCTACGGTCGGGTCCGCTCTGCCCTCGGCCCTGCCCGACTTCTCGAGCATTCTCGTTCCCTCTCGATCCTTCTCAAGAGCTCTCCCTGGACACGTGATCACCCACTAGCCCACCCACCTGGGCCCCTTGTGTGGACACTCTGGATCACGTGTCTACGGTGTCAACCAGAGTGCCATGGCCCGGGGCAACCCTGCCCCTGGGCTGACGCTCACCCACTCCCCCTCGTGGGAGCCCCCACCACACGATGTGCGTGGTGCCCGCACTATCCCAGTGCTCACCAAGCCCTAGTAGTGCTGGTATTATACACAGCCACCCACACGGTGCTGTCCACAATGTAGGAACATCAAACGGCATAGCCCTTCTGGGTGGTCACCATACAGTGACATCCCCCCAATGTCACTACACACTTGATAAACTATCCGAACATTTTAGATATTTCAATAATTTTCACTGTTTCCCTAGAATCATCAGACACAAACTTCCCAACATCACCTACAGACGAACCTGAATCTACTCCTACAGAACATATAATTTCGATTTTAAGCTTTCGTGACTGCAGGGATTCATCTTCTTGGTTCTTTCGGTAAAGTCACGTAGAAGGGAAGTAATAAAATAATAAAAATAAAACATAATAAAACAATTCTCACGACGTTTCGGCCACAACGTAAGCAGCCGTCCTCAGGTGAAGAATGAGACAATGCCATTGTCTCATTCTTCTCATTCTTCACTCTTCACCTGAGGACGGCTGCTTGCGTTGTGGCCGAAACGTCGTGAGAATTGTTTGATTATGTTTTATTTTTATTATTTTATTACTTCCCTTCTACGTGACTTTACCGAAAGAACCAAGAAGAAGAACATATAATATCATCAACAGGTATGATTATCACATTGCTTTTATCCATGAATTTTACCAATTATCTGAATCTATAAGGTGTTAAAACTATTTTCAATGTTTTCCTAGAACCAACAAATACAGACTTCTCAACATTACCTACAGATGAACCTAGTTCTACCCCGACGGAAGATATAATATCACCAGGTATGATTATCATGTTGTTTATATCCAGGAATTTGACCAATTATCTGAAACTATAAAGTATTCAAACAATTTTCAATGTTTCCCTAGAACCAACAAATACAGACTTCACAACATTACCTACAGATGAACCTAGTCCTACCCCTACAGAAGAATTAACATCATCACCAGGTAGGATTATCATATTTTTATTCTTAATACATTTGAGAAACTATCCGAACATATAAGATATTTCAATAATTTTCACTGTTTCCCTAGAACCATCAGACACAGACTTCCCAACATCACCTACAGATGAACCTGAATCTACTCCTACGGAAGATGTAACATCAACAGGTATGATTATAAAGTTGTTTTCATCCATACATTTGACATTATCTGAACATATAACATATCAAAATAATGGTAAATATTTCCTCAGAACCGACAATCACAGAGTTCCCAACATCACCTACAGATGAACCTGAATCTACTACTACAGAAGATATGATATCATCAACAGGTATGATTATCATGTTACTTTTATCCATGAATTTGACCAATTTTCTGAAACTATAAAGTATTACAACTATTTTCAATGTTTCCCTAGAACCAACAAATACAGACTTCACAACATTACCTACAGATGAACCTAGTCCTACCCCTACAGAAGAATTAACATCATCATCAGGTATGATTATCATATTTTTATTCTTGATACATTTGTAGTGAGTCCAACTGAGTCGCAGACGTTGTTCCTTTTAGAGGCAACACATTTATTGTAACACCGTAACACAAAGCGACAACAGCCTCTTTTCCCGATACAGCCTAGGGTTGTGACCACCCAGCTAACTAGGCTATAAAGAGGGGTTACTGCTAGGAAGGGTCGGACCCTCACTCGGGTCTCCGACCACGTGGTTGCCTCGTAAGACAAAGAGCTTCCAGCATGAGATGTAGAGCTTCCAGCTTGTAGGTGTTGAGCTTCCAGCTTGTAGAATGCAGCGACCCCGGCCCCTCCCAGGGACCCGCCTTATATCCCCCTACGGTCGGGTCCGCTCTGCCCTCGGCCCTGCCCGCCTTCTCGAGCATTCTCGTTCCCTCTCGATCCTTCTCAAGAGCTCTCCCTGGACACGTGATCACCCACTAGCCCACCCACCTGGGGCCCCTTGTGTGGACACTCTGGATCACGTGTCTACGGTGTCAACCAGAGTGCCATGGCCCGGGGCAACCCTGCCCCTGGGCTGACGCTCACCCACTCACCCTCGTGGGAGCCCCCACTACACGATGTGCGTGGTGCCCGCACTATCCCAGTGCTCACCAAGCCCTAGTAGTGCTGGTATTATACACAGCCACCCACACGGTGCTGTCCACAATGTAGGAACATCAAACGGCATGGCCCTTCTGGGTGGTCACCATACAATGACATCCCCCCAATGTCACTACACACTTGATAAACTATCCGAACATTTTAGATATGTCAATAATTTTCACTGTTTCCCTAGAACCATCAGACACAGACTTCCCAACATCACCTACAGATGAACCTGAATCTACTCCTACAGAAGATGTAACATCACCAGGTATGATTATAAAGTTGTTTTCATCCATACATTTGACATTATCTGAACATATAAGCTTTCAAAATAATGGTAAATGTTTCCTCAGAACCGACAATCACAGAGTTCCCAACATCACCTACAGATGAACCTGAATCTACTACTACAGAAGATATAATATCATCAACAGGTATGATTATCATGTTACTTTTATCCATGAATTTGACCAATTATCTGAAACTATAAAGTATTCAAACAATGTTCAATGTTTCCCTAGAACCAACAAATACAGACTTCTCAACATTAACTACAGATGAACCTAGTTCTACCCCGACGGAAGATATAATATCACCAGGTATGATTATCATGTAGTTTATATCCATGAATTTGACCAATTATCTGAAACTATAAAGTATTCAAACAATTTTCAATGTTTCCCTAGAACCAACAAATACAGACTTCACAACATTACCTACAGATGAACCTAGTCCTACCCCTACAGAAGAATTAACATCATCACCAGGTAGGATTATCAGATTTTTATTCTTAAAACATTTGAGAAACTATCCGAACATATAAGATATTTCAATAATTTTCACTTTTTCCCTAGAACCATCAGACACAGACTTCCCAACATCACCTACAGATGAACCTGAATCTACTCCTACGGAAGATGTAACATCAACAGGTATGATTATAAAGTTGTTTTCATCCATACATTTGACATTATCTGAACATATAACATATCAAAATAATGGTAAATATTTCCTCAGAAGCGACAATCACAGAGTTCCCAACATCACCTACAGATGAACCTGAATCTACTACTACAGAAGATATGATATCATCAACAGGTATGATTATCATGTTACTTTTATCCATGAATTTGACCAATTATCTGAAACTATAAAGTATTACAACTATTTTCAATGTTTCCCTAGAACCAACAAATACAGACTTCACAACATTACCTACAGATGAACCTAGTCCTACCCCTACAGAAGAATTAACATCATCATCAGGTATGATTATCATATTTTTATTCTTGATACATTTGTAGTGAGTCCAACTGAGTCGCAGACGTTGTTCCTTTTAGAGGCAACACATTTATTGTAACACCGTAACACAAAGCGATAACAGCCTCTTTTCCCGATACAGCCTAGGGTGGTGACCACCCAGCTAACTAGGCTATAAAGAGGGGTTACTGCTAGGAAGGGTCGGACCCTCACTCGGGTCTCCGACCACGTGGTTGCCTCGTAAAACGAAGAGCTTCCAGCATGAGATGTAGAGCTTCCAGCTTGTAGGTGTTGAGCTTCCAGCTTGTAGAATGCAGCGACCCCGGCCCCTCCCAGGGACCCGCCTTATATCCCCCTACGGTCGGGTCCGCTCGGCCCTGCCCGCCTTCTCGAGCATTCTCGTTCCCTCTCGATCCTTCTCAAGAGCTCTCCCTAGACACGTGATCACCCACTAGCCCACCCACCTGGGGCCCCTTGTGTGGACACTCTGGATCACGTGTCTAAGGTGTCAACCAGAGTGACATGGCCCGGGGCAACCCTGCCCCTGGGCTGACGCTCACCCACTCCCCCTCGTGGGAGCCCCCACCACACGATGTGCGTGGTGCCCGCACTATCCCAGTGCTCACCAAGCCCTAGTAGTGCTGGTATTATACACAGCCACCCACACGGTGCTGTCCACAATGTAGGAACATCAAACGGCATGGCCCTTCTGGGTGGTCACCATACAATGACATCCCCCCAATGTCACTACACACTTGATAAACTATCCGAACATTTTAGATATTTCAATAATTTTCACTGTTTCCCTAGAACCATCAGACACAGACTTCCCAACATCACCTACAGATGAACCTGAATCTACTCCTACGGAAGATGTAACATCAACAGGTATGATTATAAAGTTGTTTTCATCCATACATTTGACATTATCTGAACATATAAGATATCAAAATAATGGTAAATGTTTCCTCAGAACCGACAATCACAGAATTCCCAACATCACCTACAGATGAACCTGAATCTACTACTACAGAAGATATAATATCATCAACAGGTATGATTATCATGTTACTTTTATCCATGAATTTGACCAATTATCTGAAACTATAAAGTATTACAACTATTTTCAATGTTTCCCTAGAACCAACAAATACAGACTTCACAACATTACCTACAGATGAACCTAGTCCTACCCCTACAGAAGAATTAACATCATCATCAGGTATGATTATCATATTTTTATTCTTGATACATTTGTAGTGAGTCCAACTGAGTCGCAGACGTTGTTCCTTTTAGAGGCAACACATTTATTGTAACACCGTAACACAAAGCGATAACAGCCTCTTTTCCCGATACAGCCTAGGGTTGTGACCACCCAGCTAACTAGGCTATAAAGAGGGGTTACTGCGAGGAAGGGTCGGACCCTCACTCGGGTCTCCGACCACGTGGTTGCCTCGTAAGACAAAGAGCTTCCAGCATGAGATGTAGAGCTTCCAGCTTGTAGGTGTTGAGCTTCCAGCTTGTAGAATGCAGCGACCCCGGCCCCTCCCAGGGACCCGCCTTATATCCCCCTACGGTCGGGTCCGCTCTGCCCTCGGCCCTGCCCGCCTTCTCGAGCATTCTCGTTCCTTCTCGATCCTTCTCAAGAGCTCTCCCTGGACACGTGATCACCCACTAGCCCACCCACCTGGGCCCCTTGTGTGGACACTCTGGATCACGTGTCTACGATGTCAACCAGAGTGCCATGGCCCGGGGCAACCCTGCCCCTGGGCTGACGCTCACCCACTCCCCCTCGTGGGAGCCCCCACCACACGATGTGCGTGGTGCCCGCACTATCCCAGTGCTCACCAAGCCCTAGTAGTGCTGGTATTATACACAGCCACCCACACGGTGCTGTCCACAATGTAGGAACATCAAACGGCATGGCCCTTCTGGGTGGTCACCATACAATGACAATTCCCCAATGTCACTACACACTTGATAAACTATCCGAACATTTTAGATATTTCAATAATTTTCACTGTTTCCCTAGAACCATCAGACACAGACTTCCCAACATCACCTACAGATGAACCTGAATCTACTCCTACAGAACATATAATATCATCAACAGGTATGATTATCACATTGCTTTTATCCATGAATTTGACCAATTATCTGAATCTATAAGGTGTTAAAACTATTTTCAATGTTTTCCTAGAACCAACAAATACAGACTTCTCAACATTTCCTACAGATGAACCTAGTTCTACCCCGACGGAAGATATAATATCACCAGGTATGATTATCATGTAGTTTATATCCATGAATTTGACCAATTATCTGAAACTATAAAGTATTCAAACAATTTTCAATGTTTCCCTAGAACCAACAAATACAGACTTCACAACATTACCTACAGATGAACCTAGTCCTACCCCTACAGAAGAATTAACATCATCACCAGGTAGGATTATCATATTTTTATTCTTAATACATTTGAGAAACTATCCGAACATATAAGATATTTCAATAATTTCCACTGTTTCCCTAGAACCATCAGACACAGACTTCCCAACATCACCTACAGATGAACCTGAATCTACTCCTACGGAAGATGTAACATCAACAGGTATGATTATAAAGTTGTTTTGATCCATACATTTGACATTTTCTGAACATATAAGATATCAAAATAATGGTAAATGTTTCCTCAGAACCGACAATCACAGAGTTCCCAACATCACCTACAGATGAACCTGAATCTACTACTACAGAAGATACAATATCATCAACAGGTATGATTATCATGTTACTTTTATCCATGAATTTGACCAATTATCTGAAACTATAAAGTATTACAACTATTTTCAATGTTTCCCTAGAACCAACAAATACAGACTTCACAACATTACCTACAGATGAACCTAGTCCTACCCCTACAGAAGAATTAACATCATCATCAGGTATGATTATCATATTTTTATTCTTGATACATTTGTAGTGAGTCCAACTGAGTCGCAGACGTTGTTCCTTTTAGAGGCAACACATTTATTGTAACACCGTAACACAAAGCGATAACAGCCTCTTTTCCCGATACAGCCTAGGGTGGTGACCACCCAGCTAACTAGGATTTAAAGAGGGGTTACTGCTAGGAAGGGTCGGACCCTCACTCGGGTCTCCGACCACGTGGTTGCCTCGTAAAACGAAGAGCTTCCAGCATGAGATGTAGAGCTTCCAGCTTGTAGAATGCAGCGACCCCGGCCCCTCCCAGGGACCCGCCTTATATCCCCTTACGGTCGGGTCCGCTCTGCCCTCGGCCCTGCCCGCCTTCTCGAGCATTCTCGTTCCCTCTCGATCCTTCTCAAGAGCTCTCCCTAGACACGTGTTCACCCACTAGCCCACCCACCTGGGGCCCCTTGTGTGGACAATCTGGATCACGTGTCTACGGTTTCAACCAGAGTGCCATGGCCCGGGGCAACCCTGCCCCTGGGCTGACGCTCACCCACTCCCCCTCGTGGGAGCCCCCACCACACGCTGTGCGTGGTGCCTGCACTATCCCAGTGCTCACCAAGCCCTAGTAGGGCTGGTATTATACACAGCCACCCACACGGTGCTGTCCACAATGTAGGAACATCAAACGGCATGGCCCTTCTGTGTGGTCACCATACAGTGATATCCCCCCGATGTCACTACACACTTGATAAATTATCCGAACATTTTAGATATTTCAATAATTTTCACTGTTTCCCTAGAACCATCAGACACAGACTTCCCAACATCACCTCCAGATGAATCTGAATCTACTCCTACAGAACATATAATATCATCAACAGGTATGATTATAACATTGCTTTTATCCATGAATTTTACCAATTATCTGAATCTATAAAGTGTTAAAACTATTTTCAATGTTTTCCTAGAACCAAAAAATACAGACTTCTCAACATTACCTACAGATGAACCTAGTTCTACCCCTACGGAAGATATAATATCACCAGGTATGATTATCACATATTTTTTTCCATGAATTTGACCAATTATCTGAAACTATAAAGTATTCAAACAATTTTCAATGTTTCCCTAGAACCAACATATACAGACTTCACAACATTACCTACAGATGAACCTAGTCCTACCCCTACGGAAGATATAACATCAACAGGTATGATTATCATATTTGTATTCTTAATACATTTGAGAAACTATCCGAACATATAAGATATTTCAATAATTTTCACTGTTTCGCTAGAACCATCATACACAGACTTCCCAACATCACCTACAGATGAACCTGAATCTACTCCTACAGAAGATGTAACATCAACAGGTATAATTATAAAGTTGTTTTCATCCATACATTTGACATTATCTGAACGTATAAGATATTAAAGTAATAGTAAATGATTCCTCAGAACCGACAATCACAGACTTCCCAACATCACCTACAGATGAACCTGAATCTACTCCTACAGCACATATAATATCATCAACAGGTATGATTATCACATTACTTTTATTCCTTGAATTTCACCAATTATCTAAATCTATAAGGTGTTAAAAACTATTTTCAATGTTTTCCTAGAACCAACAAAAACAGACTTCACAACATTACCTACAGATGAACCTAGTCCTAATCCTACAGAAGATGTAACATCACCAGGTATGATTATCACATAGTTTTTATCCATGAATTTGACCAATTATCTGAAACTATAAAGTATTCAACAATTTTCAATATTTCCCTAGAACCAACACATACAGACTTCACAACATTACCTACAGATGAGCCTATTCCTACCCCTACGGAAGATATAACATCAACAGGTATGATTATGATATTTATATTCTTAATACATTTGATAAACTATCCGAACATATAAGATATTTCAATAATTTTCACTGTTTCCCTAGAACCATCAGACACAGAACTCCCAACATCACCTACAGATGAACCTGAATCTACTCCTACAGAAGATATAATATCATCAACAGGTGTGATTATCATATTACTTTTATCCATGAATTAGACCAATTATCTGAAACTATAAAGTATTACAACTATTTTCAATGTTTCCCTAGAACAAACAAATACAGACTTCACAACATTACCTACAGATGAACCTAGTCCTACCCCTACAGAAGAATTAACATCATCAGGTATGATTATCATATTTTTATTCTTGATACATTTGTAGTGAGTCCAACTGAGTCGCAGACGTTGTTCCTTTTAGAGGCAACACATTTATTGTAACACCGTAACACAAAGCGATAATGGCATCTTTACCCGATACAGCCTAGGGTGGTGACCACCCAGCTAACTACGCCATACAGAGGGGTTACTGCTAGGAAGGGTCGGACCCTCACTCGGGTCTCCGACCACGTGGTTGCCTCGTAAGACGAAGAGCTTCCAGCATGAGATGTAGAGCTTCCAGCTTGTAGGTGTTGAGCTTCCAGCTTGTAGAATACAGCGACCCCGGTTCCTCTCAGGGACCCGCCTTATATCCCCCTACGGTCGGGTCCGCTCCACCGTCGGCCCTGCCCGCCTTCTCGAGCATTCTCTCTCAATCCTTCTCTAGAGCTCTCCCTGGACACGTGATCACCCACTAGCCCCCCCACCTGCGGCACCTTGTGTGGACTCTCCAGATCACGTGTCTATGGGGTCAACCAGAGTGCCATGGCCAGGGGCAACCCTGGCCATGGGCTGACGCTCACCCACTCCCCCTCGTAGGAACCCCCACCACACGCTGTGCGTGGTACCCGCACTATCCCAGTGCTCACTACACATTTGATCAACTATCCGAACATATAAGATATTTCAATAATTTTTACTGTTTCCCTAGAACCATCAAACACAGACTTCCCAACATCACCTACAGATCAACCTGAATCTACTCCTACAGAAGATGTAACATCAACAGGTATGATTATAAAGTTGGTTTCATCCATACATTTGACATTATCTGAACGTATAAGATGTAAAAATAATGATAAATATTTCCTCAGAACCGACAATCACAGAGTTCCCAACATCACCTCCAAATGAACCTGAATCTACTCCTACAGAAGATATAATATCATCAACAGGTATGATTATCACGTGGCTTTTATCCGTGAATTTGACCAATTATCTGAAACTATAAAGTATTCAAACAATTTTCAATGTTTCTTTAGAACCAACAAATACAGACTTCACAACATTACTTACAAATGAATCTAGTCATACCCCTACGGAACATATAACATCACCAGTTATGATTATAAAGTTGGTTTCATCCATACAATTTGACATTATCTGAACGTATAACATATTAAAATAATGGTAAATGTTTCCTCAGAACCGACAATCACAGAGTTCCCAACATCCCCTCCAGATGAACCTGAATCTACTCCTGCAGAAGATATAATATCATCAACAGGTATGATTATCATGTTGCTTTTATCCATAGATTTGACCAATTATCTGAAACTATAAGGTATTAGAACAATTTTCAATGTAACACTGGCATAGACTAACTGTGAGTACTGTTTCATTACGCTATCATTTTAGTATCATTGGCATCATCACCTGCAACAACTGCCCAAGCTACAGCTACACAAACTACAGCTACCCCATCCACAGCTACAGCTGTGTCAACTCCATCGCCGTCATCATCACCACGTGTAACAGCAGCAACAACTACAGCAGCACCAACTACAGCTGCACAATCAACAGCAACAGCTGTGTCAACTGCATCGCCAACATCATCACCACGTGTAACAGCAGCAACAACTACAGCAGCACCAACTACAGCTGCACAATCAACAGCTGCACAATCCACAGCTGCACAATCCACAGCTACAATTGTGTCAACTCCAGATGAACTGAGTCCTACCCCTACGGAAGATGTAACATCACCAGGTATGATTATCATGTTGTTTTTATCCGTGAATTTGACTAATCATCTGAAACTATAAGGTATTAAAACAATTTTCAATGTAACACTGGCATAGACTAACTGTGAGTACTGTTTCATTACGCTATCATTTTAGTATCATTGGCATCATCACCTGCAACAACTGCTCAAGCTACGGCTACACAAACTACAGCTACCCCATCCACAGCTGCAGCTGTGTCAACTCCATCGCCACCATCATCACCACGTGTAACAGCAGCACTAACTACAGCTGCACAATCAACAGCCACAATTGTGTCAACTACATTGACAACATCATCACCACGTACAACAGCTATGCAAACTACAGCTGCACAATCAACAGCCACAATTGTGTCAACTACATTGACAACATCATCACCACGTGTAACAGCTATGCAAACTACAGCTGCACAATCAACAGCCACAATTGTGTCAACTACATTGACAACATCATCACCACGTACAGCAGCAGCACCAACTACAGCTGCACAATCCACAGCCACAATTGTGTCAACTACATTGACAACATCATCACCACGTGTAACAGCTATGCAAACTACAGCTACCCCATCCACAGCTACAGCCGTGTCAACTCCATTGCCTTCATCATCACCACGTGTAACAGCAGCACCAACTGCAACTGCACAAACTACAGCTGCACAATCAACATCAACAGCTGTGTCAACTCCATTGCCTTCATCATCACCACGTGTAACAGCAGCACCAACTGCAACTGCACAAACTACAGCTGCACAATCAACATCAACAGCTGTGTCAACTCCATTGCCTTCATCATCACCACGTGTAACAGCAGCACCAACTGCAACTGCACAAACTACAGCTGCACAATCAACATCAACAGCTGTGTCAACTCCATTGCCTTCATCATCACCACGTGTAACAGCAGCACCAACTGCAACTGCACAAACTACAGCTGCACAATCAACATCAACAGTTGTGTCAACTCCATTGCCTTCATCATCACCACGTGTAACAGCAGCACCAACTGCAACTGCACAAACTACAGCTGCACAATCAACATCAACAGCTGTGTCAACTCCATTGCCTTCATCATCACCACGTGTAACAGCAGCACCAACTGCAACTGCACAATCCACAGCTGCACAATCAACAGCCACAATTGTGTCAACTACATTGACAACATCATCACCACGTGTAACAGCAGCACTAACTACAGCTGCACAATCAACAGCTGCAGCCGTGTCAACTCCATCGCCGTCATCATCACCACCTGTAACAGCAGCACTAACTACAGCCGTGTCCTCCGCTTTGCCATCGCTTCCGTCTACAACAGCTGCTAAATCCACAGCTGCCACAGCGGCAGCAGTGCCATCAGCTTCATCAGCCATGGCACAGCCGACTAATACTCCCCTTGTACACAGCAGCAACAGCAGCACCGCGGTCTCAGGTAGGGGATGTATCTCGATTCGTTTTCGTGTTGTTCATCTCCTTCATTATTCAAAATCCGAAGATTAATCCATTTAAGTTAAGATCATTACCGGTGAGTGTACAACACGTGTACTAAACAAAACAAATATAAGAGGGACATCTCTGTAAAATACAGTAGGGTATGGACACCGTGAGCAATTACTGAAGAAGGATCAGGAACAAAATGATGACAAAGTCACATAGAGCAGCTCGCAGCGATTTTAGAAAAGGACATTTGATAAAGATGTAACATACCACAGTACCTCAAGAAGAACGTTTTCAATCACTGTGTTGTACCCACTATGACCTAACGAATCAAACACGTGGACAACGTTAAAGTTAGACACAAGTTCAACAATTGTGACAAGTTGAAGCAGGCATATTTGCATGCTCGGAATTATACTGAGACAAAAATAAAGGCACGGGGATCAGGCAACAAACACGACTCAGTTAAAGTGAGATACCTGAAAATTTGGGAACGTTTGAGAGCAGGTCACAGGCGGGCCTCTCTCGAGTCCATGCTCCACTCATCATCTTTATATTGTAAGCGCTTAAGAGCTGGAAGCACAAATGACAGCAGCGCTCCAGTAATGTGATTGCCATTAAATTGGAGCGATCGTGTTGAACGTGAAGGAGAGTGCGGGCTTGGGCAGGATGCGCCGTAGCTCAGAGAGACGATGGACGAGACTGGTGACGGAATGGCAGGAATCTGAGAACGCACCAGAGAGAGAGAGAGGAGAGCCACGGTGGAGATGGAGCGCCGAGATCCGCTCGTGTGCAAGCAGTGAAATGGATTGCAGCGTCGCAAGGCCATGGGGAGGCCTTATTTCAGCAGTTGATAGACAAATGGCTGATGATGATGATGATTAGATAAACACACACTGGTTGATGTCAATGAACTACTGTGTTTACACTGTGATGTAGGGGCGTGCATTGACAAACCTTTGAACATTCCCATAAATTGTCCCTGAAATAGCGAATACCACAGTGTCACATCCATCATCATGATCACCAGCCTCGTCTTCCACAGCCCTTCCATCTCACGCACTCTGTATCCAACGCCACTGGATTAACAGGAGGTGCTCCATCGGAGAGCACTCCTCGCACCTCCTGCCAATAGCTCGCGTGTGACCCATGACATTGGGTACTGTGGCACGGTGGTTCGAGCAATGCGCTATGAACACAGCGTACTTGAGTTTGATTCCTGGCTTGGGCTATCATCTGTGGAGAGCCATATCTGTACTGGTCCTGGGTGCACGCCCTTCACCAGCCCACACTGGCCAACGTGATGAAGTATGGTCAAACAACCCCCATGGCCATAAGGAATGGGAAAGCCTTCACCGAGTAGTAGATTGAAAATTATAATTTTCCATTATTATACTCTTTGGGTTTTTCGGTAAAGTCACGTAGATAGAAAAAATAAAGTTGTGTCTGTGTTTATATATCTGGATGGCTTCATGGACAAATCTTTGATGATAGGCAGTGGGTTTGCATAGTACTTTCGTGCCCACAGCGTTAAAACAATGGTCAGCCACTGCCGAGGTATTGGTCCGACCGTGTTTCAGATCTGCCTTGTGTTCACGAACACGGTCCGAGATATGTCGCTTAGTTTCCCCAATGTAACTACTGCCGTAGACACAGCTTAGTTTGTAGACACCGGGGTATTGCACGTCAGGGATCACATCCTTCACAGATGGGATCAGATCACGAATTTTATGTACTGTGTTGAATCGAACCTGGATCTTGTGTTTATTCATGATTTGGGAAAAAATTTTGGTAACCTCTATGGACGTGACTTTACCGAAAGACACAAAGAGTATGAATTCCTGCAATCACGAAAGCTTTAAATCAAGATTTATCCATTATTATATTATACAAATTATGCAAAATGTCCTTAAGACGTTGCACCAACTATTCCGATGATACTTCATGAAAACGGGGAGCCCAAAACCGGTTCAGATATCACTCGTCACTGCTGTTAGCCATGACCAGGTATCGAACTGAGATATATATATTAATAGCGCAAGGGTGCTAACCACTGCTCCCCCGCTTTATGACTACTTTGTTCCATTTCCGTGCCTGCGAGCATCTGTGCCACACCTACCGAAGCAGCAGCATCTGAGAACCCAGATAGTGGTGTCAGGTAACCGTGGCCTCGACCTTCTCGACTTCTGGAACCTCTTGAATGTTAAACAAATGTGGGGCACTTGGCGCCACATCCATTGTCACACTCACCTGTGCATACCTGTGCCCACCTGCGCACTCCGGCTCGTGTGAGGCAGCCAAGGCTGCAGACGAGTTCTGCATTGCTGGGACAGGTGCGGCTTGATGTGGCGCAAGCCATTCCAAGCCCAGTTGTGGCATCAGCAAAATCAGCAATGCGCACAATTCCAGCACAGCATTTATCAGCAAGAATTTTAATCCAGGAGCTTATTTCGTTTTCATTTTGTTCTGCACGAGATTGGTCACAATATCTTGATTATCAGCCATCGTGGAAAAATGGGTGTTTTGTTGCCCAGGAGAGATTTACTGAAAGATTACAGATAACCAAAATAAAAAAATACATAGTAAACAAAAGCGTTTCAAACAACGAATTGTTCCGGCAATGAAAGTGTTACAAGAGTCGCTTCATACTTTATTTACTTGTGATGCCTATATTGCGATGGTGGGTCAGTCAAAACAGTTAGAATGTTATCATGAGTACGAATTTGAATAAAAGTTTAAAACGACGCTCTGAAAATTTGGCCGAATGCCACACTTCATGGCATTTTAGTGACGCTTTCAAACCTCATCATCAAATTCATCACCCCCATCGTCATCATTTGCTGCCACACAACCTTCAACTACAGCCACAGCCCCATCTTGGTCTCCCACAGCCGCCGTCAATTTGATGGGCGAAGTTGGTCCAGTGGACCATTGTCAACCATCAAAACATGTTCACAGACTACCATGCACCATTGACATGTTTAGGAATTAAAACCACTCTAAAATCACTGTAAAAGTGAATTCAGAGGCCCCAAAAAATGATTGGCTGGCTTTAAGGGCGCCGCGGTGGTGAGGTGTTAACTACCTTATCTGGTGTGCAGGAGGTCGTGGGTTCGTGCCACACCATGACGCCTCCTGCTGTCTATTTGGGGTTTGCGTGTCTGTCTCCCCGTGGTGGCATGGATTTTTCTCCAGGTCCTCCGATTTCTCCTCCACATTTCGAAACATGCGATGAGAATATTTGAGCTATGATTTGTGGCCAGGTCGCTTCTGAAAAAGAGCTAATAGCTCAGTGGACTTTACCTAGGGAAAAAAAAAGTTTTGTTTTAGCTTATATTGACAATTGTTAATAGTTGCACGATGGGCATTTATAAAACATGGTGTTTGTCAAAAAACTGTGGTGCCTCAGCATTTTCATAGTCCACTTCCCACAGCGCTGCAGAGCGCAAAAGCGTGGACCACTAGCTTGGAGCCCCTACTCTAGCGATTCTAAAGCACCGCTCGGTACAAATCTGCATCAACTACTGGACTTGTGGCATACAAAGTTACGCATCGTCGGCTCTTTAAAACCAATATTGCCTTCACCATCTACTCCAGCATTTAAATGACGCGGCAACTGATATGTGTATTTAGCATTTATCATCCTGCATGGCCAGATTATTATAAAAAAAAACTATCAATCTCAAAAGTCTCAAAACCTCTTCCACAAATGCCCAATCTCATGTCTTCATATTGTGCATGCATGCCTTGTAGCAACCGAGTCTAAAGCTGCATGAACCAGACTCTTTCACGGCACTGCTGAGGTATGGGGTTTATCGTCTCTCGCGATCAAGGGAGGGCATTTGAGAGAAAGCATTTTCCCTTCCTGGCAAGGGTCGCTAAGAAATTTGAATCGAAACTCACAAGGGCAATGCAGTGAAACGCTCAGGTTTCTAAAGCTGCCTTTGTATACCTCAAGAAAAACGCATATTTGTCTTGTGTCAAGTTGACCTTAAACATTGGACGCAATATTATTTTAGGATTGTATCTGGAAATTGTGAAACACAGTAAATCCCATGTTGTGCTTACTCATCTATACTAGTTTAGCTGGGCTGAACTGGATGGAGATATGCTACTCATAAGAGGTGACAATCTCAGAAAATATGTAACAATCTAACAACAAAAATTCGCCTGCTTTGCAACTCCGGTGAACGTGGTTGGCCACGTACGGTGAAAAATAAGTTCAACGTACGTACATACATACATACTTACACGCGTACTTACATACATACTTACACGCGTACTTACATACATACATACTTACACGCGTACTTACATGCATACTTACACGCGTACTTACACGCATACAGACTTATCCCTGCAGATAAATCAACCACTCGGCCGTCATGAGAGTGAAAAATTTCAACAGGATTAGATTAATACCAGTTTAATACTCGTGTCATACAGTAAACTGTGGACCCATATTACCATTTAGTGTCTCAAGAAAGACAGGCTTAACTTTTGACTTGAAACTTTCGTGACTGCAGGAATTCATATTCTTTGTTTGTTTTGGTAAAGTCACGTAGATAGAAAATAATACAATTAAAATAATAAAAAATAATAACATTTATTCATGAAAACCAAAAACCCACGACGTTTCGGTCGCAGTCGTCGAAAAGGGGACCAACCCTTTTCTCTCCACCTGATGATGACTGCCTGTGTTGCCATCGAAACGTCGTGAGTTTTTGGTTTTTATTATGATTATTTTAGTTATATTTTTCATTTTATTTCCATCTACGTGACTTTACCGAAAGAACCAAAGAAGATAAAGGCAGGCTTGTTTAAACAAGTACAGGTGAAATACCAGAAGTGGATAGGCAAGGACTCACTTCGTTAGATATGGGCATTAGTCCACTCTGGTCAATGCCAGGGCTACTGAAAGACAAGAAGGTGCCAAGCCATGTACTGTATTATTATAAAATACTTTTTACATTATGGTTTAATATTTTTGCTTAATGTCAATTTCGTATTCCAATGCCTCTCACTTGACTAAATGAAACGTGTTATTTTATATGTTTCTTTTGTATTTCAGTTACACAAGCAGTGACCAGTATCGCAAACCCCACCAACGAATCTAGCACTCTCCCCATAGCAACTGCCCCCATCACCATGGTAACTGCCCCGATCAACACAACTACCCCTATCACCATGGTAACTGCCCCTATCACCATCACAACTACCCCTATCCCCATCGTAACTGCCCCTATCACCAACACAACTACCCCTATCACCATGGTAACTGCCCCCATCACCAACACAACTACCCCTATCCCCATCGTAACTGCCCCTATCACCAACACAACTACCCCTATCCCCATCGTAACTGCCCCTATCACCAACACAACTACCCCTATCCCCATCGTAACTGCCCCTATCACAAACACAACTACCCCTATCACCATGGTAACTGCCCCCATCACCAACACAACTACCCCTATCACCATGGTAACTGCCCCCATCACCAACACAACTACCCCTATCACCATGGTAACTGCCCCCATCACCAACACAACTACCCCTATCACTATGGTAACTGCCCCCATCACCAACACAACTACCCCTATCACCATGGTAACTGCCCCCATCACCAACACAACTACCCCTATCACCATGGTAACTGCCCCCATCACCAACACAACTACCCCTATCTCCATCGTAACTGCCCCAATGACCAATACAACTTCTCCTATCACCATGGAAACTGACCCTATCACCAACACAACTTCTCCTGTCCACATGGTAACTGCCCCAATCACCAACACAACTACTCCTATCACCATGGTAACTACCCCAATCACCAACACAACTACTCTTATCACCATGGTAACTGCCCCTATCACTAACACAACTACTCCTATCACCATGGTAACTGCCCCAATCACCAACACAACTTTTCCTGTCAACATGGTAACTGGCCCAATCACCAATTCAACTTCTCCTGTCCCCATGGTAACTGCCCCAATCACCAACACTACTCTTATCACCATGGTAACTGCTCCTATCACCAACACAACCACTCCTATCACCTTGGTAACTGCCCCAATCACCAATACAACTTCTGCTATTCCCATGGTAACTACCCCTATCACCAACACAACCACTCCTATTAACATGGTAACTGCCCCTATCACCAATTCAACTTCTCCTGTCGCCATGGTAACTGCCCCTATCACCAACACAACTACTCCTATCACCATGGTAACTGCCCCTATGACCAACACAACTTCTCCTGTCCCCATGGTAACTGCCCCAATCACCAACACAACTTCTATCACCATGGTAACTACCCCAATCACCAATACAACTTCTGCTATCCCCATGGTAACTGCCCCTATCACCAATACAACTTCTGCTATCCCCATGGTAACTACCCCTATCACCAACACAACCACTCCTATCAACATGGTAACTGCCCCTATCACCAATTCAACTTCTCCTGTCCCCATGGTAACTGCCCCTATCACCAACACAACCACTCCTATCATCATTGTAACTGCCCCTATGACCAACACAACTTCTCCTGTCCCCATGGTAACTGCCCCAATCACCAACACTACTCTTATCACCATGGTAACTGCCCCAATCACCAACACAACTTCTCCTATCATCATGGTAACTGCCCCTATCACCAACACAACCACTCCTGTCCCCATGGTAACTGCCCCTATCACCAATACAACTTCTCCTGTCCCCATGGTAACTGCCCCAATCACCAACACAACCACTCCTATCATCATGGTAACTACCCCAATCACCAACACAACTTCTCCTGTCCCCATGGTAACTGCCCCAATCACCAACAGAACTTCTCCTGTCCCCATGGTAACTGCCCCTATCACCAATACAACTTCCCCTGTCCCCATGGTAACTGCCCCTATCACCAATACAACTTCCCCTGTCCCCATGTTAACTGCCCCAATCACCAATACAACTTCCCCTGTCCCCATGGTAACTGCCCCTATCACCAATACAACTTCCCCTGTCCCCATGGTAACTGCCCCAATCACCAATACAACTTCTCCTATCATCATGGTAACTGCCCCAATCACCAACACAACTTCTCCTGTCCCCATGGTAACTGCCCCAATCACCAACACAACTTCTCCTGTCCCCATGGTAACTGCCCCAATCACCAACACAACTTCTCTTGTCCCCATGGTAACTACCCCAATCACCAACACAACTACTCCTATCATCATGGTAACTGCCCCTATCACCAATACAACTTCTCCTATCCCCATGGTAACTACCCCAATCACCATCACAACTACCCCTATCACCATCACAACTACTCCTATCCCCAACACAACTACTCCTATCACCATGGTAACTGCCCCAATCACCAACACAACTATTACGACAGCCACTACTTCCGCGGAAATCTCTACCACAAGAAACTCTACGACGGCCACAAGCACCACGACTCCCTTGACAACGAATGCAACTGCGGCACAAGGTATTGAACACATCCAGTTGAACACGTCACACTCACTCATCAGCTGGAACATTCGCACCAATCCATCAGGCTCACAGCCTTCCACACCGCTCCACTCACTCGCTCGCAGTTGCATGCTGGGAAAAAGCAGTCACGGTTGCAGTCAGCGCTCCAGATATTGTGTTGGGTTTCTGGGTCATTCACCCTGCAATTTTAACTCTCAAAGTAATTTCCCTCTCAAATGAGATTAGAGGTGGTGCGTATCCCCTATTAGCTCTGAGCCAGTGGTGGAAATTCCACATTCCTATGGTGGGGGTGAGTCTATGCATAAGACGACCACTGTTAACTTCCCCCACATAGTGGTACTCGCTGGAGTGACCCCCGAGGGATGATGGGCTGAGTCACCACCCAACCAGAATTTGAACTCGCAACCTTCCGTCGATTGCGAGCGGCTCGGTCTGCCACTGAGCCACCCAGCCAATGCGACACTTTGTGGGTACGATGTAATGTTCCGAGGTGAAACATGGCCTTACCTGTAAGTCATGAATAACTTTAGGCACTAAGTCTGAACATTTGTTATCACGCACTCTCATGAGTCCAGTCCATTTTGATAAACGCCGTACAATCCGGTCGCGTAGCTAACGAGTGTGCAGCCGTTGTGACACACACAGAGAAGAGATGAATGCTCCTCACCATGCTGCTGTGAGGTGTTAGGAGTGGATTCGTGGTTAAATCTGCTTCTCATAGAACTGGCTGAAGCCATCAATGCCACATTATCTCCATGCAATACATTGGATGTTATCTACTTATATGGCAGATTAGGAGACCAACACATGTGATGTGTCATTGAGCAATACACATTTCTGTGATACAAAAACCCACACCCTACCGCTAAAACATTCAGTCTGACAAATCAAAAGGATCAGAAACAAGCCCTCGGGTTTAACATTTTCCGGAATTGGCATTGTGTATCACCCCGAGACTCAAAGCTGAGCCGTTGATGGAATGCGGGCAGAAGCTGTATGTGCAGGGCGTTACCCAGTAGGGGTTAAATGTTTGCCTGTGTCCATCCATGCGTTCCAGACCAGGAATTGGCCGTGTTATGACGCATACAAATTCCTGCGGCTATGCATTGTGCCCCGTGCCCTCTGAGGGCTCTCTAAGCCTGCACCCAGGCATCGTCATCATCAGCAGCCATGGTCTATCCACAGCTGGATGAATGCCTCCCTGCTTAGTATCACGGTTTTATGACACCAGAATCCATCTCACTCCTGCACGTGAGCTGATGTCATCGCCTTTTCTCTGTTGTGGTCGTCCTCTTGGGAGCGTTCTCGACTTTGACTGCCATTCTGTCACCAGTCTCATCCATCGGCCATCATCACTTCCAACAATGTGTCCGAGCCAATCCCACTTATTCTCCTCAACAATGTGACATATCTGACTTGCGGTTGTTCCCTGGTCCACAAGTTCCGAAGTCTGTCTCTCGATTCCAAGCATGCATCTCTCCATGTTTTTTTTACACTTTTCAGCTTTTATTTCATTTTCTTCATCAAATCTCAACACTTCTGATGTACATTGCGGCGGGTATTTTCTATGTATATATGTTAAACGTCTTTCGCGCGATACGTAGCCAAAAGGGCTAATCGGAGGTGCACTGATTGAAAACCTTCATTTTCAGCCATATTACTGTGTTACTTTTCATTGTGAAGTTCAGTTCTGTGATTTGGAAGGACACAAAACAAATCACATGACTCTTACAAATGTAAGCGCAACACTTAGGGAATGCGTGGTAACCCGTGCTTCTGTGGATGCTGCTCATGCATTGTTTCCTGCAGTGGAAAACCGGCTCTTTGCCTATGGATCACAAGTCGGAGATGTCCAGATGTCCCATGGAGGAAATGACTTTGTCTCACCGACTTTTAACATTCCATATGGATTTCCATTCGGACAAACATTCTACAATTACCTCTATGTGAGTTTTTTTCCAAACAAATCACGTTTCTCCTTTGTAAAACAAGTTTTACACATATGTCTGTGTTAAGGTAATTCTTACAGAATCATCGACTAAATTATCCTGAATGTGCCTGATATAGTCAGATCCCAGAAGCCAAGCAGAGTTGAACCTGGTTAGTACTTGGATTAGACACTGACCTCTATCTCTTGGTGAACAGGAAAAGTCAGTACAACAATGGATTCTAGTATTCTATGGGTCTTTCGGTAAAGCCACGTAGATAGAAAAATAATAATAAAAATATCACGACGTTTCGATCACAACACAAGCAATCGTCTTCAGGTGTGAGACAGAGAGGAAGCTGCTGAGACAAGGTCTCATATAGGCCTGAGATGGGTGCATCAATGTAGGTGGGTGGAGCTAGAGATGGTCCAACCACAGAGGCTGGGGCAGTGGCCTTTGTATTGTGAGAGATTAGCCTGTAAGGTTATTTTTCTATCTACGTGGCTTTACCGACAGACCTATAGAATATGTATTCCTGCAGTCACGAAAGCTTTAAGTCAAGATTTAATGTATTCTAGATTCAATCTTCGTGGAACTCTGCGGGTTATCTTCCTGCATTAGTGGGTTTACTCCTCACACGAAGCCAAACCCTCATTCATTGCATTGGCCAAACATTCCAATGTAGCATCACCCTCCTTAAAAAGTCTTGAGAGTCAGCGAGGATTTCCTGGATTATTAAAGGGTATTATTATTGTTGATTCATGCACTGAGCTTTCAACCCACTGACCTAAGTTCAGTTTCTGGTGGTGGCTGACATCACCAGCGAGGGATATCTGAGCCGGTGCTGGACCCTCCACCTGTCTCGCAGAGCACTGACCAAAGTGGTGAAGTACGGCGGTGAAAACCCTGACTGACACAACAAGGACAGTCCTTCATCCAGCAGTGGATTGACAAAGAGCTATAAATTACGGTTGTTAATTTACGATTTGATTGCTTAGGTTTATTCCGATGCTTTGTGATATTCGTACATGTCTGCTGCCTGTGAAACCGTAGCAGACGTCCGTCCAGCAGGAGCGCGTTGCTCAACGTCTCGTTCTCATCCACAGTTCACGGACAATGGGGCCTTCATACTCCAGGACAAACGCCACGCTCCAAAGTTCCCCTTCCCCAACCCACCGTCCAGCGGCTTCCGAAGCAACAGCGCCAGCGCAATAATCGCGGTGTTTTGGGACGACGCAGACTTGTCCGCAGGGATTGGGAAAATCTACTACCAGGTACGGCAGCCCACGCTGAGCTCACGCACACAGCTCACAGACAACACAGCCTGCATTGCGTAAACACTTACACTTTTTTGTACATTACATTATTACTTTAGAGTGTTCTTGCTACAGCAATCACAGTGTACGGATGTGTGTATTTTTTGTTAATGTCATCAGGAATACAACTTAGACGGTTCTCAGAATCTAGTGCCGGACATAGTGACCACACTGAAAAATGTAATCGCGCGCGATTACAGTGCAGTAAACGCGTTTCAACCATCCTGGATCCTCAAAGTAACGTGGGATAATGTGCCGGCCGTGACAGAAAACGACAACTCGCAACACGTGCGTACACTCCTCGCGAAACACTTCGCACTTTTGTGTCTGCGGCAATGAGTGTGTCACGAGTGGACTGAGCGGAGGATCACAGGTAAAGCGTCTCCCAGCAGGCCACCTGCAGGAGGAGGCCAGGTGGGTGAGGGGTCATTGCGCCCGACGAGCCCCGCCACCGCCAAGATCTAGTGGGTTCGAGCCGCCCCTCATTAAACTGGCTTCGCGCGTCAAAATGGGAAAGCGTGGCTGCACGAAAACATGAAATCACATTTATTTACACTTTCACTTGATTTAGTTTTAGCGTTAAGGAATTGTCATATCAGCATTATTGACATGGAATGAACACTCCTTGAGAGGTGTGTAATAGGTGTGCCCCTATTGTGGAAAAATAGCTCAATTGTAGGTCAGACGTTCTATAACACATGGTGATGCACTGCTCGCTGCAAGAGTTCTCACAAGGGAAGTACGATGTGGTGCCAGTAGCACAATTGGAATATAATTCGGGGGGAGATAGAGCCCCTTGCTGGCACCTCGTGCTGTAGACTTGCCAGAGGACGGTGTCCTGGCGGAAGCGCGAGCAGACTGCTCGCTGTTCACTTCCAAACATTGAAGGAAGTCTCTGATGGCTCTTACACTGTGGTGGCTATTACACTCCTGTGATGGCTAATACACTCCTGTGATGGCTATTACAGCACTGCAGGTTAAATTATTCTGAGTTTATCGTTGATTTTGCATGCACTATTGTTTGCCTTGGATATACACAGCACATTGTTTTTTTCACACAAAACAATAATTCTATTTACAATTCACTAAATAATCCATTAACGTAATTGGCAGTTCACCTGCATTGGTGCGATACTGCGTGTCAAAACCGGTCCATATTTTGCTCGATTTAAACCAATGCGGCTAAAAACATTCACTTGCAAAAGGCCGTGTGGCTGGTGAAATGTGGACAGAAATACTTTTGTTTTTAATGCGGAGAGATGCATATTGCGAGGTGTAATATCAGCTTGTTTAGATTGTTTACAATATTCGTAACGATGTCAAGTAAAATATTTGTGCAACTTCACGTGGCATCGAATGTTGGTTGTGATGGAGTGGTGGCTCAGTGGTCTATGAACCTTGGTGTCTTGAGTTTGAGTCCTGACCACGGCTCACATCAGTGGAAAGCGATATCTTAACCGGTCTGGGGCCCCTCTTCCACTAACCTGCAATGACCAGGACGGTGAAGTATGATCAAACAATATCCATGGCTGACATGGCATGAGAGACCTTCATTTGGAATTGTATTGAAAAAGAGTTGTAAGTTCATTATTATTATTTATTACATATATCAATATATTAAATTAAAAATAAAATTTCAGTTATACAGTTCGAACCTTTTAAGTTGTTTTATTTGTTTGAATTCTAATTACAGTATCGTTCTCTGTTGTCATTTCCATACGATACACCTGCCACTTTAAACGTGAACTTTATATTTAAAGAGGAAAAAACTGCTTTTAAATAATGCCTTAGTCACTGGAATGTAAAACACAGGCCATGACAGAGGCTGTTGGTCTGGAGAGGTATGCCACGTGTGACGTGTCAGTGTAGTGCATCAACAATAAACGTCCCTTTGGCTGCATAGTTCTGAGCTGTGCATACGAAGGCAGAGAGAGGATGTTTCAAGAGCACAGGCAGATGCACGCAATAACAATAATTATCAGCCCTTTGTCAATCCGCTGCTGGATGAAGGCATCTCCTCGCTGCGTAAGTCATGGCGGTTGTTTGACCACAGCTCACCATCGTGGTCAGTGCAGGATAGCGAGGTGGGGTGCATAGGGCCGGTTCGCCACTGATGCCAACCGGGGGCAGGAATCAAACTCAGGTTGCCTGACTCTGAGCGCAGTGCGCTGGCCATTACTGTCGGACGTATTCACCCCCTAAATTAGTGGATGTATCACTGCTGGTTCGGTAGACCCCCAAGCAAGGCCACTGGGTCCCCGTGCTCCCAGCCCCCCATGCCCCCCTCCGCAGGCTGTGAAACCACAATGCACACACGGATCACGTGTCCACGCCCCTTGTCAACGCGGTGTTAGTTAGGCATTCGTTTCATGTTGCGTGTCAGTGTGTTCTGTGTTAGAAAGGCATTCGTTTCATGTTGTGTTATGTTTGTGTTCATCGACCCCACAGACCAACACGTTTCAGGCCATTCTTGCAACAGATGGAGTGTTCTCTTTCTGCCTAAGCATCTTCCAGCACAACAGCATGAAGTGGCAACCGCTGAACAGGGACCCGAACCTGAACAAGGTTCTCATGGGTTACCACACGTGAGTAGTGCATACGGGCCTGGCGTGCGTGCCACGGTCATCTCGTTCGACAGAAACAAGCGACGGCTGCCACCGCTGCTGCTGCTGCAGCACAGACGGGCACAGCAGCGTGAGGGCTGGACACCATGACACTCCCGATGACGACGACTATCATTGTTGTTTTGCGTGCGTACCTCGCCTCGTCACAATAGGGTCAAATTCCCACTGCCGTTGACGACCATCTGCTGGCCGCAGTCGAACCTCCTCATTAAATGAAACAAATGATTTGTCACTGGTGCATTGGCAGTGGCGCACAAAAGACACTAACTCCACACATTCATCCATGGCACACCGTTCAAAGGAAAAGCGATGTGATGGGCATTGACCCTTCCTCATCGCATGTACATGAATGTTTAAAGAGGCAGGAGTGGTGCCTCATCTTGTTATCTCGAGATGTTATCACGTGGCAGTACCTTTTGGGGTTGCACTTTCCTCTAAGCTGAGCTTCCTCTTTGCTGAATTTTAACGAGCCATCTGACTTTCTATTTTGTTACGCTTGACTTCATCGAGCTTGTCCTGATGATGTTTGATATCGTTTAAAGTGCAGCGCCACGTATCTAATTGCTACACAAGTTGATTTTAGAAATGTGTTTTTCAACTTCCTGGTGAGCTGAGTATCAATTGTCGTGTTGTTCAACACTCGTTCAGATGACCATTAATTAGTTTGGCTGTGTCGGGTGTACGTATGCACGTTGAACTTCTTTCGCACCATACATAGCGAACCGTGCTAATCGGAGTTGCGGTGGAGAGTTCCTCACGACACGGATTTGCTCCGATTAATTAATCTATCTTACGTTTTACTCACCCTCCCTCACCTCTCTCTCTGACCCATCTCTCACCCATCCTCACCGATCCTCACCCAAGGGGAATATACAACGTGTTCTACAACGACCCGATCATGACCAAGAGTGTTGCGGTGCGCTACAGCCCGGACAGCGTGGTGGGCAACACAGGTGGGTCGCCCTCGCTGAGCCTTCGGCTCGCCGCGCTTCATCAAAATCTGAAAGTGGCCCGGCTCAAATTAGCATTGAGCACAGCGGTGCTCTTCTCCGGCTCAGAGCCCTGAGCCAGCGGTGGAAATTACACATTCCTATGGCAGGGACGAGTCTATAAGTAGGACAGCCACTGTTGGCTTCCCCACAAACTGGTATATATTGTATTGACCTTGAAGGGATGATGGGCCGAGTCAACCCCCAACCAGGATTTGAGCTCGAGGCCTTGTGATTGGGAGCCGCTCACTCTGCCGCTCACGCCAAGGTGCGGGTGAAACGGACATGACTTACAGTATGTTGAATATTATTTGGGTCTTTCGGTAAAGCCACGTAGATAGAATCATGATCAATGTAGAGCGTTGTGGGATGTCATTAGTATGAATGGCACCGTATACAGTGAAATTGTTATTATTGACAAGACAAAAAAGCCACAACCGATGCAAACGGTTTTCACAAGACCATGGCTTTGTGTCTTTTTCCTCTGGCAGGCCAAATGGGCACGTGGTTGTACCGACTGGAGACCAACAGCATTACCAACGTGAACAGCAAGCGGGATTGTCTGCGCTGGGTCAACACAGAGAAGAAGAGTAACCTTTGGTTCTGGAATCCATGTCCCTGCTCATACTGGCAAGGGAGGCTCGACTCTACGTTCATCAATGGGGACTTCATTCAAAACTATAACTTTCCTACCAAGCAGTTTGATGGTAATTAATGCAGTCAAATTATCTTCACCTCATTTCCATCAAGACTGATTTTTACGATTAATTTATTTTGTTTGATTGTTTTAGTCTCTTCTTCTTTAGCAATCCCTCAGAGTGTTGAGGTCGACAGTGTTCCATCGGTGTCTGCGGGTCTGAAGATTGGCGATCGTCAGACTCTGTCGTCGCAGTGCTGGTGCTCCACGTGTTTCCCCGCAGGACGCGTCGCCCTGGCTCGCTCGCGTGGCCTGCGACGCGCTGCTGTTGCGCCTGCAGCTGCGCCTGCAGCACCCGTTTTTCCTCCTCCTGTTGTCGTCTTAAGAGTTTCGGTTTGCTGAGATCCTGGGCAGTATTCTGGCCAGTGTCATTGTTGCACTTCTTCACATTGGCCTTGAGGACATCCTTAAAGCGCTTTTTCTCCCCTCCTCTTCCCCAATCTATCATTGTATAACTGGGGTGCAGCGGCGATTGCACGAGTGAGCGCACTGTGCTACGAACCTGGCGACCTGTGTTTGATTGCCAGCCATGGCTAACATCAGTTGTTGAGTGATAGCTGGCATCCCCAGACCCCTCACCAACCCACACTCACCGGCGTGGTGAAGGACGCCGGAGCAACTCCCACAACCGACGTCGCGGCACAGGGGAAGCCATCTAATAGGCGTTCACAATTCCTGCGAAGCCCAACGCTTTGGAGGTTCGCGTTTGAGATGACACTGGCGATCCGTTGGCCTTGAGATGATTTGGTGAGGTCGTCCGGTGAACCGCCGTGCTGCCCCTCTTTGTCAGGCGCGGCGTACACGCTGCAAAGCGTGTGGCAGAACCCTGACGGATCGGGCGTGCGCTGTTACTACGATGTTCGTGGCTCCCTCATCACGGGCCAGCACGAGCGCTTGCTGCCAACGCCCTGGGACCCGCCCAACAACCCCTGGTGGTTCTCCGACTACAGCTTGTTCTACTACTACTACAATGTGTACATCAGCCAGTGGCTACCGCGCGAAGCCAACAAATACAAACGTAAGCTTCTCTTTTAGCGCAGCCACTGAGTGCAGCGCCAAGGGAACAATGTGTCACGTGGACACCAACAGACGGAACTAGCAAGGTTGTGATAGGCAATGGTTAGAATGTTTCTTGAATTCAGCATGCTAATTATGAGGACTTGGGAAAAGAGATGATGGGAGGGATATCCAAAGTGCAGCTGTGTGAAGTGTAGTAGTGGGGTGGGTGAGTGAGTGAGTGGGTGAGTGGTGGATGAATGAATTAGTTGTGACCTTAAGTGTGGTGGTTGGGTGGGTGGGTGAGTGGGTGGATCAGTGAGTGTGTTGTTGTGACCTGCAGTGTGGTGGTTGAACACAGAGCACTTGAGTAAAAACAGTATGGTAGAGCGAGTCCCCAACATAGGTTGAGGAATCAATGAGTGAGGTTTACAGACACAAACAGGAACCATCGTAGTAGCAATATAAGAGTGATGATTACGCTACTGACCGCCCTTGACTGTAGTAAATCAGCTACCGGTGGTGGCAGTGTGGGGATGTGTTTATGAAGAAGCGGATTTACCGTGGCCGACGGCGATGATTCATATATTTTACAATCTCGCAACTAATGCACAAGAACGTATAACGTTTATGTTGTTTTGTGTTCACTTAACGATTCTGTGAGCCCACACATTCAGCCGAACGTTGTTCACTGATGCGCGACAGTCCAGGAGGTGCAGCCGTATAGCGACTGCTGCGTGAACTCGGGAGACAGCTCCTACTGCTCGCTCTACTACGAGAAGCGGCCTGCCGACTCCTGCTGGGGCTACAGGCCCCCCCGGTTCGGTGAGTGCTGCAAAAGCAGCCGGCCGTGTGGCTCACGGGACGTGTGGCTCACGGGACGTGTGGCTCACGGGACGTGTGGCTGACGGGACGTGTGGCTCACGGGACGTGTGGCTGACGGGACGTGTGGCTGACGGGACGTGTGGCTGACGGGACGTGTGGCTGACGGGACGTGTGGCTGACGGGACGTGTGGCTCACGGGACGTGTGGCTCACGGGACGTGTGGCTCACGGGACGTGTGGCTCACGGGACGTGTGGCTCACGGGACGTGTGGCTCACGGGACGTGTGGCTCACGGGACGTGTGGCTCACGGGACGTGTGGCTCACGGGACGTGTGGCTCACGGGACGTGTGGCTCACGGGACGTGTGGCTCACGGGACGTGTGGCTCACGGGATGCGAAATACACTCGAATTATTTTGGGAGCGGGGCCAGCTGTGCCTAGAAAGCTTGTCATTTTATCAGTTAAATTTGATTATTGTGGTCATGGCGCGTGCATGATATAATGCGTCTAAGAATTGATTCTTGGAATTATTTGAATGTATTTGTTGCAAGCTAAACACTAATACACCTTTAGGGAGGAGTGAAATGCCATTCTGCCAGCAGTGGCAGGGCTGCACCGTTACCTTTGTTTATTGGACTTGCTGCTCAATGCCCGTTTCATGTGAACGCTCGCGCCGCTGTGAAGGCTGGATGTACGGCGACCCGCACATCACGACCATGGATGGCGTGGGCTACACGTTCAACGGACTGGGCGAGTACGATCTTCTCATCGCCGACAATGGAAACGGGACCAAGTTCAGGATCCAGGGGCGCACGCAGCGCGCCGGCTTCAACCACACGTCCATGGCCACGAGCTTCGTGGCGCTGGTGGCGTGGCAGTTGGGCAGCCCCGCGGTGAGCGCCCAGCGGAGTGCTCCCGCGTGCTCCTTCACCCACGTTAAAGAATTTTCGCCACCTGAGAAACTCGACAAACTTGTTGGGGGGTTTTTTACGTTAAAAAAAACTTAACAAAGGCATTTTTTTTCATGTTGAAACGTGAGAACAGCACAATTGGCTGGCTGACTTGGCTCAGCTGAAGCCAGTCGTGCCTGCTCTTCAAGGTCCACATTGTGCCCAACCACCAATCACGCACCCACCTACTCAATTCCATAACTCACTCACCTGCAAAGACAAACATCCCCCGTGTAGCTTTCTCACAGATTGTCGGGGCAAGTGCTGTTACCGAGCACATATGAAGGCCGGCACAGCACACGAGGCGGTGGGTGGCCAGCTACATTTTTGCTGATGTTTACTACTTATTTGAGGCTGAGTCGACCTAGGCGAGGCCCAGGACCGGTTCAGATCATTGTCACCGTTGTTGGCCATGAGCAGGAATCGAACTCGAGTCGCCGGGTTCGTAGTGCAGTACGCTAACCAACGCCCCACCACTCCTCACACTCATTCACAAACCCCCTCGCTCACCCCCTCACCACACTGCAGGTCACAACTCTTCTCTTCCTGTTTCTTCCATCGCACTGCTCCACTTTGGAATGCCTGCCATTGTTCTCATTTCCCAAAAAAATGTATCTTGCTCAATTGAAGAAACGTGTTCAGTCTTTTCTATTACAACTTTGCTGGGGCTGTTTGTTTCTGGCCGCTTAACGTGTTGGGCCTGTGAGTCCGTGCTCCGGTGGTGATTTGAACAAAAGTAGATTGTTCTGCCCCCGCTGCTTCCACAATATCCACTGTAGGGTCGCGTTGCAGATTTAAGCATTCTGACATTCAGATTGAGGACAATTTAGGATCTCTTTTCAGATTGTGCATGTACTCATGCAACAAGTCATCGTGCTAACAGGAGAGACGTCGCCCAATGCCGCACGATATTTATTTCTGGAGGATAAAAGTGATTTCTACAGGATAAAAGTTTTTAGCTAAAATTGAGATCTTCCAAAATGTTGCGTCTTGGTCTAACTTGTGGATCTCTGCCTGCACCTAAAACCAGAGCCTACCCCAACAGCTCTGCACCTCACAGTCACAGTCAATTGTGTCTGTTAAATATTACAAGCTTTACAAAGTGCATAATTATTGTTATATATAATAGTTTACAGATACCTTCATCCATCCACTGCTGGATGAAAGCATCTCCAAGCTATGTTGATTGTATGACCATACTTCACCATACTGGTCAGTGCCCAGGACTGGTTCAGATCTCACTGGTCACTGCTATTCGCCGTGACTGGGAATCAGACGCAGGTCCGCGAGGTTTATATCCCTTGATTTAGCCCCAATACTAATAATCAATGATTTTAAATAGCAAAAAAGTTTCAATAATAATATTTTAGGCGCAATAACAATGCTCTTCATTGTTATTATGATTGCTTCCTTGCCCCCGCCAAATTTAGCAAGATATAAAATGCCCTTCAGCATTCTTCACCATGGCGACAGCTGCAGCAAACCCCAGACTGCGTTGTCGAAAAAGTGCCATTGTGCAAATCGCTACATTGAGCGGCCGGTTTCTTACTTGAGATGCCAATCCGCATGCTTTACGGTGTCAGGACAAGTCTCAGCTTGACAACCAGCTTCCTTTTAATCAACAGGTTGAATGGAAGTTGAATGTGGACAACACGACTTCCCTTTACCTGAATGGCGTTGTCTTCAACGTGACAGGTAAGTTTCCCTCTAACCACTTTTCCTGTAGCAAAGCAATTAGCCAACGGCAGAACACCAAGCCCGGCTGCCTTTGTCTCCCTCGTATCGATGTTTTACACCAGGGACTGTGTGTGCAAACATCTATCAAAATTGTGTATAAATATACAAAGACAAAGAGATCTCCCGTATAGCCTGAACAGACAGTAGGAGCAAGCGCTGTTACATATACACACAGCGGTGTCAATGTTTCTACCCCCGTAGGGAATCCCACGTCGATAAACGGGACCACGTTGATGGCGACCAACGGGAGCCTCCTGGCCTCGTTCTCGTCGGGCGCGTCCGTGACGGTCACGGCCACGGTGGGAGCGCTGCAGTTCCTCATCTCCCTGCCGGAGGCCATGCGCGGCAGGACCACGGGGCTGCTCGGTGAGGAAGGCCGTCGCGATGGCAACGAGAGGATGCTGCGTTGCGAAGGGCCCCGGCAAGCGCGTGACAACCCCCCCCCTCCTCCTCCTCCCTGCCGCGTGACAACCCCCCCCCTCCTCCCTCCTGCCGCGTGACACCCCCCCCCTCCTCCTCCCTCCTGCCGCGTGACACCCCCCCCCCTCCTCCTCCTCCCTGCCGCGTGACACCCCCCCCCTCCTCCTCCCTCCTGCCGCGTGACACCCCCCCCCTCCTCCTCCTCCCTGCCGCGTGACACCCCCCCCCCTCCTCCTCCTCCCTGCCGCGTGACACCCCCCCCCCTCCTCCCTCCTGCCGCGTGACACCCCCCCCCTCCTCCTCCCTCCTGCCGCGTGACAACCCCCCCCCTCCTCCCTCCTGCCGCGTGACACCCCCCCCCTCCTCCTCCCTCCTGCCGCGTGACACCCCCCCCCTCCTCCTCCCTCCTGCCGCGTGACACCCCCCCCCTCCTCCTCCCTCCTGCCGCGTGACACCCCCCCCCTCCTCCTCCCTCCTGCCGCGTGACACCCCCCCCCCTCCTCCTCCCTCCTGCCGCGTGACAACCCCCCTCCCTCCTCCTCCTCCCTGCCGCGTGACACCCCCCCCCTCCTCCTCCCTCCTGCCGCGTGACACCCCCCCCCCCCTCCTCCTCCTCCCTGCCGCGTGACACCCCCCCCCCTCCTCCCTCCTGCCGCGTGACACCCCCCCCCCCCTCCTCCTCCCTCCTGCCGCGTGACAACCCCCCTCCTCCTCCTCCTCCCTGCCGCGTGACACCCCCCCCCCTCCTCCTCCCTCCTGCCGCGTGACACCCCCCCCCCTCCTCCTCCCTGCCGCGTGACACCCCCCCCCTCCTCCTCCCTCCTGCCGCGTGACACCCCCCCCCTCCTCCTCCCTCCTGCCGCGTGACACCCCCCCCCCTCCTCCTCCCTCCTGCCGCGTGACAACCCCCCCCTCCTCCTCCCTCCTGCCGCGTGACACCCCCCCCTCCTCCTCCCTCCTGCCGCGTGACACCCCCCCCTCCTCCTCCCTCCTGCCGCGTGACACCCCCCCCTCCTCCTCCCTCCTGCCGCGTGACACCCCCCCCCTCCTCCTCCCTGCCGCGTGACAACCCCCCCCCTCCTCCTCCCTCCTGCCGCGTGACACCCCCCCCCCTTCTCCCTGCCGCGTGAAACCTTCTAGGAGTGTTCAACGGAAACAAGACCGATGACTTCCAGGCTTCCGACGGAACCATCCTGCCCTTCGACGGAACCACTCTTCCTTCAGAATCCAAGATATTTTACGAGTTTGGATCAACGTGTAAGTCCGTCTACGGTGTCGGGATCTTCAGACGCATGTTCATACGATTATTCGAGAACCCCCTTCATAAATCGGACCCTTATTTTCTCATAGACAGTTGAAACAGTAGAAACATCACTTGCCGATGTATGTTTTTCGTTTATCAACAATATTTAAAAGGGTTTAATCGGTAAAAATACACAAAACACTTGAGAATACAAAAAGCTCCACGCCAAGTCACATTGGAAACCAGACCGACTCTGTTCAAATTTGTTCAGAGTTGTGTCGATGATGCGTCGTAAATCAATCCAGGGTGGCACTGTATAAAAGTGGTAAATGTGGATCATCGTAAATCAGACGGCGTGAACTAGAGGCCGCCTGTATATATATCCATGCATGTCCCAGTAAGTCAAAGTGATTTGCTGCTCAAATGAGCATGTAGGGAGTGCTCACATCCTGATCACATCACTGAGACAGGGGTGCAAATTCCACATTCCTATAGTGGGGTGAATCTGTCCATAGGACAACCACGTTTTACTTGATCTCGCAACCTTCCAATTGCGAGCCACCTGGCCTGAGGCATTTTAATTCGCTACAGCTCTCCAGATTCACACCACATTTGTCAATACAAGCATCTGTGTGGTCAACTTTAATCAGCACCTGACGTTCATTTCCTCAGGGAAAGTTACTCCAAGCAGCTCCCTGTTTCAGTATGGAAGTGGAGAAAGCTGGGACATCTTCAACAACAACAACTTTGTTCCAACCTTCTACGAGCAGCTTCTCAGCGAGAGCAAAAACCTCGACACAATTACAAGCGCCTGCAAAGGCAACCAGGACTGCATTTTCGACGTTCTAAGTACCGGCGACCTTGATTTCGGCAAAGCAACTGTACAAGCCTCGGATGCTTTTATAAGCGAAAACAAAATCATCAGTAAGTGCCCAACCTCCGTAGCATTGTCATTGTTTTAACGTTAAAGTGTATTGAGATAAACTCGTTGGCTTCATATGCAACATTGTGTTTGCCAGCAACAACAATTAAATTGCATTTGTCTGACGGTGGCATTGGTTCTCTCAACAGGCAACTCGCCACCCAACATCACGGGACGCAACGTCATCCAAACGCGTCTGAACGAGGCCAGCAGCGTCCAATTGACCGTCACGGACCCAAACGGGGATAATGTCAACATCAGTATTACCCCAACGTCTGCAGATCTCAATATTTCAAGTACGAAAAGCACACACAAACAGGTTTTTCTACATCACACCCTAAGGGTGGGTGACTTATCACAAGCACGTGGAATTAATAGCCCATTATTTGCAAGTTAATTTGCATGTGTAATCTTAAATGACGTTTACACAATGTGTTTACACGACATGTGCAATGGGCAAGTCTCAGACAAGAAAGATGTCTTGTTATCCTCATGTCGCCCTTGCAAAAGAGATGTGACGTTTCAAAACGTCGTTAAACAAAGTCTGCGGTGGAATTCGATCGTGTAATTATCACTCAGAAATTGTAACCCACAGTCACAAATCTGCTCTTGGCAGCTGCTTGCTGGTGGTTCCACAAATGGCGATTGTGAAATCGCGGGAAGATAAACAAATGCTCTTGAATCCACCAACGATGCTGTTGACCACGACTCCCACGATGGCGCAGTGGTGACACTTGTGCCTCACAACAAGGGCCTGGGTTCCTGACTCGAGCCCGTGTTCTCTCCCCCTGTTATGCAGTTTGTCTGGTTTCTCTCATTTCCTCTCACAGAAATCACCATACCGTGCATTGAGCTGGGAGCTTCTGTACATTCAATGCACACCTTTGCGTGTTGTCATGTCTGTTTGTTTCCCGGCCTGCGCACATTTTTCTGTCATGGGGTCTTTCGTCATTTACAGATTTGGATATTTTGTGGTGGTTTGCCAATTTATTGAAATGTAGATGCGCCCTCCTGAAAAAGAGTATTCGGACTCAGCGTAGCGTACCTGGATAAACGCATAATGATTACGACTATGATCATCCTTATTTTACGTTGATCGTCGTGTGTCTCGCCAGGCGATGGCTTGGTGACGTGGCGGCCCACCTCGTCCCAGGAGGTGTTCGCTAGGGTCGTGGCCACGGACGGTGGCCTGGCCCCGACACTGATGGCGCTCAGCCTCACGCTGTGCAACTGCAGCGCCAAAAGCACCTGCCTCTACTCGGAGCCACTGTACAGCGTGCAACACAACCAGTCCATCTTCCAAGTGAGAGTTACGACAAGCAGTGACTTGTTAGTTACATAGACTACCGCTGTTGAAACCACTTAGTTAAATTCTTGATTATAGTGTTTGGCAATTACAGTACTTTGGCATTTTCAGTCAAAGACAAACACAAATAACATACCATTATTCAGTCTTAATACAATAAGCAGTGTGTGTATGTGAATCAACTGCGTATTTTTTTTGGAGGTGCACACAGCTCCGTTACTGAGGCCACGCGTTCTGCTGTCACGCTTGCTCCGTCTGGTCGACATGTCAGGTCGCCGGCTGCAACTGCTCGGACGGCTACGCCGGGCAGTTCTGTGAAGTGGACGTGGACGCCTGTGTGACCAACCCCTGCTACCCCGGCATCACCTGCATAGACCTGCCCCCTCCGTCTTTGGGCTACAATTGTGGTCCCTGCCCTGCGGGCTACACTGGCGATGGGGAAAAGTGTCTTGGTAAGTTGGCAGAGAAGTCCCTTGTGGCCTGGCCTCTGATATCCATGAATGTGCAGGAGTGGTGTTGGATCTTTAAGTAACCGAATGTAACCCCGGGTCTTTTCTCTATGTATTTCGCCAGACATTGATGAGTGCAACGTCACGTCCCCTTGCGGTGGTCATGGAAGCTGCACCAACAGCCCAGGATCCTTCAACTGCAGCTGCTTCCCCGGCTACAGAGACCCTCCCACCTGCCGGGACATCGACGAGTGTGCGGAGAACACGTCCATCTGCAACAACGCCACCGAAAACTGTCGCAACAATGAAGGGAATTACAGCTGCTTCCCCAGGCCAGGCCTCCCAGGTACGGCTGCAGTACTCGCAACTGACAGGGAATCCTGCAGCACAACGTGAGCATGAGGGCAGCTATCGATGAAAACAGCACAATCCATCAGCGGCCTTGTGATCTGATCGCAGCGATTTGTTTTTGATGGAGCACCCTTTACATTTGTACTGATAAACACTTTAACTGCACTTATTTATACAGTCCATTCTTGACACAACACTCTCACTGTCAAACGTTCAAACTCGATCAAATATGTTGCACTAAAGTAAAAATATATTGTCTCATACATCAGACATGCATTGTATGTCATGTCTAGCTCCCCATAAAAATACTGCTCTTCATCACGCTCCATCCTCTACTAAACAGGCAACAAGCCGCCAACTATCAACGGAAGTACCGAGGTTCAAGCGCGGTTGAATGAGTCGACGATTCTACAGATCACGGTCGTGGATCCTGAGTCAGACCCCATCACCCTGACGATCACTCCAATCTCTTCAGACTTCACAATTTATGGTAAATATATCATTGTCATAAAACGTTTATCCACCGTGTTAGACAAACCTTCGTGGCAGAAAGAGTCCAAACTGTACTCTGGGTAACTGCTTCCCAGCCATGATGCATGTCTTCATTTGTGTAATCACCATTGCCTGTTACCGGCTATGACATATGAATCATATAGATGAAAACTGACAAAGGAAATGGAACTAAAAGCTGATAGTTGCATAAATAAGTGTGGAGGGGTGTATGCTCAGGATTACACTAAGAGACAGGAAGTGGAACACACAGATAAGGGGCCAAATACAAATTAAAGACATTAAAATGTTCAGCAAAATAAGTGGGTTGAGCAGGACCCATCATGGCTAGGAGGGACGATGGCCAAGAGATAAGACTGGTGATGGACGTGAGAAAGAGACCACCACGTAGATGGAGAAATGCGATCAGTGCAAAAGCAGTAGTGAGTTGGATTGTGGCATTGCAGAGCTGTGTGAGGTGGCAATGACAGGTGAAGGCTTTCGTCCGACAATGGAATGGCCATGGTTAATGAAATTACTTGTTGATGTAGATGTATTCTTTGCAGTTGGGGCAGACATATACCTATCAGTGTCTATACATTGTGTAAATATAAGGTGTTCATATATTAATTTAAAAGAAGCCCTACGTGGGCACAATTGCCAGTGCATGCGTACTGCAGTCAGAACCCTGCCGCTGCCGTGCGTGAGGGACAGACCGCTAAACGATCGTCCTGACCACTCTCACCCTCCACGTGCGGTCGCTCTCCCCCAGCCAACGGCTCGGTGGGGTGGCGGCCCAGCTCCACGCAGGAGGCGTTGGTGTGGCTGGTGGCCTCGGACGGAGGGAGTTCATCGCGGGTGGCGCTCTCGCTCACCGTGTGCAACTGCAGCCGGAACGCCGTTTGCAACTCATCGCAGCTCAGCGGCTCCAACGACTCGGCGTCGTTTCAGGTGCTGAGGCACCCCGAGGATGGGTGTTGATATTCTCACGTGGCCGTAGCGTACTCTTGTAAAGCCGACCACGTGCACTGTGAGATGTTGTTGTGCATTCACAGCGATCGTGCCACTGACATGATGGGAATAACAAAAAACTATTACAGCTAAAGTGCATTCTATTTGCACTGTTCGGTATAGGCTACTTATTTATATATATACATGTATTTATGCGTGTGACTGGGCGTGTTCTTCACTGTAGAAATGCATAGAATATACGTGCTAGATTTAGAATAAGTGTGTTTACTCGCGTTGTTACGTGTGTGCTGTGTATGGGACAATCGACACCCGCGATAGCCTTGCGAACGAGATATTCAACCCCAAGTGATGATTACCCAGGTGAAATATTTTAATGAATAGAAACAAATACAATTACATAAAAATGAGAAACCACATTCACGTTTCCGAAAGGAGGCAGACAGACAACTACAGACAACTGAAACGATGGAAAAAAACATTCTCCCATTTACAACCGGCTCTTGCACGTCGGTGCTATATCAATATGTTCCCGATGGATGTGGCCTCTCTGCGCGCCCGTGGGTGTAGGTCGCGAGCTGCCTGTGCTCGAGCGGCTACGTTGGAACCTACTGTGACCAGGACTACGACGCCTGCGGGAAGAGCCCGTGTTTCTCCGGGGTGACCTGCACGGACCTACCCGCGCCATCGCTGAACTTCACGTGCGGACCTTGTCCTGTCGGGTACAGCGGCAACGGGAGGTCCTGTCTGGGTAAGCAACATCACGTCGGCCTTGTGACACGTCCCGGCGGGAGCGCATTCACCGCTTGTTGCAGAGGTTTGCGGCTCGAGCCCCGCAGCCGCCCTGGTTAATACTGCGGTGTGCTTATTAACTATAAAATGCTACATGCACCATCTGCTTCACAGTGGATGTTAAAGTTCCCCTGACATAATTCGAAATGAGTATGACATCGTGTGCCAATGTCATGGTCCAAATTGGCCAAATAAAAAAAATTACCTGCAAATGACTCAATTTGGATTACACGTAGCAAACGTGGCACCCTACTGGCAGACAAATGCCTGTTTGCAGGCCAGGTGCTCAGTCACCTTATGCCCACATTGACCGCTGCCACTGGGGGTGCCCTTTTGAATGTTTGAGATGATATGTGCTGTGACGCGCTCTGGGTTGCCGCAGTGTAAAGGGCACTGCGTACAAAAATGCATATTAACGAAACCATATCGGCTGAAGTTCTTGGTAAAATAAATGATCTTACTCTCGCTGACGCTGATATAGATTTGCAGATATACCAGATTCATAATAAATTGACACTGACGGTATTAAATAGTTGCAGCATTTTATTTTGAAGGACATCTTCACGTACAAATCATGATACACTTGTTATGGGGTTGACTTTAAAATCAATGATCGTTGATCTCAATTACGAGTCCAGCAGTTCACGTGCCTTGTGGCCAGGCCTCTGATATCCATGAATGTGCAGGAGTGGTGTTGGATCTTTAAGTAACCGAATGTGACCCCGGGTCTTTTCTCTATGTATTTCGCCAGACATTGATGAGTGCAACGTCACGTCCCCTTGCGGTGGTCATGGAAGCTGCACCAACAGCCCAGGATCCTTCAACTGCAGCTGCTTCCCCGGCTACAGAGACCCTCCCACCTGCCGGGACATCGACGAGTGTGCGGAGAACACGTCCATCTGCAACAACGCCACCGAAAACTGTCTTAACAAAGAAGGGAATTACAGCTGCTTCCCCAGGCCAGGCCTCCCAGGTACGGCTGCAGTACTCGCAACTGACAGGGAATCCTGCAGCACAACGTGAGCATGAGGGCAGCTATCGATGAAAACAGCACAATCCATCAGCGGCCTTGTGATCTGATCGCAGCGATTTGTTTTTGATGGAGCACCCTTCACACCGCAGTGTCTCAGAGCACCTTACACGCCATAAGTGGCTTGCATCTCATCTCCAACTTTTGTAAGGGCACCCCAAGTGGCAGCTGCTCTTGTGGGCAGAAGATGACTGACCACCTGGTCTACAAACGGGCGTTGGGCTGCCAGTAGGGTGGAGATGATTGCTATTTGTAATCCCATTTTAGTCATTTGGTAAATTTGAACCATGACGCCGGCACACAATGGTTGATTGACATCCGGCGATCTTAAACATTCACTGTGCAGCAGACAACTTGCATTTTATGGTTCATACCACCGCATTAATAACCAGGGTGGCCTGTTGGAATCGGACCGTGAACCTCTGCAATAAGCAATGAACATGCTACCACTGAGCGACGTCATTGTCCCATGATATTTACATTAAACGTGCACGTAATAACAAACATTTGTACTGATAAGCATTTTTACTGCACTTATTTATATAGTCCATTCTTGAGACAACACTCTCACTGTCAAACGTTCAAAACCGATCAAATATGTTGCACTGAAGTAAAAATGTATTGTCTAACACATCAGACATGCGTTGTATGTCATGTCTAGCTCCCCAAAAAATTACTGCTCTTCATCACGCTCCATCCTCTACTAAACAGGCAACAAGCCGCCAACTATCAACGGAAGTACCAAGGTTCAAGCGCGGTTGAATGAGTCGACGATTCTACAGATCACGGTCGTGGATCCCGAGTCAGACCCCATCACCCTGACGATCACTCCGAATTCTTCAGACTTCACAATTTACGGTAAATATATCATTGTCATAAAACGTTTATCCACCGTGTGTTAGACAAACCTTCATGGCAGGAAGAGTCTGAACTATACTCTGGGTAACTGCTTCCCAGCCATGATGCATGCCTTCATTTGTGTAATCACCATTGCATGTTACCGGCTATGACATATGAATCATAAAGATGAAAACTGACTAAGAAAATGAAACAAAAAGCTGATAGTTGCATAAATACGTGCGGATGGGTGTATGCTCAGGATTACACTGAGAGACAGGAAGTGGAACAAACAGATCAGGGGCCAAATACAAATTAAATACATCATATTTAATGTTCAGAAAAATAAGTGGTTTGAGCAGGACCCATCCTGGCTAGGAGGGACGATGGCCAAGAGATAAGACTGGTGATGGACGTGAGAAAGAGACCACCACGTAGATGGAGCAATGAGATCAGTGCAAGCGCAGTAGTAAGTAGGATTGTGGCATTGCAGAGCTGTGTGAGGTGGCAATGGCATGTGAAGGCCTTCGTCCGGCAATGGAATGGCCGTGGTTAATGAAATTACTTGTTGCTGTAGATGTCTTCTTTGCAGTTGCGGCAGTCGTTAAATTAAACCGACATATATTTATCAGTGTCCATACATTGTGTAAATATAAGGTGTTCATATATTAATTTAAAGGAAGCCCTACGTGGGCACAATTGCCAGTGCATGCGTACTGCAATCAGAACCCTGCCGCTGCCGTGCGTGAGGGACAGACAGCAGCTAAACGATCGTCCTGACCACTCTCACCCTCCACGTGCGGTCGCTCTCCCCCAGCCAACGGATCGGTGGGGTGGCGGCCCAGCTCCACGCGGGAGGCGTTGGTGTGGCTGGTGGCCTCGGACGGAGGGAGTTCATCGCGGGTGGCGCTCTCGCTCACCGTGTGCAACTGCAGCTGGAACGCCGCTTGCAACTTCTCGCAGCCGCTGCTCAGCAGCTCCAACGACTCGGCATCGTTTCAGGTGCCATAGGACCTCGAGGATGGGTGTTGATATTCTCCCGCGTGCTAGATTTAGAATAAGTGTGTGTACTCGCGTTGTTACGCGTGTGCTGTGTATGGGACAATCGATACCTGGGATAGCCTTGCGAACGAGATGTTCGATCCCAAGTGATGATTACCCAGGTGAAATATTTTAATGAATAGAAACAAATACAATTACATAAAAATGAGAAACCACATTCACGTTTCCGAGAGGAGGCAGACAGACAACTACAGACAACTGAAACGATGGAAAAAAACATTCTCCCATTTCCAAGTGGCCCTTGCACGTCGGTGGTATATCAACATGTTCCCAATGGATGTGGCCTCTCTGCGCGCCCGTGGGTGTAGGTCGCGAGCTGCCTGTGCTCGAGCGGCTACGTTGGAACCTACTGTGACCAGGACTACGACGCCTGCGGGAAGAGCCCGTGTTTCTCCGGGGTGACCTGCACGGACCTGCCCGCGCCATCGCTGAACTTCACGTGCGGACCTTGTCCTGTCGGGTACAGCGGCAACGGGAGGTCCTGTCTGGGTAAGCAACATCACGTCGGCCTTGTGAATGAGTTCTCAGCACAGCCTTAGGGCGCTCTGAGCCGGCGCAAGGAACTGGTGGATCCTATAGGGGAGCTGATTTGGACACCTGGGTGTTCATTCCCCGGAATTTCTCTGATGTCGGGAGTTCAAGTGTTTACTTTCACCCCAACTGCTTCGCGCCGTGTTGACCGCGTACCCTGGATCGTGTTTGAGTTGTATCTTTGGCGTTTTCTTTGGTTCGTGTCGTGTTCACTGCCAACCGTGGACCGTATGTGTATGTTGAACTTCTTTAGCACTGCACGTAGCCAACCGTGGTAATGGTGGAGGGACAACTAAACACTAAAAGCATTCTGAATGTTAGTGTAGTGGCGCTCTTTTCTCTCAAATGATGCTAAAATGTTGCTCTCAATGTTCAGCATTTTGAGGTGCAATTTGAATGTATGACACACCATAAAATAAACATCACAACATGTGCGCACTCCCAGAAGGATGTGTGGCGGATGGCATGTGTAAAAACACCTTATTTTTGTCGATGCGGAGACACATGCTTGTGACGGAGGGGTTTGGTCTGCTCGAACGTGGCCCTCGCATCTTTCCTCTTCTCGTTGTGCCAGACGTTGACGAGTGCGACGGCACTTCGCTTTGTGGCGGAGGCGGAAGCTGCACCAACAGCGCGGGCTCCTTCACCTGCAGCTGCTTGCCCGGCTACAGAGGCCACCTGTGCATGGACGTGAACGAGTGTGTGGAGAGCCCAAATGTCTGCAACAGCAGCCAAAACTGCATGAACACGCTCGGCAGTTTCCTGTGCACCTGCAAGCTGGGCACATCAGGTCAGGCCCATTCGTTGATATCTTAAGTCTTACATTCATAAGTGTGCAACTCTTATAAGCCAGGTCATCACGAGTGTGCAATTGCAGCAAAATCATATCAGTGAGTCCTAACAACAACAACAACTTGTAATTGTAGAGCATCCATAAGGTAACAGGAGTCTCGGAGAACACAATCGCACAGGGAGATCGGAAGAAAATGGGATGGAGCGAGCAAGGGAAGAAAGTTGCTTGCTCACCCACTCATTAATCCACTCACCCACACATTTACTCATCCACTCATTCGCTCACCCACTCACGAATCCACTCACCCACCCACTCACCACTCACTCACCCACCCAATCACGAATCCACTCACCCACCCACTAACGAATCCACTCACTCACCCACTCACCACTCACTTGCTCACTCACTCATCCACTCACTCGCTCACTCACCCACTCACGAATCCACTCACCCACCCACTCACTCGCTCACTCACTCACTAATCCACTTACTCATTCACCCGCTCACTTATCTACCCACTCGCTCGCTCACAAACTCACGAATCCACTTACTCACCCTCCCACTTGCTCATCATCCCACTCGCTCACTCACGAATCCACTTACTCGCCCACCTACTCGCTCATCCACCCACTCGCTCACTCAGCCATTCACTCAAAAACAGGAAGCAATTAAGGGAGTGTGACGGCTCGGGGTGAGAAAGAGGGTTTGAGGAGAGACGTGAATGCAGAGAGAGAGAGAGGGGGGGGCTGCATTGTTTACTGATAATGATGTTCCAGACGGCGACTTTCGTTAAAAGAGAACATAAATGACGAAGCGCTGTTGATGTGATTTTGCAATAACATAAAAATGTTGAGTCTGTTTGCAATTTCAATCCACGTGTGTGTTTTGTTTGTGTGGAGCAGGTAGCGACTGTACAGAGTCGCCGTGCCCCGGGCTGAGCTGCCCTGAGAGCTACTGCGATAACAACGGCACGTGCAGCGTCAACACGGCCACGTGCAGACTGCAGTGCTCTTGTGGAGACAGCTACAGGGGAGACAGCTGCCAGAACGGCAAGGAGATCATTCAGGCGAAGTTAAGATACACAGGTGACCGTGCGCACGCTGTACATCGCACGTGGGCAGAAAGGCGTCTGCGCTGGGCATGTACGATTCAGCCGTTTATACCGATTCTTATTCTCATGATACGTGCTACGAATGGTACCCAGAAGGATCGACCGGTTACGGTCTATGTCAGGGGTCCCCAACCCCCGGTCCGCGGACCGGTACCGGTCCGTGGCCTGTTAGGAACCGGGCGGCACAGCAGGAGGTGAGCGGTGGGCGAGCGAGCGAAGCTACATCATCTGTATTGACAGATGAAGCTACATCATCTGTATTGACAGATGAAGCTACATCATCTGCATTGACAGATGAAGCTTCATCATCTGCATTGACAGATGAAGCTACATCATCTGCATTGACAGATGAAGCTTCATCATCTGTATTGACAGATGAAGCTTCATCATCTGTGTTGACAGCCGGTGAAGAGGTCACAAGCAGTGGGGTTGGTGAGCTGTGGATGAACATGAACACGTTGCCAAAGTTCATCTCCTCCTCTTGCCCACAGATCTGAAAGCGAAATACCGGCTTGTCTTGGAGTTCTTAAATGAAAATTACAGAAATGAGTTAAATGATACCACAAGTGATTACTACACAGTGCATTCCAAGAACCACACCATGGCTGTGAGTATATTTCTGTGTAGTCTATGTTTCTGTAGCTTAGTTCTGAATGTGTTCTGTTCAATCTGGAGGATATTTGCTTGAGCCAATTTGCACTTATGGAATTAAGCTTTAATGATGAGACTGCATCCAGATCTTCAATGATATCTGTAAGCTGCTCACACAATCAACACAATTAACCCAAAAAAATCTATATTATGGATCACACAATCAAGTCTGGTTAAACCCAGGATGGACTGTAGGCAGGTCAGCCTGAATGTTTTAAACTGGCACAGATGTTCTTTTAAAGGGCTTCACATTTCACAAGCATAGAGAAGTGAGGGCATAACTTTGGATGAGAAGACCCTGGCGTTTCATTCGGAGTGACAGGCCAAGTAGCTTCCACACAGCGTTACACGACTGATGAGATATAATGTCACTCAATCGATTCAGAGTGATGTGTCACAGGGGGGAAATGCTTCCTCAGAATGTTGAGGTACGGCAGCCCCAATAGGGTCAACCCTGCCTTGCCCCGTGATGTGGCCACAAGGAGCACACACGGAGCACACAAACCACCAGGCCCACCTTGCATGTTTACTTATTGCTACCTTCAGGAATGAAATGCACTATCTAGTAATTATCCTGTCCTGAAGATGCTTGGCAGAGTTTCAAGTGAAATGTCATATCGAATTGCAAAATACATATTCTAGCAAAGTAAATATTTGTCAATCGTATGATGGAGATGTTTCCCAAATTACAGCTGTGTCCATGTCGAAGTAAATATATGTATTTAAACATCACTCGTCATCTACATTTGCATTGTTGCTGATCAAGATGAAATGTAGCGAGTAAGAACACCTTTCTTTCTGCAGGTTGCAGACAAACTGGGTGCGATTGAGATCTATGACAGCACAGCTCTCGCGGGCTTTAGGTAAGTGCTTTAAGCAAATACTTTGAGTACGATGTTTTACTTCCTGTCCTGAAGGCGAACTTAAAATAATCTCATGATTTAACTTCTGGTTCTGCATGGATTTCATCCGGGTTCTCATAGCCAAAACATTCCGATGCTGAAAAAGTACTCAATTGCAATAACACATCATAACATCGCCCCATATCGTGAAACTGCTGCAGACTGTGAAATGGAGCGCCTTCCTCCATGGACAGCCTTGCGCTATAAGAATGTCGCATCCACCACATGAACTCAGTTACTATTATTATTCTTGTTGTTCTGCTGTGCGTGTGAAACTGACTGCTGCGTTGTGTTTTTGTCCACACCAGTGGAACCAGTGGCTCGCAGCTGACAACCGTGATCATAGCCAGTTTCAAATATACGTCCCAAGCAAATGTGTTAACCATCTACAACGGCACACTCGAGCAACGCATTAATGCCTCGTTTAGCAAAAATAGAGTACTGGAACCCATCCACCTGAAAAATCTTACAGTGGAATCAATCGGTGAGTAGGGCTGTGTGACGTTGATATTCATGAAAAATTCAATCGCTGACTTAGCAACAACAGTGTTATGAAACACATCGGCTTTCACAGCCAATGTTACGATTCACAGTGGATTTGTGAGTTAGGCAACGAAATGAACCAGCCACATTTGCATCGTTAAGACCCTCCACCACCTGAAATAGACAACCAGAATCAAATGGCTCACCGGCAAGTTGAGAGAACAATTCTAAAAACCATATTTAGCGATTAGATATGACGTTCGCTTGAGAATAGATTCGGGAAGTCGGAGTAGAGTTCTAAAATAGTCTGACATCCTGGATTTTTATTCTGACTTGCTGGATTTTTTAGTGAGGACGTTTGATGCATCCTCAAATTTAACGTCCTGTCTAGTTGTTAAATTAGGTTATGAAGATTGTTCTCCAACTTAGCGGTTGGTGAGCTGAAACACAACGAAACGGCACGTTGAATGCTTGTACACATGACAATCTAATCTTGTTTGGTTATATCAGGTGGTGGAGGTCGCAACAACACAAATTTGGTCAGATCATCGCATGGCCTATGAATCATAATCATAAGGAACTCAACATCTAAAGAAACTGTTCTTGGAGGATACATATTTTTTTTAGTTTTCAGAGAACACACAAAAAAGTGAAAACAAATCAGATTTTTTGAAATATCTGTATTTACCGAAATGAATGGACCTTTGTGTACTGAACGGGACATGCCATTTCCTTAACGATCACAGCATGCAATTTAGAGAGTCTGTATTTACAAACATGAATGCAAAGTTGTGTTTCTATACTCATCATGAATGCAGCCAACACGTCCCCCCAAATTAACCTGTCCCTCCCACCTCTCCTTTGCCACAGTTCCCAGAGACGTCCTCCTCAACTACTACAGCTGCGACACAGTCTTCAAAGGCTACGTTTTAATCTTAGACAGCGCACAGGGAGTCATCTGCAAGTCCCCGTGCAGCGACACCAACTACTGCAAAAACGGTGGCACCTGCCAGCACCTGGCAGCTGGAGTCCAGTGCACGTGAGTTATGGAATTCATCATCATCAGCCATAATCAATCCACTGCTGGATGGAGACCTCCCCAATTCTATGCTGCAATGCAATGATCCATCTGCACACCAACCGATCTCATCGCTCCATATCCTCGGTAGACCTCTTCTCATACGCGCGTCCATTCGGATTGGAATTTGCGATGGAATTGTGCACATTTTTTTATGATAACGTTGTTGAATGCTGGTATGAAGGTTTATAACACAAAGTGTCCAGCAACATCGAGCACAATAGACAGTAAAGCAGATATATTTCTCGCGCGTTTATTGAAATAAGCTATATTATCGGCACTTGGGAAAAGAGAGGATGAGAGAGAGTTCCAAAGCTACCAACCAAGAGCATGGGTGATACAACAGCAGAAGAGGGCATGTACATTTCTTAAACACAGTACAGATGAAAGGAAACAACCTAGGTCATAGTGTCCATGAATTCCAGGCATTAGACAAAGTGAGACACCTGTCATACTGACAATCACATTGACATGAAGCAACACCGTTGATTTGTTGTTGTTGTTCCTCTGACAGATGTCCTGCAAACTTCAACGGGCAGTTTTGTGAGAATGATGTGACCGGAGTGAGCCGTGGAGTGTTCTTTGGCGTGCTGTTTGGAGTGCTGGGAGGATTGCTGCTGCTGCTGCTGCTGGGGTTGCTGGCCTTCTGTCTCTGCAAGAAGCAAAAGGATTCACTCAACTCTGACAAGTAGGAACTCTTTTTGACGTCTCGAAAAGAACGTGTGCGAGCCTCCGTAACCCTCACTAGGGCCTGCGTCGTTGACACGACTCGCATCAATTGCGCGTCTATGCGCGCCCCATTATTAAACAATTGTATTCGCCAAATACTTTTGTTTGCCGAGGCCATAAAATAATGCAAACATTCATTTTTTTACTTCAACGGAGCGGTATTTGCCCTAAAATATCAGCGCTTTGCAATGGTTTGAGCAAAGATGAAACTAAAATGGTCCCCTTGAGTGTCCTCTGCTTAAGCTGGCCCTACAGCCACACTGACAACCAAACACAATCGCTTTTGTTGCAGGTGCTGACTATTTCCATTGTGCATTGTTTCCAAACATGTTTGTTTCCTTTTTTACAGGCATGGCATTTTGAGGTCCTCTTCAAGAAGCTCCTACGTGCCCTGTGAGTATTATTTAACACGCCCTTGAAGAATGTGAATTCCGCATGACGTTTACATTTAGTTTGTGATTATTCGCAACGTTGGTTGCACAGCTTGAGTTCTCGTCACGTTCGTTTCCCCTGTAATAAAGCTTTGTGATTTTTTTTCTTCTTCTCCAGGGTTAACATCAATTAGCAACACCAATCTTGGCAGCAAACATCCGGTCATCCTCAAAAGCTGGAAAGCCAGACAAGAGCCCATCGATATCACCAAGAAGGTGAGTACTGCTGCATTCCGTGCTGACGACGAACATGCATTTCTATCGAGTTCGTTTCATTCCAGCAGTGGGCACCTGTCCTAAACATAATACCATAGAGTACAACAACAAGGCGTTCATGGGGAGGAAATCGAAGCTCCCAACAGGACGCAGGTGAACACTTTCCACTGAGCAAGACGATCGCACGTAGAGTAGAACTACATATTCAGCCTCAACTTGTGAAAATCTCTCAGTAAAACTCACTCGCACAATGTCTGCAACTGGTACAGCTGGAGTACATTCCATATGAACCGGTGGTGTGCGCCATTAAATGCTGTACATGTGTGTTGACTGGCTTTGATATTCACGCCCGGGACAGCCTTGCAAACGGGATGTGGCACCTCAAGGGATAATTACTCAAGTGAAGTATTTTTTTTGCTAAACACAAATAAAGCATAACGCAATCCCTCTCGTGGTGTTCCCGCTGCGCAGATTGTCATCAAGCGGCCAACAGCAGTACATGCCGAGCCAGTGTACAAGTCCTTCTGAGAGCCGCGGGGGGCGTGCTGGGGGCGTCTCGAGATCTGGGCGGATCCGCAGTGATGCTACAGCTGCTGATCTCTGGCGGCGATAATATTTTAAGAATTTGAACGCATTGAGACGCAACCGGCTCGCGTTTCTTAAACAAACCTGGGAGTAATACTTTGATCCATGCATCTTTGACAGCATCCTTGGTGACCTTGTTATCTTCAGCAAGACCACTATCAACCTTTGTATCACTTACGATTTACCGTTGCTTTGCATCATTTGATACATGTACACGTACGGCCCTTTGCCTTCTTATTTTACTGCTGGATGATGGCCTCGCCACGCCATACGGGTCGTGGGGGTTGTTTGAGCATTCTTCACCACGCTGGTCAAGGCAGGTTGCTGAAGCTGGGGAGAGGGAAGTGGGAGTATCGAGGTACAGTCTAAATTATGTTTTGGAATGGAATTTGTATCGTTGTACACACTCCCGAATCTTTGTTGCTCCAGAACGTCTCGTGCAGTTTTCCACATTGCGTCAGCTCAGACTTGTCACAACTCCAGCACCATTACTCAGATGCCGATTGTCAAAGTCAATCGATAATAAGTAAAATAACATAGTTACTGCTAACATAAGTATTAATAACACGTTTATAACAAATGTAATCAACATTAAAACATTATTACCGCAGCCACAGCATTGCAAAAGTGCGTGGAGCGACGACGTCACACCGAACGCGTTGCACGGCGTTGTCTTCCTGACAGCTGATTGGCTGGTGGGAGTGACGACGTTTTCCCTGGCCACCTCTGACGTGTCCACAGCATTGCCATCTGACTCGGACTCGCTTATTTACTTACATTTTGTCTGTACGTTTTCACTAACGGCATTACGGATCTTACTACAATCGCTGCCTGCCCAGATTGTATGAGCATTTTCTAAACTCGTGCCCCAGGTGACGAAGACTTGTTAACCTGACTATGCAACTATTATATTGATGCCTTGGAAGTACTGCACTTTAAGATAACACTGTTGCGCCGATGTTGAATACGGTAACCGTCAAATGTATGTTCATGTAATTCCGGTATATGTAAATGTACACATATATATGCTGAGACAGGCAGCCGATACGACACTGCACAGTTGTTGAGTGTAACCACTTTGTGATGGTGGTGGTGACATCACCACTGCATCTGTGGTAGGGTTTGTGTACAGCGGAATCACAAGTTGTGGTTCGAGGTCTCTGCCAGGTGGCAGATGAACTGGCGAAAAATAGTGGAGTGTTTGTATGTGTGGTTGCAGTGTACTGCGCGTCTTGTATGAATATGGTATACAGCCTATGTAGTTTATGAGAAAAGAATACATGACACCATATTGTACTTTACCGCACTGGTCATTGCGAGTGGGAGAAGTGGGAAGGCCCAGGACGGGTTCTTGATATGATCGGCCAAGGATGTTGGCCAGTGGCTGGGAATCAAACTCAGGTTGCCGGGTTCAACGCACAGTGCACTAACCACTGTTCCACCACTCCACCCCCTCCCCAATGGTGACGCTTACACAGTGAACATGCACACAAACATCGGTCACCTTTATTCCCAGTGCAACCAGCTGGATTCAAAACATAGTTCGCTCTGTAAGACCACCTCGGCTGCTCTGCTCGTGGAATACCCTTCAAACCCAGCCATCTTTAACCAGGAAAGTCTCGGTCACCTTTGAAGCGAGAGACACCTGCTGCGGAACTTTGCCTTTGCAGGTTCAAAGGCAAATTGCAGTCCATATGCTCGATGGCAGGTGCAGCATCCTCCCGCTGGTATTCAAACAACCCCCATGTTATCCACTAATACAACAAAACGTATACAATGCACATCCTGCACTTATCTGTCCCTCTACATATACAACAAAAGTATGTTTTGCACATTCCATAAGCCAGCCTTCTGGGAGTACATCATATTAGCAGCATTTGGCAACACAAGAAAACTCTAGACCTCTCCGCGCCATGACATGGGAGCTAGTTGACCGTACTTCACCGTGCTGGTCAGTGCAGGTGGACAGGATGGTCGTAGGACCAAACCATTATAGAACAGTGGATGTGCTGCTTTGGCACCCACGTAGACACGAAGCTGCCGAGAACAACCCGGCATGTGCAGTGGTCAACCCATCCAAGCACTATCCAGGCTCAAGGCTGCTGAGCCTCTGGGGTCTGACGAGATTGGGAACATTCCTGGAGGTTTAGTCCGAGACCCTTTGCCGTGATTCGTCAAATGCCAAACATGCAACAGGCACTTTTTAATTGGGGAAAGCATGTCAACCAATTATAACTGCAATTCAGATGAAAAAAACTTGCTCACCTTTCTTGAAAAGGGATGCTATTTAATCGACACTGGGATGGTGATGGGAAATTCAGTTTCACTTCTTTGATGTAGTACATAATTAAGCTATATTTATGAAACCAATCAATAGCAACCCTTAACATCAACACAGAATGTCTTTCTTTCGATTGTTATTTTGACTGAGATTTCCTAACTTCTGCAACAGCCTACATCATATAAAATTGGAGATCCAAAACTGAACTCGTTGGGTAGACTGATAATAATTCAGCAATAACGTTCACAATCGACATTCGCTCTTTTCCTGGAAATCATGCCGTCTTGGATAATGATCACAAATGAATTATAGTCAACTGGGACAAGGGAAAAAGCAGTCCACGTGTCAGATTTAACACAATTCAAAAACTTTAACACATGCCATTACAGTTAAAAACGTCAGTTGGTTTATATTCTAAATATTACCTTTGTAATTATCTGTCTACACATTGATCGAGTCGGTGAAGTCTTCATTGTGTCTCCATGCTTGCATCTGGTTCAGAAATACCGGGCTCGTTGCAGTTTTGGGATACAGTTAATCTACAATTAAGAACCAAAATAAGTGATTGTGATGATGTGTTTTATTTCCAATTAAAAAGGGCTCGAGAAACATTTTAAACATGCGTAATCTTTTCTGAAATGTGCTTTCATGTCTCATCCATCATGCTCAATGTTACGCAACCGAATAAATGTACAGATACAAATGCAAAAAGTAATTTTACCTTACAAAAAACAATGGGTAAGTTGTGCAGCTCAGATACTGTTTGTTTTGTAAATTTGTGTAACCTCCACGAGCTTCGGCCAACAAGTTGAAGCACTCGCTGAACACATAACAAGGCACTGCGATGTGGATTCATTGCCAGAATAAGGGCAAGCTGGTCCCCACGCACGGAAGTCGTTGTTGGACCCCAATTCTTAACATATACAACACAAATAAGTCACCATAATTTACGGGGTCTATTACATTTTTTCTTGGAATGTACCACGGTCTGTACTCGTTTACCAAGAATAAAAAAAATAAGAGTTCCTTTCAAAGCAGTCGCCTCCTACACTGATTCTTCATCATCGCCACTGCCAGTGATGACGCCGTTTCAGGGAGCAGTGATGGACGCGTTCAGTCAGAGTCTCTCTCGGTGGCCTCGCCACGTTTGCTTTTAACCTTCTCGATATCTTCACAGCGATGTCCTGTCGGCACTTGCAAACGCACGGCGCGTTTGCAACATAGGCTGGGGTAACAATGGTGAGTTTCGGGGAGAGGGGGACTTTCAAAATTTAATGCGAATGCTGTCACCTGGTTCCTCTTTCTCCACGATGACTGCTACCGAACGCATACCGAGAGGGCTGGCTTTGTATCACACCGTGCAAAAGTACGTTACGCTATTGCATAGGGAAATGCTGAGGGGGTACGGATGACTTGCCACATTCCATTCCTATCATATCTTCACTCGTAAGAATATCCCGGGAACCTTTGACTTGACCCCATCATCAATGGCGTCCATATTACATCCACGGCTGTATGAAGCACTGCCTACATAATGTCCAACTCTCATGGCGCAGTGCATCTCCCCGTGTGCGTGGGCTGATCTCACATCGCCAATTCTGCAGTGATGGTGGTCATCCCTCTTGGGCTTGTTATCGACTCCCAATCCGTCTCCAGTCTCATCGATCTTGGCACGTGTCCTGGTTAAGCCACCTTATCAATGGCGGAGCCAGAATTTTCAGGTAGGGGGGGGCAACCCCTCCAGCAATGAAAAATGATAGGAGTTATTAGTAAGTAAGGACTTGTCTCTGGCTTTTTATTCGATGCGTGTGCGGCGATGGCGCAGCCATCGATCGAGGGTCGAATTCGAACCGCGTTGTGTGATCGGCATCGTGCTCGCTGAAGGTGAATGCCTTCAGGGAAGTCGTGTACTGTATACGCAACTGCGCACAATTCTGAGTCACTTATACCTGCTTTGCCGTTACTTATTGCCAATTATGGACTCAGACTATTGTCCTATCATCTCATAGAGTCCCTGGCACAATAATATGCTACACAGTGGCAGTGGGGGTCGCAAAATGCCGATTTATTACACCTCCGATGACTGGGACCGTCTCACATTGACATGCTAATCTCTCACATTTACATTTACGTACAAATTCCTTCTCTAGCTCCGCCCACTTACCCTTGGGTTGAGCCCACCAAAATCCTATATGAACTCTTGTTGCAGCAGCTCTTTCTCCTACGTCAGCAGTCCTCCTGCTGTATCTGTTCCACCTGATGACGGTCGCTTGTGTTGCAATTGAAACGTCGTGGTTTATTTTATTTTATACCTATGTGACTTTACCGAAAGCGCCAAAGAGTATAGTAAATATAGGAGTCAATTACAATACCCCCCCCCCCCTCATCTACCTCTGATCTCTGCGCCTGATGGGTTTAGTGATTACGTCATCTTTCTATATTTAAAACCGGAAGCAGGTGGATTGCTTCACTATTCTGGCACGCTGCCCGATGATGCTGGATGTAATTACCAGCGAAACGTCATATTCAAATTGTAAATATTGTAAATTAACTCTCCAACACACCGGTAGGCTGAAGTAGTACACTACACTATATACTACACCACTGTACACTACACTATACACGACTATATACTATACTATACACTACTATACACTATACTAGTAACTAATTGCCATTGTTTACGTGACAAACCTTACTGGCTGTGTCGGGTGGTGGAGGGTTACGACACATTTATACTTCCGCGATCTCACCCAAAAACCTTTATGAAAATAAAGTCAACTTCGTAACCAGAAACATGAAGCGTGATACATCGCAGATATCGGTAGGCTGCAGCGGGCTGCGCTATGAACCCCGTAATCCGAGTTTGATTCCCGGACAGGACTAACATTGGTGGTGAACGATATCTGAACCGATTCCGAGCCTCCCCCCTCCTTCAACAATCCACCTCATATCTGACACGGCACGGGCAGACCTTCACGAAGCAGTGGACTGACAAAGGGATGTCAAGCTGCGATGATCTCTTGATCTCGCTTGCCTCATCTCCCCACTCTGGCTGTAGCTGCCCACGCAGTTCACGGGGTGCAGAGCTGCTGACATTCATGGCCGCTCGCCCGGTCCAATTGTGACGGGACGCCGTTGTGACGTCACACCATTGTTGTGATGTGGCCAACGGCACGGTTGAGTTCCCGTGCGGCACCTTCAAGCAGCTGTTGGCCGGATGTGACGACCCCGTGCGTCTGTGGCCAAAGCGCAAGTGACGGAAGGGCAGTTTTTGTTTGCCACAACTGACGCATCAATGCAAATAATCACTCTACCAAACACACCTTTGTGATACCACAAAGACTACGAATAAAGCTAAAACCCATAACAAAACCTAAATTACGTCAATCCCCATCTATTTTTTTTGGTTCAGCATTTGCTTTGGTGTATTTTATTATTATTTAGTTCCTCGCCTTTTTGCTCTTTACCTTCTTGGCATTTCGAGTTTCGTGTTGTATTGTTGTGCTTTGTTTTCTTCCACTGCGTCCCAAAACATAAAAAATACAGCACTGCCCTCGGTGTCATTCACAGTGGAAATCCGCAATTAAAAATAAACATGACAGATACATCATTGCTTCATGGTAGTAGAACAACAACATTTAGACAAGTTACATTCACCTCAACCAGTGTTGAATGCAGTCCATTTAAATGCATTCTCTAGATTGGGATGTTGGTCGATTTGTGTCGTGATAAACGACCCAGAGACAAAGCTACAATTCCAATCGTATAGGTGTGACCATTGCCACACTGGTGTCTACGCGTCTTTCTCTCAAGCTGAATAGTTGCCCCATATCATCAAAGTCCATGAATTCATCACACATTTTAACTGGTATTTATATTAAATCAATGGAAGTATTATTTCACAAATAACGATATCCAATTTGATATCCATATCAATACCTCAATCTTTATATGCTGCTATCTACCTGCAGTGAAACAATATTAGTTGAAATTATTTGTGTCTTTCGGTAAAGTCACGTAGATAGGTTAAATAAAATGTTTCTTTTATTTGTATTAATTTGAACCTATCTACGTGACTTTACCGAAAGACCCAAATAATATGAATTCCTGCAGTCACGAAAGCTTTAAGTCAAGATTTAATATTAGTTTATGTCCCAATGTATGATCATGTCCAGAGGCGACAGGTGACATTGCGAATTAAATACAACCCCTATTCGTCTTCACTACCATTTTTGAAAACAGGAAGCAAGTTGCTTCTGACAGCGCTACTTAAAAAGAAACACTGAGAAATATGAGCAGAAGAAGAATGCAAAAGAAATGTCCCTTAAATAGACAGGTGAAATTCAAGACCAGAAACAAAAAAAGATTATTTTGACAGCCTGAAAATGTGTTTGGGAAAGCACGCGCAGGCACGAACTATGACAATCAACGATTCCTCTCATTCAATAATTTGCCACATTGATATTGATTACAGCTACTGCTTGTGTGTCGGAGCACCACCAGAAAATAAACATAACTTTCTTACTGCTCATTAACCTACTCTTCATCTTTAACCATGCTCTCATTATTCATCGATAAAACAAAATCTAGAAACGTGATTTGTTGATGCTTAAAATGAAAAAGATATAACAGGCGACATTTTGGGCAATGGTCCTTCATATCACGAACATGGCGAGGCTAAGAGAGCCGGAGTGTGCGATGATGTGGAGAGCAGGTCTGAGTCTGAGTATGTTGGTTTGTATGACACAGATGTGGCTAGATTATCCCCTTGGATGGACACTCTGTTGTCCATAAAGTAGACGCTGTCTTCTCCTATTAACCAAGTTTATTTTATTGCCAATGAACAATTGTGAACAACCATAATAGTGTTTTTTGGGTTAGATCGCGTAAATATATAATTGTGTCGTTAAACCCGCCACCACCCGACACAGCCAACTAGTAAGGGTTGTCACGTAAACAGAACGTGCCAATTCGTCACTAGTGTAATGCGGGCGTAAATGGGCGGGGCGGATATGACGATCCGAGAGGGAGGAGTCAGGGTGACGTGGGGGAGAAGTTATAGCGGGGAGACAGGAAGCTATCTGGGTCAGTCGGAGGAGTGAAGGGTGGTGAACACGTTGGGTGGTCGCCGTGCCTCAGCCTGGTGGCTGAGGGGCTCATGACGGCGCCAGCCAGCGGGGTGGAAGAGAGAGTGGAGGATTGAGGTTGGAGATGGCGAGATAGCCACAGAGGCCACAAAGGGCTGAGGTAGGAAATGGCGAGATAGCCACAGAGGCCACGAAGGGCTGAGGTAGGAAGTGGCGAGATAGCCACAGAGGCCACGAAGGGCTGAGGTAGGAAATGGCGAGATAGCCATAGAGGCCACGAAGGGCTGACGTTGGGAGGTGGCGAGATCGCCACGCACGGAGGAACAGGGAGCAGCGATGGAGCTGCTGTGGGGGCAGCCGGAGGGCTGCACCAAGAGCCTGCAGCAGAACTGCAGGAGCGTGGAAGGCTACGGGAGCGAAGGCAGATGTGGGGCTGCCAGGGAGAGAGTCTCAGGAGGAGTGCCGTGTGGGAAGGAGAACGCGAACCCCAAATAAAGGACACGGAGTCAGCGAGAAGCGTCTGAGTCCTTTTATTACACTGGAGTCAGAAGTGAAACGGCATCTCAAAACAACTGAGAGAAAGAAGAAAAAAAGAATATTCCTGCTACATCATCCGACGACGACGACCTTCCTCAGACGGTGGACCTGCCTGCGATGGAAGAGGAGATCCGTTCTGGAACGAGTACGGGTCCGGGTGAGCAAGGTGTCGCCGCGTCGGTGGACCTGTCTGTGCCGGAGGATGCCAACTTACGATGGAGACAGATGGTGATGCAGATGGGGACCTTGAAAATCGTGCTGGCGCGACTGTGTGAGTTCACCACGCCGAGGACGACGACGGGGAGGCCCGGTGGTGATCCGCAGGCCTCTGCCTTTCCTGCGCTGCCAGCGCCATTGCCACGTGGCACGAAGACGCCATCTTGGGCGTGGCAGGGGAGAAACGGCGG